TATGTTGTTGTTTGAAATGGGCTGAGACCATCAATACTTTAAACTTAAGAGCCTGGTTTTATTCCCCGGTGGCTGCCAAGATTCGAACACAGAATTTCAACAGTGCCACAGATCAACGCCCTGACCTCTGTCCCGCCGGTATATTTAACAACCGCTGATTGATTTTCGTACCGGGGATATCCCTAACGTCATTAAATTGGGATTATAAACAGGAGCGCAATTGTCTTCTGGAATTGTTTGGGGGGCATATATGTTTTTACTGTCATCATTGCCAATCAGGTTTTATATTACATGTAAAATTCAGTTTATAATCAATATCAGCTCCCAAAGTTTAAAACTATCTTCCTCCTTTGGCTTTGTATCTGTGTGCGTTAGGTTTTAATTATTATATGTTTATTACTGGCTTATTTATTTTAGGTATATTCACATGATGAAATGAGATAGGCCGTGTTACTTGTGTCTTCGCATGCACACAAAATCACATCGCTGTATGAAAATGGGCACGCGTGCAGCAGCTATTTAGCAGGGCGTTACATCACAAGTCCGCGAGAGATGGCGATGGATAGATCGTTACCGACCCGTGTGCATCAATGTTGCGGAGTTCACATTCGACGTTACGTTTTAACAACGTTTTTAGACACAAGCGGGCTTTGCAATTCACCACAACAGTTGTGTACGACTTTACACATTTAGCTTCACCCACATAGAGAGAGAAAAAAAAACACAAAGATCTCCCGTGTAGCCTTTTTGGGGCAAGTGCTGTTAGCGAGTAAGCGTCACCCTGTGAAGTCCGGCTGGGTGGTCACAACCACACCAGACTGCCTTTATCTCTCCAGTGGCGATCTTTACACACCACACCAACCACTCATTCGAGACCGAGTCGACACAAACACACACACACACACGTTTGGCTTGTTTCCTGTTTGGAGAAGTTGCGATAGGTGTTCTCCTTCTCTAATTGAAACAAGCCCTTCACGGATGCCCGTTCCGTTCGCCACTTCCCTTCGCTCTCGGCCGCCTCGCTACTGCGCGCCCCCGGTGCACGCCCCCCCCCCCCTCAATGCAGCCAACGCCACCCAGCCCACCCCCCCTCGCTAGGGCCTTCTACTGTACAGAACGCTGGCTTTATTTAGAAACTCGCGGGGGGGTGCTGCGGCTGCTGCTGCCAAGGGTACAGCAGCAGCTGGTCGTGCTGGGGGGGGGGGGGGGGAGTGGTGGCGCAGCGGTTAGCGCTACGCTGTCACCACGAACCCGGCCAGTCCGAGTTCGATTTCCGCTGACGGCCAAACACCGGTGACGATTAACTGAGCCGGTCCTGGGTCTCTCCCCCGTAGGTCGACTCAGCCTCAAATGAGTACCCGATGCGGTGTGTAGTCAACATCGCTTCTAGGGAGACAAAGGCGGCCGGGCGTTGCGCTGGCCACCCACCCACCCCCTCGTGTGCCACAGTGCCGGCCTTCATAGGTGCTGCTCGCTGACAGCACTTGCCCCAACAGTTTGTTCAGGCTACACGGCGGGGGGGAGGAGTTTCTTTGTCTTTGGTGGTAAGGAGATGGTCAAAGTTTAAAAATAAACGATGGGGCGGAGTGATGATGATGTTGTGACCTGGGAGATCACGTTGCCATTTGTTGGGGCGGGTGGGTGGTGGCTTGCAGAAGGCAGGAATGCAGTTTTTACAGCACCACCACCGCCACCACTGCCACACCTGAGCCGTTCTCAGCCGTTCAGGCTTACGCGGTGACCTGCGGTCAGGATGGAGAGCGGCCAGCGGCTTGGGGGACGTCCATAAATGACGTCACGAGATTTTTGGCGTCACAAAAAGTTAGACCCCCCCTCAAATATGACGTCACAAAGCTCTGCCCCCCCCTTCCCAAAATAAAAATAAAACATGCTTCAAATCGCTTTAAACTATTGTCATTGTAGTGCGTATTTAATGTGGCGCTGCACTCTGGTGTTGTAGGAGAAAACATTTATTAAAAAGTCTATTTTATTAAGTAGAACGTGTTTATATTTATTTAAAGTTGCGCATTTTGATGTGACGTCACATTTCTCCCCCCCCCCCTCCCCCCATCGTCACACATCGTCACAAATGTCTGACCCCCCCCCCCCCAGGTGCGTGACGTCATTTATGGACGGCCCCTTACGCAATTCTAGCAGTTGCGTGACCCCACTGGGCTTGCGCAAAGAACAACCTCGCGTAAATGCCGTGCGAACGTTTCGCAGATACACGAATCACAAATACACAAAACGACAAAGATCCCCTGTATATAGCCTGTAACAGACTGTTGGGGCAAGTGCTGTTAGGGGCCGTCCATAAATGGCGTCACGCACCTGGGGGAGGGGGTGGTCAGGCATTTGTGACGATGTGTGACGAGGGGCGGAGGGGGGGGTGAGAAATGTGACGTCACATCAAAATGCGCAACTTTAAATAAATATAAACAACACGTTCTACTTAATTAAATAGACTTTGTAATAAATGTTTTCGCCTACAACATCAGAGTGCAGCGCCACATTAAATACGCACTACAATGACAATAGTTTAAAGCGATTTGAAGCATGTTTTATATATTTTTTTGGGGGGGGGGGGGCAGAGCTTTGTGACGTCATATTTGAGGGGGGGGGGGTCTGACTTTTTGTGACGCCGCGTGACGAGGGGAAGTGGGTCGCAGTTCCGAAGTTCAAATCGTGGCTAAAGCGCTTGCGGCAGATTCGAATTCCTACAAAACATAAAATCCAGCAGGCAAGGACTCGGAATTGTTACTTAAAAAAGAATGCAGTCAAATAATAAAGTATTAAAGCTTTCGTGACTGCATAAAATTACTCGTTGTTTTTTTAATTCATTTTTTTTGTTTTTTTATATAATTTTATTGTATTTCTACATACGTGACTTTACCGAAAAAAACAATGATTAAGAATGCAGTCAGTTGTTGAAAGCAATGTTTTTTTTTTTCATTTAAAGAATCAATACGTTCGTCAACAACAACTGTGACCTTACAAAGAAAAAAGTACGGTAATAGGCGACGTTTCAGACAATGGCCCTTCTCCATAGCACGTAAAAAAAATAAAGGGAATGCGTTGAGTCTCGTTATTACAGTGTTTGTGCTTTTGCGCGCTCCTGCCAACGCAGCAACTTCACCAAACAATTAGTTTCATGTTGAAAACTCCGCATGTTTGTGTGAAACCGATATACATGGGGGCTGTTTGCCAGTTAAGAAAGATAACAGGTGTAGCTTGGTTCGCAAAGCAACAAGCACGCCGGTTCCCATGGGCACATATTACACCTCATGTGGCCTTGGGCTGCAGGTTCCCCACCCTTGACGTATAGAAGAAGATTTCCGTAATATCATGATCGCAAAAATGATAACACAGCCACGTGGAAAGCACCGCCGATTGTAAACGAACCATTTAGTTTATACCAGCATGTAGGATTCGCTTATGATGTCTTTTGTTGCATTGAGTTTACATAAGTGATATTTATCGACAAGCGTTTAAGCATCTTTTTCCCACACCTCCGATTAGCATGGTTGGCTATGTACGATGCGAAAGAAGTTCAACAAGTTCAACTTACATTTTCAAGGTTCTGTTTACAAAAATATTACATCCGATCTTCACAACCTGCTGCAGTCCATGTTTACATTTTTTTAGTCTGTTCTGTAGTTTCAAATAAGACCGGCCCAAACTAAATCAAAAAGATGGTATCTTATTCTTAGCTCTTTCGGTAAAGTCACGTTGTTTTATATATATTATTATTTTATTGTTTCCCTTCAACGTGACTTTAACCGAAAGAGCTAAGAATATGAATTACTGCAGTCACGAAAGCTTTAAATCAAAAGATGGTATCTTGTACATGCACACCTAGGCTGAGTGTCCCGTGCTGTCCAACAAACACATCGTTGATACATTCTTGATTAAATAAAAAAAATACTTAAAAGTCATGGGCAGGAGCGTCTTAATGGCACTTTAGTGATGTCACAGTCACGTCGCTATGGTATGTGTTAATGCAAAGTCAAAGCAACGACAATACTTACCATGATTTTAAAGTTTTTTGTGTTGTTTTCGTCATTGAAGCTGTAACCTTTTGTTGAATGGCCAGGGGTGGATTTGGCCAGCCACTTGGCAAGTCACAGTTCAGCCACCCAACCCTGGGTTCATGGTCCATATCGATAATCGGTCCCCATCCTGAACTCGTTTGTTCTATCTTGATTGTATTGTACGTCTCGCTTGTTCCATTCTGTTATTCTCATAGTAAATTTATAAGCATTAAAGTACATATGTGGATAATTTGGACACTTTGAGCACACTGGTGCGTTGAAGAGTAAACCCACAACATTTACAATTTTTAAATGTTTGTTTCTTATACGCAATTACATGAATGTTAAGTATCGATATGAATTGATGAGTCATTGAATCACTACCTGCTACATCTCTACAAAAGAAAAGTTGTTGGGATTCACCGTTCCTTGAGAAAACATGCAAACCGTGTGTAATAAAAGATTATGACATTAATCACAACAGTGACAATGTGTGTAATATGTAAAATGTGAGTCATGAAAAAATATTATATTATAACAGTGCTGTTGACAGTGAAGTTGATGATGATTTCTTACAGATGTGTTGATGAGTAGATGGGTGGGTTGATGATATTTGATGTTTGTGTTGAGGATTTTTTGTTATTAATCTGTTGATTTTTTTTAATTGATGTGTTGATGACGATTGTTTTTGATGGATGCGTTGATCATGAATTTTTTTTTACGAATATGTTGATGATAGCGGCGCATGGGTTAATGGTGACTTTTTCAACGGGTGTGTCAATTTATGATTTTGACGGCTGCATTGACGATTTTTGGGGGTTTTCAGGGATGCGTTCGCGATTTATGCATGCACGTAGAACTTCTTTCGCACCGTACGTAGCCAATCGTGCTCATCGGAGGTGCGGAGGTGGGGGGGGGGTAAGGACAACAGACTTAACACACGTTTTGGCGGGTGTGCTGTCATTCCAGGCGACTGCTGGCTGCTGGCGGCTATCGCCTCTCTGACGCTGAACGAGAAGCTGCTGACACGAGTTGTGCCCACGGGCCAAGAGTTCACCGGTGGCTACGCCGGTATCTTCCATTTCCAGGTGCTACAACTTCACAATCAGATTCTTATATTTATTTTGTGGCAGGAATCCAATGAGCTCTTTATCACCGATGTCCGGTGTCAAAACGTTACAACAACGACGAATACAAAAAAAAACAACCGATAGGAGTGCAAAGTGCAACAAAGGTGAACAAATCACCCAAAAACATACAAATAAAACTGAACCATCCCCACCCCACCAGGCAAAGACCACTGAGGGATTAACTAATTTATCATTAGCGAACTGGCCACAAATGATAGCTCAAAAAAGTGGCTTATCATTTGGACATTTGTAGCAGCTAAAAAAAAAATCTAAATAATCAAAATGCGTGTTTCTAAAATGTAGATAGATACATGTTTCTAATTCTGGATCCAGGCGAACGCGACCTGTGTTTACGTTTGTGCACGCGAAGATCCACGCTGTAGCTCGTACGGACTTGTTGGGGTGAACGCCGTCAACGAGCAACGGTGAAGGCGGACGCTGCGCGCGATGGTCGGGGTGGGGGGCAACGTCACGCCTCCAGCCGCCTTTGCCTCCTCTGGCCGCCGATGTTTACACACCACACATTGTGTTCATTTGAAGGGGGAGTTGACAAATAGGGGAGGCCCAGATATTCATCAGCTGATGTTGGCCTTGCCCAGGAATTGAACTCGGGTCCGCGAGGTTTGCAGTGGCAATGCGCTAACCACTACACTCTCTCTCCCCTTGACCCACCCCGGTGTTAGCACGCACACGCCACAATTGTACAAACACAAGTAACATGACAGCTGCAAACAGAATGGTGTTAGCCGAAGTGAAATATCAATTGATAAATTCCCCTTTGCACAATAGGACACTGTTACAATCCCTGCATTGATATGTGAGATGGGCTGTACTGAGCAAACAAAAGTCACGGGGGCCTGCTGTGCCCCAGCTGTGAACCTGAGCTCTGTGGCGATGTCCGGGACAGCCGCGCTCAGCAAACACCAGTGGGCAGTGGCGGCGGGCGATTGCGTTCACGTCACCGCTTGGCGAAATTGGCAATTGCCGGCACCCAACGATTTCTCAACTGGGCCCGGCGCCGCGGAAAGCCACGGGGAGGCGTTCCGCCGCGAGTTTGCCCGAGGAACTGCACGCGACGTTTTTGTTTTCGTCGCCCGTCGTTGTGTCTTCGTGCGCCGAGTCACCCTGTCCCACGCTGCACGACCCCACCCGAGACCCGGTTTTTTTCGAGCTCCCCGTGCGTGCATCACGCAGTCCGCGGTCGTTGCGCGATGCCCACCTAAACCCAGGCTCTTCATCCTTGGTCGGCTGAGCCATACATTAAACACCCATGGACCCGCTGCTGTCTTCAGCGACCCGTGAATTCGTTTGTAATGTAGAGCAGCACAAATTTTGGTGGGAAAAAAAAATCTCTTAACGTCTGTATGTACGTCTGCATGTATGTTGAACTTCTTTTGCACCGCATGTAGCCAACCGTGCTTATCGGAGGTGCAAACGTGCTGTGGTGTGCTCAACATCAGCAATGTTGAGATAAAGGTCGCCCGGGTGGCAGGGTGGTCACACAGAAGTAGCCACAGCACCACAGTACCCTCCTGTGCAGCGCCAGCCATAATCGGTGCTTGATAACAGCGCGATCCACAATAGCGAATCTACAGTCTCCAAGTCGATTTTTTCACTTGCAAATGAATGGGCATCATTCCGCCTTTGCTTGAATAAGTATGTCTCCGTCTGTCTTGATTTAACCAATCACCCTCAGCGATTTCATTAAATGTTCACAGTGCTGCATTTTGCAACTTGATGAAATCATTGATTATTGGTTTAACGCTGATGTGAATATAGCAGCTTCTAATGGTTGGAAGGGCCAAATAAAACTTGTATACAGCGTATACGAAAATGAAAAACATCGCTTCTTATGCAGGCAAGTCGATGTGTGCCATGAGCTTAAAGAATCAATATTAATCGATAGATTACTTGTTTAAGCCCTAATATCTCTCTCTCTATGCCGATCTGTCAGTTTATGAGTTCATTCATATATCTACGGTCGACTCTTGCTTATCGTGAGGAATGAGAGGCATGACCTGGATAAAACACACACACAGACACACGTATACCGTTCACATTGGAGTGCGTAACGGCGCTTGCGGATGGTGTTTGCCGGTGGCGTGCGTCTCGCCGGGGCCAGTTCTGGCAGTTTGGCGAGTGGGTGGACGTGGTGATCGACGACCGCCTGCCCGTGAAGTCCGGGGAGCTCGTGTTCGTCCACTCGGCCGAGGGGAACGAGTTCTGGAGCGCGCTGCTCGAGAAGGCCTATGCCAAGTGAGTGCGCTCGCGCGTTCTCGCGTCGCCCCCCCCCCCCCCCCCCCCCCCCCACGTGAACCTCTGGGCGCGTTGAGCAAGCGCCCCTCGGTCCGTCTGCCCGTGTGTGAGAGCGGTGGCGCAGCGGTTAGTGCGCTGCGCTACGAACCCAGCGACCCGAGGTCGATTCCCGGTCAAGACCAACGCCGGTGACGATTATCTGAACCCTCTTTTACGTCCACTCAGCCTCAGATGAGTACCTGGTGTGGTGTGTAAAACATCGCCACTTGGGAGACAAAGGCGGCCGGGTGTTGTGCTGGCCACCCATGCCCTCGTGTGCCACAATGCCGGCCTTCATAGGTGCTACCCACTAAGAGCACTTGTCCCAACAGTCTGTTCAGGCTAGACGGAGGATCTTTGTCTTTGCTGCTAACGAAGTAGGTTTGTGTGAAGGTGAGTCATTTTGTCAGCTGACGCATGGGTTCGTGGGTACAGTTGCTTATGTATTTACAGATTTGTATGTTGAACTTCTTTTTTGCACCATAGGTATGTAGCCAACCGTACTAATCTGAGGTGCGGCATGTATGTGCATGTGATGTGATTCATGTGCATTTGAAGATTAGCTTGAAGGTGTGTGTGTGTGTGTGTATAAGTAGACTCTAGAAGATATCCTTTATCTCTATTCAGTTACAATAAATCTGGGGACGAAAGATGATTAAAAAAAAATGTAAAAAGCTATTTGGCATTCTGTCGATAACTCGGGAGCCAGTGGCACAGCAGTTAGCGTGCTACGCGATGAACCCGGCGACCCGGGTTTGCATTCTGGCTCCGGCTAATGTCGGTGGTGAGTGGCTTAAAATAATGGGTTAATAACGTCGACATTGACAAGGAACGTTGCACATTTGACCTCGTCATACGAAAGAAGAAGATGTGGCAAGTGATATCTGAACCGGTCCCGGGCACTCCCCTAGGTTGGTTGACCCTTAAATTAGTACCTGGTGCAAGTCTGTAAGCACTGGGGAAACAAAGGCATCTGGGTGTGGTGCTGTCCACACCTTAATTGGTGCTCACTAATAGGATTTGTTCCCAACAGTCTATTTAAGGCTGTTACGGGAGATATTTGTCCGTACAAGAAAGTGGGCCCGCTCGTCCTTTAAGCTGCTTGCTGTGTATAAATAGATGTGTCTTGTAAATAAACCACTCAGTCAGCACTGTACCGCATAGCTGACCATCCCTGAACGAGCTTTAAAAATCCGAAATCAAATGTGGTTCCTTGGCAGCATGGTGCTAAGATGTTAACTACCTCGCTTGGTAGACAGGAGGTCGTGGGTTTGATCCCGACCCTCAGGACTGTATATTTGGAGTTTGCGTGTCTCTCTCCCCGTGGTGGCATGGATTTTTCTCGGGGTCCCCTCCGGATTTTCCCTCCACATTTAGAAACGTGCATTTCGAGTATTTGGCTGCTATAAATTTCCACGTGATAAGCCACTTTGTTGAGCTATCATTATGTGGCCAGGTCGCTTCTGAAAAAGAGTTATATTGCTCCGTGGCCCTTATGTTTTATCTCAAGCTGACGCTACAAGCATCGCATTTAAATTAATGAACGCTGTCTGAGATGGGTTCGCGCGATCGCCCCCTTCTGCTCCCTGGCAGCCGCGAGCGGCCCCTGCTCCCACCGCGCGACGTGATAACGACGATAATTAATCGATTATTGAGTCAAATCGTGACCATGAATCGCCAACCATTCCAGCGAAACATTTCGCCCTCTATTAAAAACCAACGTAAACTTTCGTGAAGGACTTTCAACATAGCAAGCCAGAAGAACCATATTGGCTACGTGGAAGAATCACGAATCCCCCCACCCCTTCCATAGTCAATGGTAGTGTATTCATCAGGCCCAATCTCAGCACTGGAGCATCTGAGCTATAAGCTCAGAGACAAGGAAAAAAATACAGCACACGCATGGGGTCATTTTCTAAACCTTAGGCAAGTCATAAATACCTGAGCCGGAATGGCCATGTCCTGGGCCCCCCCCCTTCCGCCTGCTCTGATGAGTCCGGTGTTGCCTGATACCGTCGATGCAACTGGTAATGCCGTCCAGAATGTCAGGATGTTGCGGTGTAACGATGCGAAGGAGAATGTGGAATGACAGATATTTTATTTAAAAAAAAACGTTAACAACAGTGATCCACGTGGTGTTATTCGGAGACGAGAAGACCCTTGTGCGCGTTTCGGCAGATCTGCTGAGCAGAAAAACGAAACCAACACAAATGAATTAACTAATTAAAACCCTCAGCGGCGTCGCCCCCTGCTGGCAGACTATACGCGTCTGTGAAACCCGGCGCCTTCCTCCGCGATCACCTCGCGCTATGAGAATGGCGCAAACGACAGATGTTCTAAAATTATTATTCTAGTTCAGTTCAGTTTATTTTGAAGTACCCTGTGAGCCATGGAGCTCTTAAATCGTGTTTGATCAACAAAAACAACACCGCCGCCACTTTTCCGACAAACGCAACAAGTCACAGTAGAATAAATAAATAACAATAACAGATAAGATAAATGAAAAAATAGCTTGCAAATCATAAGTGCAATATATTTAAAAAATGTAAAAAAATTTTTTTATATGGTTATAATTCACGGTGCAGCGCATAGCACCAAACATTCCTCACAGTCCCTCGTGCAGGATGTGCTTCTGAGCTAAAGGCAGCGGCAGAAACACACAGATGGATTTGACCACCCCCCCTCTCCGGCACAAGCGATGCATTTCGCATGCACGGAGGAGCCCCCTTGTTTTGTTCGTAGCCAATTGAGCTTCGTGAGCCCTTTGCTCAGAGCCTGCGTTTGTTGCGTTCAAAAATGTAATTTCTCTGTTCGCATTGAGCGTGCCCCCCCCCCCCCCCCCCCCCCCCCAGCCACCCCCCTCCCCCCCTGCCACCCCCCGCTCCCCCGCCTGCTGGGTGAGCTAGTTGTGCGTGCATCAACTTCACTGTATTTCTTAAAATATTAGCCGAGCCAATAAAATCGGGCGCGTTAAAGCATCGGTGTTTTTTTGTCCGAATACGATGCGCGCTGAATGTGAAACGCGGCTGCTTGATGCGGCGGGTAGGACGAGGATGGCCACAGCTGTTGAGAGCTGTGGTGGTGGTGGTGGTGGCGGTGGCGGCGGAGATGACGATTGAAAAGCCCTGACGCAAGTGTGACAACGAGAGGTCGGTGAAAGAGCTAGGTTGCATCCCGTAATAAAAATACAAACCCAAGTATATTGGAACGCTTAGCCACAGGTGTGGCGTGCATGCATTTAAGGTAACACCGTTGAAGGAGGGGAAAAATGGAATGGATGTAGATGGAGACGAAGTTGGACAGGTTGCGTTGTAAATGTAACCGGGATGGGAGTACAGTACGGTGCTGTATACCAATGTCACGGCAAGGCCCAACGTTGCAGAGTTGGGTAGCTTCATCGTTGAGGTCACAAATACTCAGTGATAAGTAGAACGATATGCTTATATATACGCTGCACCTAACAAATGGAATGCACCGTCTTTTTAGCCATCATTTCCCTAAACTCTTGTACTTAAGCTTTAGCTCAACCTCGTTTATATTTTACCAGTCCGATGAGCAACGGCTTAGTTTGCATTGGAATAATAAAAATAAAAGGACTGTGGTTAGGGCGTGGGGACTGGACTTTGAGAATCTCAAGGTTAACAGTCCACTGCCAGCGGTGAATATATTCAAACCTTGTTTGACAAACAAGGTTTGAATATATTCAAACCTTGTTTGATAACTCACCGACTCTCCGTGTGGCCCATACATCTTAATTGGAAACAGACGTCCACTGTGCGACCTTTGGTCGTGCCTGGTGAGGATTAGGCAAACCTGGTCCAGCTCACTCTCCAAAACCAAACCGGTTTTCAGCTTGGGTTACATTCCAAAATTAAGGAAGAAAAGCAAAACCTGCATCTTTTAAAGTTACCGCTTCAAACAGGTTTTTGGAAGAAGAAACAGCAGCGTTGCGCTTAAGCGTATTTCGCCATGAACCCAGCGACTTCAGTTCAAATCCCAGCCATGGCTCACATCAGTGGCGAGCGACATCTGAACCGGTCCTGGGCAGCCTTGGCATCAACTCGTCCTGACCGGCCGTGGTGAAATATTGTCAAAAAACACTCCCCTTCACCAAAACACGTGGGGAGGGCCTTCATCCAAACCGTTATTAAAAACACCCAACAACTTTTACTCCGTTTAATACGTAGGCTTTCACGACCAATATTATCCATAATAGCGGTTTTATGAGATCTAACACAAAAAAAAAGCTCTTATGGATAACTTTTACTCCTTTCGCAGCCTCCCCGGCTTTGTGTAGGCTGCCGAAGGATGTTTGTGGGCCTCGTGTGAATTTGTGGGCCTCGTGCCCAGTAATCCGGGTACCCTGGGTCCGGCCTCGCACGTTGCTGGTGAGAGAGAGGGTGGCGGGTCCCTCGCTGCCGTAGCCATAACCCCACATTCACTGTCCGGAGAGAAGCAGCGCTCTCGGTTTGCTTGTGTTGTCGCTCTGGAGGTCGGGAGATGTTCGGTCGCCACGTCGATGGCATTCGTCGTGATTTCTCAATCAGCAGAGTGGCGCGCGCGTGAAGGCTGCCATCATCATCTGGTTTCGAGCCACTTGGCTGCGCTCATTGTTCTCGTGCTGCAGCTGTGTTTTTGTTTTTGTACATTCACGTATGCTTCATTGCTAATAATAACAAGAATGACAATGTCTTCGAGCGATGTGACGTGGCACTACAAGGGTGTTGCCACTGTCTTAGTTTGCATTGCCAGTGAAATGCACGCCTTATGATGGTTCGAGAGTCAATGTGCGTCTCTCTCAGTCATTGGTAGCAGCATCGTCGCCATCATTATCAATGTGCAGCATCGCCTCGTAAGGTCAACCTCGTCATAGGAATGTTGAGCTCTCGCAATAAATCTTGTGACCAGCTCACGTAAACGTTGCATTTGCCCACGGTTCATTTGAAGATGGGGAGCCACTTGTGACGTTCATACGATTCGGTGTATGTCGTGAGATTTTTCGAAAACTTTTTTATTAATCTTTGAAAGCTGCAGCGGTAATAGTATAACCCGTAATGCTTCAGTACTTAATGTGCTGTGTCGGTCACAACATGTGCCCACGTTTAGCCACCACACCCACACTGTGAGCAAAAACGTTCTCGCCCGTTGTTGCATCATGCATAAATTAACGAGCTCTGGAAATGTAATATCGCCGTGCGTGGCGCTTGGATGACCATTACGGCAACGTTAAATGAACCCCCGCCTCCATGGCTTGCAACAAACACACACACACGAGATAATAAAAAATAATGTTGACAACATCCACACGTGAGGAGGTGCAGATGTGGTGCAGATCTAACCGCAGCTTATAAGCAGCAATTAATTTCTCTAACATTTGCCCTCTGCACCCCCCCCCCCCCCCCACGTGCAGGATGAACGGCTCGTACGAGGCCCTGACCGGGGGCAGCACGAGCGAGGGCTTTGAGGACTTCACGGGCGGTGTCACCGAGACGTTCACCCTCTCCAAGGCGCCCCAAAACCTCTGGAAACTCCTCAACCAGGGCGTGCAGAGAGGCTCGCTCATGGGCTGCTCCATCGACGTACGCAAGCCCGCTCCTCCACTTGCTCGCTTGTCCACCTCCTCAGCCAGTCGCTTATTTATTGTACTCACTCATCCCGGCCATTCACCCGCCCGCCGACTCGCCTGTTCGCTCACACGCACGCACGCTCGCTCGCGCGTTCGTTCGCTCACTCGCTTATTGACTCGTCTGCTTCCGCAACCTGTAGCTAATTCACCTGCTCGCTCGCTCACTCATCCGCTCGCCTACTTGCCCGCTTGCTCGCCCTCTCGCGTCGCAGCAAGCATGCGCACTCACAAAGGCGCCCTTGTTGGACACTTGGCATGAGTACGAGTGTCTTGTTATTTGGCACAAAGAAACCAGCAGGGATGGAGCGATTCGGTGATAATAATAATAATTATTATTAATAAAATCCTATCTGCGCGAAGGTCACCCTTCAGTCAGTATAATTAATGTTGTTGGGGGTTTTACTGCGCGTGAGGGTTTCTCACTGGCATTCTATAGCGGGCGTCTAGAAAACCATGCTCACACTTGGGAGTTTCTTCGAGACTGCTAACGGAACGGCAGCCAAAGGTCGGAGCTTGATCGAGAGTTCCACCGCGGCAGAGGTGGGACTGATGAGATCAGCTCCGTGAGATGGATTGTGGCATCACGGGACCGTGTAGGGTGACAGCGAAGGCGTGGACAGGCCTTGATGACCTAGCAGTGGATAAACAATGGCTGACTATAATGTCGATTATGATGATGGTGGTGGGGAGGCTATTATCCAGAAGTGAATACACATTTGACCGATTTATTTGTTGTGATAACTTTTTAGCTGTTTGTGCTTTTCATTTTGGTGCTATTTCTGAATTTCGTTTTACATTTTGCTTGGTCGTAGGGTTTTTATTTGCTTAGTAGTGGCTGCACATGGGATTTGGTCCGCATATATCATTAACGTACAGCGTTATGGGATGCTATTAGCATGAATGACGTTATATATAATGCAAGCATTATTATTATTTTGGCATCATCAAAAATATAATTTAAAAAACCATCATTATCGGTTTTCCGTCCAGTCGGCGAGCGAGCGGTTGTCCGTTGGGATGTACCACAGCGCGACTCATGAGCCTTGCCGCTGGGCTCTCGAGGGCTGTGATGCCTGCCGCTAACCAATCGTGTTGGATTGTGCCGCGAGGCTTGAAACGTTCGCCAACCGGTTTAAGCGTGACTTGACATTATAATCGGTTCGTTCGTGACTTGAAAAAAAACGCCATGCCATTTTCGTGACATGCGAAATCAATCATTGATTCTGAAAACGATAATCGCACATATCACGACCGTAGTTGCTATTGAAGAAGTGATTTGGCCCTCCCCTAGGTCGAGTCAGCCTTAAAAAAACGCACCAACCCCAGCTTGTGCCGTGTTGGCCTTTCATAGGTGCTCGCTAACAGCACTTGCCCCAACAGCCTGTTAAACGCTACTGCATATGGTTGATCTTTGGTGCCTTTCAGTTTTAATGGATTCTGTCTGTTTCTGTTATTCCCGTGAACAGATAACGAGCGCGGCCGACACGGAGGCCATCACGACGTGGAAGCTGGTGAAGGGCCACGCCTACTCTGTCACGGGTGTGGACCAGGTGCGAGCTTCTCGGTGGCTAGGAGATGTTAGCTCCCTCGCCTGGTATACAGGAGGTCGTGGGTTCGATCCCAACCCCGACCCCTTGTATGTTTGGAGTTTGCGTGTGTCTCTCTCCCCGTGGTCGTGTTACATTTTTCTCCGGGTCCTCCGGGTTTTTCCCTCCACATTTAGAATCAACATGCATTTTAGGGTATTTGCCTATACATTTCCACATGATAATTTTTTGCTATACATTTCCACATGGTAAGCCACTCCGTGGAGCTATCATTTGTGGTCAGAACGCGTCTGAAAAAGAGCTATATAGCTTAGTGAGCTTTGCCCGGTAAAATAAAAAAAATTGTTTATAGTTTTTTTAGTTTTATAAAAAAAAAAATAGTTTCTCGCCACACCCATGGCCGTGATTAATCGCCTTCTGGCTGGCGTCCCTCGTGAACGCCACCTCGACACCGAACGCAAAATGCACCGAGTTGCTGTGTCGGGCAGCGTGGACCAGAGAACGGACGCAGCGCGGTGACGCCGTCGTGCTGACTGTTAAGAGAGCATGCGCTCAAGGGGGAGCCGATGGAGAACGCGTCGGTTCTGCAATTCATAGTTTCATAGTTTCATTTATTTTGGTATAGCCCTGTGAGCCATTGGGCTCTTGAATCGGGTGCAACCGCAACAAACAAAAAAACATCTTAAAGTGGCTTTGTGCATGTGCAAACAGAAAATCCAGGAAAAAAACATCAAAATATTCCTGAAAAAGCACCGTACACCAACGCTGTGTGCAAAAAATCCCAGTGGGATGCAAGTCAAAATAACAACAACAACCACAAGACAACTAAGATTAAGGACATCAGTCTAACTCCGTATACAATAAACAAAACATGGCCAAAACAAAAAAACTTTTCGAAATCACCAAAATAAAAGTCATAAATGCAATGTAACAGTGATCATAGGGACTGTGACCAAATTTTTTACAATCAACTACATAAATAAATTATAACACCAAAATCTAGAGCTATATTTTAGGCCACTGAATAGCAGTGGCAGCTAGGGGTGTACAACTCCTCTAGATAAAAGCCTAACGCAACGGAAATAATAGCGCAGGCTGGAATAGCACAAGTTTCAAACGACACGCAAACACGTGTAAAGAGCACACTAACTGCCTTAGTACATAATGGGAAAAACAATCCGCAGTGCCTGAAGAAGCACAGGTTTCTCCCTCGCTTTATGCGGCAGATGGCGCACAAAGCAAAGCCGCACGAGATAGCTGCCTGCCGATTAGCGCACGGTACACACGCAATGCTGTCCCACATCCGACCGTGCGGCCGCACGTGAGCGAATTCAAAACGCACCATCGAGCGAATATTGGGTCGAATAGGTTAGCCACTTACACAGTACGAAATCACACTCTCTAGTCTTAGGTCACCTTCAGAATACATTTGCACAAAATTCTGACCGGCGTGTGTGCGGGCAGGTGTACCACAAAGGAGGCTTGGTGAAGCTCGTCCGTATCCGAAACCCCTGGGGCCAAGTCGAGTGGATCGGCCCATGGAGTGACAGGTATTACTCGTCTGCTCACTTGCTCGCTCACTCTGCGGCTCGTCGACCATCTCCCCCCCCCCCCCTTTCCCACGACCTCACTTGGCTCCGTCACCAGCTGACAAAACCTGCTTGGCCGTCCACCCCTTGCTCACCCCGCACAGTGATTCGCTCACTCGCACGCCTGCTGCTGCCCGCCGGACCGCCGACCGGCGCGCTTTCCTGCTCGCCCAGTCGCTCGCCGACTCCCCTTATTGGCCCGGCCACCAATTTGGTTTGTGCCCACTCACCCACCCGCCCAACCTGCTCGTGCGCCCTGCCTCTGTTGCTCGCTCACCCCCCGTGCACATTGCGGGCGATGGTGTGTTCGCGCGATATTCCTAAATGTTGGCCCGGTTGGATGGCAACGTTTACGCCTTACATGTCTGGGATCATTAGGCCAGTGATGACGTGATGGGCAGGCCTAATTCTGGGGATGAGAGAACAAATGTTAACATGCTCTGAGGTGTAAATCTCTGAGGAAGCCCAAGGCGTCAGCTGTTTGCCTGCAGTTTATGAGGAGGACTTCAAAAATCAAAACCACAGATGTAAAAATTTAGACAGATATTTGCTCATCCGATGTGTGTGTAATTAACATTAAAAAATGCTAGATTGGCACGATTAAACATTGAATCGTAAGAGGGGTTGTTTCCCTCTTGCTCAGAGGTGAGACTTCTTGGCAGGCACCACAGAGATCCTGAGTTTCACATCCAGTTTTCAGCAGCCCATGATTGTATACGTAAATAATCAGCGACGTTTTGGGAAATAATCCTTCATAGCATTGTAATATATATTTTATTTTTAAGGCAGTGGTATTGACAAATGTACTCAATAGTTTTATTATTCGTGCACCCAAAGCCAACGCAGCATCACTCTATTAAAATCACTAGGGTTTAAGTGGAAATGTAATTTTACAACAATTGTTATTATCACGTTTTTTATGTTTTTGTGGAATGCTTGGATGTCTGCCAGTCGAGTCGCTCTTGAAAAGGAGAATTTTAACTCTACAGGCTACATTTCTCATTATGATTCTGAACTATACTGGGTTCTCAAGTGGCATGAGTTGATGGTCTAAGCCCAGTCGCCAATGAGTGCACAGAAGAAGGAAAAAAAACCCCACAATATTAAATTGTGCTTGATTTTCACTTAAATTTGCTTAAATTCCAGCTCTGAAAATGCGGTATCGGTTTGGACTGTCACATGATGAGTATTGCTTGGCACAGCAGGGCAGATGGTGACGTTCTGACCCCGTGGTGTGGATAAGAGGCCACTTGAAAATATTTAGGAAGTGCTTCTATGGTATCTCCTTACATGGAGCATTCTGTAACACGTTGTGGCGACGCACTGGCTCTGCAAGAATTCTGTGAATGGATTTTTTTGTATTAGCCCCTTGATATTCGACAATGAAAGCACAGTCAGGATATCATTGCGGAGAAGGAAACAAAGCTCCTGTCGCCTTTCCGATGTAACCCACAGCCTGTGTACCAATCGCCTTTGTTCGGTGCTTAAAGGGAGCATGAACAACAACCGATTGAAAGGCTCAGATCACTTTCCACATTAGGAGCAAGGCCCCCCGCGGTGTATTTAATGCATGTTTAATGACGTTTCCTTTGTACATAGTGTCCTCCGCAATTGTGGCACTATAGGTGCACAGCCCATCTTGTTACGAGCAGTCGGGACCTGTCCCCGGGCACGTTGGCCACGGGCCAACTTTGAGTGGGCGTACGGGTTACAGAGCAGCCCCGATCGGTCTGCGGCCTGGGAATGTGCATGATGTGGGTGTTGAACTACAGTGTGGATCCATTTTTAACATTTCACTGCGGTGGCGAGAAGTTAATTATCTCGCCTGATATGCAGGCGGTCGTGGGTTCAATTTTGACCCTGATGCCTGCTGTATATTTTCCATTTGCATGTCTTTCTCCCTGTGGTCGTGTGGATTTTTCTCTGGATCGTCCGGTTTTCCCCTCCACATTTAGAATCAACATGCATTTAGAGTATTTGGCTGCTATACATTTCCACAGCTGCCACTCTGTTGAGCTATCATTTGTGGCCAGGTCGCTTCTGAAAAACAGCTATACAGCTTAGTGGGCTATGCCTGGTAAAATAAAAATAGTAAAAATTAGTAGTTATGTCGTGTTAAGCTACAGCTTGATCCACTTATAGATATCCAGCTAACATGATAGAGAGAACACTATTGAATAAACGACATTTTATTTCAAAGCCTTTACACATCACCCACAAATCCCAATACACATGTTAAATAATTTTCACGCTGTCCTCTGAGATATAAAGCCATCGCTTTCACGATATCTAATTACCTGTAGAGAAGTTCGTAAGAGGATCACTCGAAAGCAGTGGGATATCTGTAAATGGTTCACGATGTAGATAAGTGGGTGTGTGTGTGTGATGATCACCGCAGCACCATGGCCGGGCGCGGTTCTGGCCACCCACCTCCTCGTGTGCCGCAGTGGCGAGCTTCACAGGCGCTACTCGCTAACGGCACTTGCCCCAACAGTCTGTGAAGGCTACACGGGGGGGGGGGGTCTTTGTGTTTGTATGTCTGGCTTACGTGTGGCCCGTCCCTCAGCTCGCGGCAATGGAACGAGGTGTCGGACAGCGATCGGGATCGGCTCATGGTCAAGAGCGAAGATGGCGAGTTCTGGTGAGTGCTCTCTTCCTGTCCATGTCTCCACCTCTTTGGACTCTTTGGTGTCTGGCAAATTCGTGTATATCGTTCGATACTCCTCCGATATGCATTAAATCGTATCATGGGAATTGATTATGTCAGATTTGGTTATTTCAGATCCCTGCAGCCACCGGCCAACTTGAATTGCTATTCCTCCTCCGTTGAAGGAGTGCAGACTAGTGTGGTTTATTGTATGGTCCATAGTTTCGGTTGCATGGCCACAGTCGAACTTTGGCTTGTCTTTAATTGGCGACAGGTGATTAGCAATGCAGGACAATGTTGATAAAAGTGCAAGTGGTTTAACGTGCGTTCCCGCCGCCCCCCCCACCCCCGACCTCCCCTCCCGCAGGATGTCGTACGACGACTTCTTGCGCCAGTTCTCACGCCTGGAGATCTGCAACCTGACGGCGGACGCGCTCTCGGACGATAATCTCCACTTCTGGAGCTCCGTGGTGCACGAGGGCAGCTGGGTGCGCGGCTGCAGCGCCGGCGGCTGCCGAAACTTCCCGGGTGAGGGTCGCTCTCTCTGCCTCTCGCTCGCTCGGCAGCCCGCTTTTTCACGCACTGGTTCACTCAGTCGGTCACCTTTGCTGCACTCGCACTCGCTTGCTGTCTCTACCTCCGCATGCTCGCTCACTCGCTCGCTGTCGCGCTCGCCAATTCTTTTGAAGTCGCTCGCTCTCTCGTGTGCCATGCATGTGCACGCGCGGACTCACTCGCTGTCCTCATGTGCTCATTCACTCGCTGGCCCTTTCATTCGCAGTTTCCACTCGCATAGTTGGTCCCGCTCTCTCGGACGCTTGCTTGCAACGCTGTCTCTCCCTGTCTCTCGCTCGTGCGCACTCTCACTCATTTGGCCTTGCTGCACGCTGGGTTTTTACGCTCGCTCACACACCCGCTCCTTCCCTCGCGCGCTCGTGCCCGTGGGTCCCCGAATCTCATTCTTCGTTTTCTTTCTTTACCCGCGTGCCCACAGACACTTTCTGGAGCAACCCGCAGTTCCGGCTGAACCTGCTGGAGGAGGACGACGACCCCGAGGACAACGAGGAGGGCTGCACCGTCGTGGTGGCGCTCATGCAGAAGGACCGACGCAAGCAGCGCCGGCAGGGCCGCGACCTCCTCACCATGGGCTTCGCCATCTACGAGGTGCTGCGGCCGCCCCTCGCCCGAGTCCCCCTGCCACCGCTCCGCCGACTCCGCACCTCTCGACGGCGCCGCAGCATCCTCCCTGCAGCTCCTCCCGCGGCCGTCATCACCGATCGCTCGAGGAAACGCCGATGCTGCTGAATTAATCCATTCGTTCATTTATGCATCTGTCCAGTCATTCGTGTGTTGATTTCATCACGTATTTCAACAGATTTTCAAATGGCACCATTTAGCGACAATAAAACGATAGGTAAATGGCAGTGTTGATTGTAAATGATACTTGCCCTATTAAAAATAATATTTTCTCTGGAATTGGCTGAAAGCGAGCGTGCCATGGGGGAGGTCAACGCGTCACATTTTTAAAAATTATTTTTCACAATGGCTGTTTGTGCTAGAAATGTTTTGTTTTTTCACATGGCCACCATCTGACAAAAAAACAGTTTCACTCTGGATCAGCAAATTCAGCCTCTGGGAGAGAACTCGGGCTGCCAAAATCAACGTCCCTTGTACGTACGTGTGTACGTTGAATCTCATTCACACCGTACGTAGCCAACCGTGCTAATCGGAGGTGCGGGGAAAGGATGACAAAATCGGAGGTGCAGGGAAGGACATTAGCAACCTCGGATTCATTTCAGCCGAGTTTACACGCAGGTGCCGCCAATCGCGCGTGCACACCCCGCCGAGTCTAACGCTTCGTTTCTATTTTTCTCGTTTGTTTTTGTTGTTTCTCTGCAGGTCCCGCAGTCGGTACGTTCTGCACTGGTGTGTCCACACAGATGTGCCCCTCGACAAGACGTGGTCGGCTACGCGAGACGGCCGTCGGGATAACGCCACGCCGTCAAAAGCACCGCAATTGAACATTCACGTTCGGCAGACTGCCCAAGTCCCCGTCCCCGCCGCCCCCCCCCCCCCAGTTCAAACCCACCCCACGGTTTCGTGTTCACGCATTCAAATGCTGAGAGCGGTGGTCGGGGCGGGATTGGTGGCATAGCGTTTGGCGCTCCTCACCACAAACCGGGCTGTCCAAATTAGATTTTTGGCCACGGCGAGCATCGGTGACGAGTGGTCGCTGAAACGGTCCTTGGGGCGCGCTCCCATCACACACTGACCATCGTGGTGCAGTATGGTCCAACAACTCCCTTGTTTGGCGCTGTATGTTGAACTTCTTTCGCACTGCACGTAGCCAACTCTGTTAATTGGAGGTGCGATTGTATGGGGGAAGCCTTTATCCAGCAGCGAATTGACCACGGGCTGTAAGAATATTATTATTGAGTGTTGTTTTCAATTACCGTCATGCCGAGGCAGCATCTAGGATTGTAATCGGTCCGCCAAAGATGCAGGAAGCGGTGAAACCCCGCGGGTTGCTTGTTTTTTAAATGGCTCTTGAACCGGAGCTGACGAACTAAAATGAAAAGGCCACCCAGCGAGCCATGGCTATGGCTTCTAGGACTTAGCGGGGCTTGCTTGGCTGGACATGGGGTAACGGGGAGTCGGATCGCATCAGCGCGAGTGTCCCATTAGTCACATGAACATTGTCTCATTGAATTCTCAGAGCTTTTAGTGAGCCGGACAGAATTTCACTGGTATGGAAAACGGATCGCCGTGTAAAAAAATATGAGAAAAATTATAGTCAAGTGATTCACCATTTCATCAATGTAAATTGACGATTACACTCACGCTGCATGCCACTGGATTGATTGGGTAAGAATAGGTTATTTGTAGAGGTGTAAACGGATGCATGGATTCATTGATTGATGTTGATTGCTAAGCTCACGATAAGTGCGTCGAATCACGCATGTAAAAATGTGCGTTTATTGTGTGTGATGGGTTCACGTGATGCAGCAGCCACAAGTGGTCACCACATTCACAGCAATAAAAAAAATTAAAGTGTTAAAATCCTTCAATTTTATTGTGACTTTGAGTCACGTCAACGTTATCTTGGTTCTTTCAGTAAAGTCACGTAGAAGGGAAACAATGAAATAATAAAAATATAAAACAATAGTGAGAGTTTTATTGTTTTGTATTTTTATTATTTCATATTATTTTATTATTTCCCTTCTACGTGACTTTACCGAAAGAACCAAGAATATGAATCCCTGCAGTCACGAAAGCTTTAAATCACGTCAACGTGTACGAATGTACGAAGGGGTGTGAATCGTTACACCTCCAATAGTTTAGAATTGGAAAACCAATTATATATAAATGTCACATGTAGGTTCATGGAAATAATTGAGACAGGACCGATGAGACACAATACAAACAAGACGGTAAAAAACGAGAACACAATTGATCCCAGTAAATGAAAGCTTTACAAACGACAGGCGGAACGCGTCTTTGATTTCCGTGTACCCGACCGCCGTCTGCTGTAATGTCCTGACCCCGTGCCCCTATCGGACATCTGTGAAAAAGAGCTTCATAGCTCATCGGATTTTTCCCGGATGAACAAAGATTCTGATTCTGCGCAGCACGTGGGGCAGCCGCAGCTGAAGCTGAAGAAGGACTTCTTCCAATTCCACGCATCCAAGGCGCGCTCCGAGGTGTTCATCAACACTCGCGAGGTGTCCCAGCGCTTCCTGCTGCCCCCGGGCGAGTACATCATCATGCCCTCCTCCTTCGAGCCCAACCAGGAGGCCGACTTCATCCTGCGCGTATTCTCGGAGAAGCAGCAAGCGGTGGAGTGAGTGCTGCCACCGCCACTAACACCACCACCAGCACTTTCGTTACCACCAATACGAACACCACCAGCACCAGCACTGTCTTTACCACCACAATGAACACCACTACCACCACCGCTGCCACCAGTACTCTCGTTACTACCACGACCACCAACCCAAGACTACTAATAAACATCACCACTTCCAACACAACCAACACGACCAACACAACCAACACCACCACTACCACCGTGACCACCAACATAACACTACCAACAACACCTCCACCAACGCCGCCACCAACACCACTAGCACCACCACCAACCCCAACACTACCAGCTTCAACACTAACCAACACCACTAGTACCAACATCACCATCACCACTACCACTATCACCAGCACCACCACTGCCACCATAACGAATACTGCCACGACCACAACTTGCACCTCCTACTACGATTACCGCTATAACACCTCCCACTTCAACACCTAATATCTTTATAAACGTATTGTATGCTGATGGCTCTACATGTTAATGTGTTTAAACAGACCTTGGTCTGTTTTATTAACACCTTAATAGTCCTCTTTGAAACAATGAATTCCATCTGAGATCAACAATGACCTCTTTGCAACCATTAACATAGTTGCAAACGAGGTGTTTTTATTTATATTTTTAATTTCATTATATTTACATTACTGAAAGAACCAAGAATAAGTCTACATTATAGACTGCCAGTACACTCACTCCGATTAAGAACCAGGCTACAGTCTACATTATAGACTGCCAATACACTCACCAAACTTAATAACCAGGCTACAGTCTACATTATAGACTGCCAGTACACTCACTCCGATTAATAACCAGGCTACAGTCTACATTATAGACTGCCAGTACACTCACCCAGCTTAATAACCATTGCTACAGTCAACATTATAGACTGCCAGTACACTCACCCAGCTTAATAACCATTGCTACAGTCTACATTATAGACTGCCAGTACACTCACTCCGATTAAGAACCAGACTACAGTCTACATTAGTGTTTTTTGTTGTTTATTATTTTATTATTATTCACTTTCTTTTGTATTATTATTTTTTCTATCTCCGTGACTTTACCGAAAGAACCAAAAAAAATCCATTAACATGGGTCTTTAATATCCTCTTTGGCAATGTCCTACTCAATTCGATTGGTCTGGCGAGGTTCCAGTGTATGTATGTTGAACTTCTTTTGCGCACTGTACGTAGCCAACTGTGCTAATCGGAAGTGCGGGTGAAGGACGACAAATTAAGCACAAAATTCAGTTCTAAAGAAATTCGTTTTCAATCTAGATTTTTAAATGCATAGCTCCAGTGCCTTCCTAATGTCAGAAGAGGATTCCAGACGGCCGCAGAAACTTATTTGAAAGCGCCCGATGCAGTGACCGTCTTTGTTCGATGGATAGCCAAAGCCGCTGCGAGGATGCCTGGAGCTCGCGTGATGGTTTATGGTGTAGTGTCTCAGTAGAGAGCCATGCCAACCACAAGGTCACCCAGGCCTCCCCGCGGAGTGCACGTGAAGTCATTCCTCCTCGGGCCCACCCTCTCTTAATATCAAAGCCACTGCTCCCTGGTGGAAGGGTGGAGCAGGTGGAAATGGTCTGCCTCTAAATAGACCAACCCAGATCACAGCTTTCAACACGGAGGAGACTCTTTAAAATTAATTGGCGAGCGGGGGCTCATCCACGCCCCTCTCTAGTGCTCAAACGTGAAGCTGTTATCTGCGTGATGCCAGCGTTTCTTCTCCTGTTCTGTTCCAGAAAAATGGACGATGACGTCGACATTGTAATGCCCGAGGTGAGATCACCATTCTTTCCTGAAACGCCCTCGTTTTTTTCCACTCTTGAAATGATACAAGTACTTTATTTTTTAATGTCAGCGCCATTTATTTGCGAGCAGATGTAAGTCGGTCACAATTGTCGAAGAGGAAGGCGATAAAGGCTGGACTTGGGAGTGAGGTTCTATGGATGATCTTGTTTGTAATGTGCGTGTTTGTTTTGTTGTTCCTTGTTTTGTTTTGTGCTGCTGCGTGCCGCACATGTAATAGTTGGACTTGGAGGTACCAGTGGACCCGGCCTTCATCAATGTGTTTGCCAAGCTCGCCGGAGCGGTACGTCGTGTCAGCTGTCAGCGCAACACCTGTCACCTTGGCGTGTTTTCACCACCATCGAGTCAATCGTCAGACGGAAAAACACACATATCGACCGATCGGCTGAGAGTACATTTCAAATTAATTTGTAAAACCGCGCTTCGCTTCTGTTGCCACCCACGCTGACTTCTCACTTTGGTCGGTCGCTGCAGGACAACGAGATCAGCCCCTCGGAGCTGCGGGACATCCTCAACCGCGTTGTGGGAAAACGTGAGCGGCGCGTGTGAGCGGCGCGTGTGAGCGGCTCGCGAGTCTCGTACTACACACTGGCGATTGCCACGTGACGCTCCGTGGGGTGGTGGCGGCGGTTCCTCACCGTGTGACGAGTCTGCCGCAGTGGTTGAGCGTTTGTCATATGACGTGCCTCCTATTGATCGATGTCGGAGTGGTTGTCACATAGCACGCGTACTGTTCACGTCTGATTTCCACACAATGATTGTCCTCTTGACATCGCATCGGTTGTCGCGTAACACGTTCCATTGGAGTCTGTAAAACGACGACTGTCCTGTTGATATACAATTGTCTTTCACATGAACTGTGGCCCTGTTGACATTTAGTTGGTTGTCATGTAACACCTGGGGTGTCAGTGACATGTCCTGTTGAAGTTTATTTGGCAGTAATGCGATGCGCGTTGTGGTGATCCGATTGGGTGCCTTGCGACGTGCGTACGCCTATCAGATGCCGACCTCAAGACGGACGGCTTCAGCCTGGACGCCTGCCGCAACATGGTGTCCCTCATGGACGTATCCTTTCGCAGAATCTCGCACGCTCGCAGGATTAGCGCAGAAAACACCGAACGGCAAAGGGAGCGCGGCTCCTTTCCGCCCCTCACCTGGAGGTACGGCTACCTCCATAAGCGAGGGCTTGAGGGGTTCTCCCCTTATCGTAACTGCGGTGAGGTCCCAGTCCTATCGTCGCCCGGTACTCGCTGCAAATGGAATCCGTCTGGTGGCCCCAGACGCCGTCGAGCGGCTTCACACGGCCAAGAAAGACGGTGCGTTAACGCGTCCGTTGCTTTTTCGAATGCCCCTTGACGTTGCGCCACCTTTCCCCAGCGGGACGGCAGCGGCAAGCTGGGCATCAAGGAGTTCAACTTCCTGTGGCAACGCATCAAGTCGTGGCAGGTGTGGCCGGGGAAACGAGACTCGGGTTTTGTCCGTCTGAACCAGAGCCCACCCCCACCCCCGTGGCAGCAACGGGGTTCCCCATTGTGTCACAGACACTTGGCTTGTGGAGCTCGTGGTGGTGGTGGTGGTGGCGGCGGCGGTGGCGGTGGGAGCGATGGGGGGAGGTGACATGAGCACGAGGGGGGAGCAAAGGGACCGGCGGTGGTCGCGTGTGGTTTCGTTTTTTGCCACACAACTCCGGGGGGCTGTGGGTAGGGTGGTAACGTTATCGTCGCTCCACACGTGTTGAGCGTCCGGGCCGTGACAGGCGGAGCCCGATTTGTCACCGTGGCATTACGTTTTAAATCTATTTCACAACGAAAGTCTAATCGCAAGAAGGGAGGTTATTTTTTGTTTTAATTAAACGCTAAACGACCCGACATGGTTTTATTTAAAACTTACTGTCATCAGCATTTTAAGCATTTTCAACCTTCAGAACTGTGGTGATTGTGCAGGTATATTTAGACATAATATGTATATTTTGGTGTGTACTCACACTTTACAAACAGACACGCGATACAGTTTGTATTTGCCACGTAATTAATAGTTGTGAAGATCCACCTCTTGCCCGATGATTTGATACGTTTCCATGATTCGCGATCGGAATTCGATTCGGGAATCTCATTCTCTGTGATTAACCGAGTGGAGAATATCGTGTTCTTCAGGGGTTTATGTGAAGCCCACACGGAGAGCCATAACTGAATACTGTCCAGTATACGAATCGGCATAAATTGAACCTCGCTCGTACGATTCGATGCATGAATCGCGATCTAATTAATACCGATGGAATAATTGAACCATCAACACACTTATGAGTCTTCATCATAATGTTGCATTTTAAACAACGGGCATGTTACAATTTATCGACTCGCTGTTTGAAATGGCTTATGACGCTCGCGATACACGTGCATCGAAGTCGATTGAGAATGAACATTTTTTGTATCAAAGCGTGTTCGCAAATAATTTGCTCATTACCTTGAGGCCAATGGAGCTGAGCGGAGGACGGTTTTCGAGGCAAGACCACGAACGGGAAACCATTCGAATTGGCGAGACGACAGAGACAAAAAAAGACAACAACAAAAAGCAGCATCGATTTCGGGATCGGATTGTGACCGTGGATAGGCGACGAATCATCCGAGCGCAGGCAGCGAGAGCGAATCTTTGCGTGGGTGATGAGCAGCGCCGACGATAAATAATAAAATGGGATCTTCTCGTTGCGTCCGTTGTCGTTTTTCCGCAGCAAATCTTCCGACAGTTCGACATGGACCACTCGGGAAACATGAACGGGTACGAGTTCCGCCTCGCTCTGGCTGAAGCAGGTGGGTTCCGCCATCTTGGGCGCACACCATAACAAAGGTCCCCACCCCCCGCCCCCCGAATCACTCCGCTGAACGTTTATTTTTAAACTTTGATCATTTTCCTCACCAACAAAAGACGAAGATCCCCCGTGCAGCCTTAAGAGGCCGTTGGGGGCCAAGTGCTGTTAGCGAGCCACCGATGACGGTCGCACACGGCACACAAGGGGGTGGGTGGCCAGCACCACGCCCGGCCGAATTTGTCTCTCCAGTGGCGATGTTTACTACACGCCGTAACCGGGTACTCATTTAATGCCGAGTCCACTGAGGCAAGGCCCAGGACTGGCTGAGATATTCTTCACCGATTGAGTGTGAGTGGGAATTTTAACTCGGTTCGCCGGGTTTGTAGCGAAGTGCGCTCACCACTGCGCCACCGCTCCCCGTAAAACACTGAATACACACACGCGTGGTATTACACACATAAGGAAATTTGAGAATCGATGCACGTATGTTGTATGCGATCGGTTCATACAAACGCTGCAGGTGTGAAACAGCGAAGCCACGTTAAGATTCTGTATACACAAAGGGCAAAGAAAAATAATTTGTGCATCGAATATTATTTGTATCAATGTTCTTCAATGTTTATTGCGGGTTCCCCTTTGACCCTAAAGCCACGAGAGGCCACTCCATGAACTGCATCGTGAAAAACGAATCGGTTCCGGGATTGAGTCGTCTCCTTGTATTGCGACAAGTCGTGGGATCATCGCGTCCCTGTTAATCTCATCGACGTAATTTTATCGTTTTGCTCGCGTGTTTGAGAATCGCCCCACGACTACTTTCAGATTCCTCCTATACTGTATCGCATCACACTAATGCTTTACTTTTTTTTAACACGCATTACTCACCATACGTATGTGCATTATCTTAGAATGCGTAATCTATAATACGTAGTTATACATGTAAGTCCCCTTGTTGAGATGCTCTCGCAATCCCTTCGACAGGCTTCCGTCTGAACGACCAGCTGACGCAGACCATCACCATGCGCTACATGGAGGAGAACGGAGTCATCGACTTCGACAACTACCTGTGCTGCCTTGTGCGGCTCGAGACCATGTTCCGTGAGTTGGGGGGGGGGGCGGGGTGTGGGGGGGGGAAGTGGAGGGGGATGGAGGGTGCCATCACAGGTCACAAGGAGACGGCGACCGTCGGAAATCATCGGCCACGATCAACTTCCAGACTTTGTAGATTACATTGACACCTCCATCTTCTCAACAAACAAACAAATAAACGGCTGAAAACAGAACGTCCGACATTCGCCATAATGGGGGAAAAACGTCGAATTGATTCTTCATTCACGATGTATAGCTAGGGTTAAGCAATTTACTTGGCTAGGGCTAGGGGATCCACGTGGCAGGTATGTTTGGCAAGGGTTAAATGTGACACCAAACCTCGTTGCGTTTTTGTATCTTGCAGGGATATTCCAGGCCCTCAACAAGGATGGTGATGGAACCATTAAGCTCAAACTGCCCGAGGTGAGTTGGCTGCTAATTTACGTACAGTATGTTGAACTTCTTTTACACCGTATGTAGCCGACCGTGCCAATCGGAGGTGCGGGGGAAGGACAAGAAAGTAAGCATAGAAAGCAGTTCTAAAGATGAGTTTTCAATCCAGATGATAAAAAAGTGCATAGCTCCAGTGGCTTCCTAATATCGGAAGGGAGAGCGTTCCAGACGGCCGCAGACGTGCGTCTGGAAGCGCCGCGCGATGATGCGCTGACCAATTTTTGTGGGCCCTCACTTGCCCTCGTCGGTGGTATACGACGCTACGCATCGTCAAACTTAGCTCATAAACGTTCTGCTGCCCGTTCAGAGCCTCGCTCACCAGCTCGCTCACCGCCATGCCCAGCAACTTACCATCGCAACACTCGAACGCCCAACCCTCTTGCCCCGTAGCTGCTTATCTGCCTGTTCACCTACTCGGTCGCTCACTCTCCCACTCATTTATTCGTCCAATCATCTGCTCGTTACGTCATGGCCTCCTCTTCCATGTGCTATCTCACTCAGTTATTTCTCTGTCAATTGTTTGTGCTTGGTTTGTTCTTCGCCCGCACCTCAGATTAGCATGGTCGGCTACGTACGGCGTGAAAGAAGTTCAACATAATGCATACATTTATTTACCCAGCCGCTCACGCTCTCGCTCACCCTCCCACTTGCTTTCTCACTTGTCCTCTCGCCCATTCACCTCCTCACCCACGCCTCTCGAGTTGTCGCTCGCCCGCTCACCTGGTGCCGTGCAGGAAGCCGATTCCTGAGCCTTGCTCCACGGGACAATGTTCTCTCAGGACGAGCATCGGCCACGTGTGAAAGTCGCTCTCCTTGGATCGATGATGACGCCCCTCGTCTCGTTTCCTTGCCCTCCCCCCGCAGTTCCTGAACCTCACTATGTTCGGTTGAGGAGGGAGAGGAGGCGCGGGGGAAGCGAGCAGCGGGACGCAGCAGCGACGGCGACAGAGATCGGATGTCAGCTGGCGCATGAGCTCCAGCGCTTGCACGCTCCTACACGTGTGTGTCTTTGTTCGCGTGCATGTGTGAGAGCGTCGGCGTGTTGCCTACCCGAGTGTGCTCGTGCGAGTGAATGCGTGGGGTAGAGCTGTCGGAAAGCTACAGTGAAGTGGTGAGCGTGCTGCGCTGCAAACCCAGCAAACCAAGTTCGATGCCCGGCCACAGTTAACGTCTGTGACTTAAATGTGAATTGGTCCTAGGCCTCCCCTAGGTCGGCTCGTACATAAATGATTACCTGGTACGGTGTGTAAACATAAGCGCAAGTTGACGCAAAGGCGGCAGCTGGAAGCGATGCTGGCCACAACACCCACTTGTCCGCATTGCCTGTGTATGTTGAACTTCTTTCGCACCATACATAGGTGCTCGCTAACAGCACTTGCCTTAATAGTCTGTATAGCCATAAGGGGGGGGGAGTATCTGTTTGTGAGTGAGTCGGTTTCTATCCGTATCAAGCTGCAGAGTGCGAACGCGTGCGTGCGTTGGGTGAATGGCCGATGGCGGGCACCCTCCTCGCCAAAACCCACACACCGTCACGGCGCAGCGCCAGCCTTAATAGGTGCTCGCTAATCCAGCAACTCGTGCCTCACCGGGCCAAATGGAGGCCAGACAAGAGGGGGGGGGGGGGCAGCATGTCTATGCTTGTATGCTCTGACACACTTCTCATACATGTGTGTATGAGAAGTCAAGCGGGTGAATGGTCACACCAAAAGTATTTCGGGACGCCGACCGTCATTGCATGTGCACAGTCCCTCGCAGGCGCTTTACGTCGCCTCGAATCGCCGGCGTGCGTGTCTTGTACGTACGTTGAACTTCTTTCGGACCGTGGGTGGCCAGCCGTGCTAATCGGAGGGTTGCGAGGAGGAGGAGGAGGGAAGGACAACAAACACAAAACGAACGAGCAGTTCTCGATCAGTGGTGGGCAACCGTGCGGGGCCTCGTGCCCTCCCGTGGAGCCCCTCGTGATGGCCCGCCGGTCTCGGTGTCTCGAGGTCGATGGCGTGGGGTGGGGGTGGGGGGGGGGGGCGGGGGGGCGGTCACGCTCGGTGCCCGACCGCGACGACGTCAAAGCTTTCCGGCCCACCGGGGGTGCAGGAGGGGGGCCGCTCGCGAGGCCCACTGACCGTGGTCCACGTTGCCCACCCACCGTGGTTTGCCCGCTGCTGGTCTCGACTGTGGAAATTCGAATCAAAAGGTGGCGGAAAAACCCTCGGCGCGAGCCCATCGGGGGGCGGGGGTTCTCTCCGCTGCAGTGCCACACACAAAAAATGGGTTGGGGGGGGCGCACGATGCGTTTTGAAAACCTGACGGAGGTCGTTTAAATGCAGTTTATATGCACGCACACACAATGTGTGCACGCGTCTACGTAGCTACGCAGTGTTTTCATGCACGCGTATATAACGGATAATGGGGGTTTCTTTTCATTTACTGCTTACGTTTGGGGTTTTTTGTCGTTTTCTACAAAGCACCACAACGGTGCCGATTGCACGTTCAGATTTTTTTTATTTTAGTTTGGTGGGGTTGGTGGGACGTTCATGTGAGCGTGTGTATCATTTTTTTTTTAAATTCTCAAAACATCTCAAGCTTTCATTGTCCTTATACGTGTATCATTTTTTGTTCGTTTGCCATTATTTAAGCTCGGGTCTGTGTTTTCCCTCTCACCGTGAGAGTCATCCCATCGCAACCCGATTTGTTGAGTGTGTCCCAGTGACATTGCTGAACCGAGGCTCTGTAGCTGAGGGGGAGTCTCCAGCTCTGCGGCGGAGGCGTCAAGGTATCGTGAGAGAGAGAGAGAGGACATTTGTCGTGCGTGCGGCGACTTTTGGAGCTCGTGGGCAGCCCCGCCCTTTCCCCGTAGGAAACTGTTCAGCTGCCTTATCACGCCCTACCTCGAGTGAGGGGGGAGTGTGTGGTGTGTTTGTGTGTGCGCCTGGAGCACAGGTGATGCATTTGCAAGTCATCTCAGTCAACCCGTGGCACCTGGGTCTGTCCCGTGACTTCTTGTCAGCGAACCTTTAAAAACTTCCAACGGAAGTGCGCCTAGCCTGGCACAAGCACCGCGGTGACGTCACCGCCACTTGTATGGTAGTGTAGTGGTTAGTGCACTGCGATACAAACGCGGTGACTCAAGTTAGATTCCCAATTGTGGTCGACACCAATGACGATAATCTGAACCGGTCCTGGACCTCCCCTAGGTCGACTCGGCCTCAAATGAGTACTTGGCGTGGTGTGTAAACATCGCCACTGGGGTGACAAAGGCGGCCGGGCGTGGTGTTGGCCACTCATCCCCATCATGTGCTGTGCCGGCCTTCATAGGTGCTGCTCACTGTCTTTGCGTGGCAGAGACCTGCCGTGACTCCAAAGTCGGGCACGAAGCGAGTTTCACCCCAGGCTTCCCAGCCAGGAATTCCACGCAGCCTTGTGGGAGGACATATGTGGTGATAGCCCAGCGCCTACTGGTGCAGTTAAATATCGTTGGATTATTTCAGGGGTAAGGACACATTTCCTTCCTGAGTGCCGAATCATCATTGGGGTTTTATTTCAATATAGTTGCAGCCAATTTTATGAGTGATTATACAACTGGGAAGAAACCGGAGCACTCGGGAGGAAACGGACACGCGCGAGGGGGCAACATTCGATCCCTGTACAGGTGGAAACAGATGGCGATTAGTCCATTTGCTGTACCGCCTTCTCTTGGCGAGCCAGGGTACAGCACCTCGACGCCAACGGGAAGGGAGCTCCACAACATCTGTGCGGTGATCCACCAACGCTCGCTGCTGCCTCCACAGAGGCAGGCACGTGCATAGCCACCATTGTTACAAACCTGTGCGCACTGTGAGCGAAGCAGTTGGGCTACCTATAGGTGGTGCCTGTTCGTTTGCAAAGGTACAATTGCATTTTCTAGTGAGTATATTCTTAATCCTACACTCTATGGTTCTTTCGGTAAAGTCACGTACGTTACCGAAATAACCAAAGAGTATGGATTCCTGCAGTCACGAAAGCTTCAAATCTAGATTATATTCCTACAATTAAAACTATTAAATTCATTTAAAAAAATAACCCCAATAGCAGGACCCGTGTCTGCTTGGGGCCTGGTGAATGCCCTCTTCTGGCCGGTGCTTATATTTCACGTGGCCGAATGTAGCTTTTATTTGAGGGCTGCTGCCATCTAGTGGTACAATATGGAGAGAAAATATTAAAAGGACCCGGGGGGGGGGGGGGGCATGATGCCACGCACGCTGACAATATTCACCAAGCTTCGAACTGACCAAGCTTACAGAATAATATTTTTTGAAGAGTCGGCTCGCTGGAAAATGACGTCCGAAAGAAAGGGGTTAAAAGGGATTATCTGCCACCCAATAAATGCGTGTAGGAAACTGTTTTAACACTAATTGATGGATACGTGTCAACTCGTACATGCATCAATACACTACACACGCGATAATTGAGTACGGATTCGTTTACAAAAAAAATGTGCAAATATGCGGTTATATTTCAGGCGAACCGAGAGACAACTCTGCAAACTAAGCAGATAAAACCCCAATTAAAAAAATACAAGAAACAGAACTAATATTGTGAGAATGCATATACATCGATTCGAGGTGATGGCACGTGAGTGACATCGGTGAGAGGGAGGTGTACAATTGCAATAATGATTTCTCAAGTGGCGGTAGAGGCCCCCTGGTATTGATGAAGGGCGTGCGTGCCCCTGCCGATTGGGCCACGGCCGTCCAGACGGTTTGCACGTGTGCACGTTGAACTCCTTTCGCGCCGCACGTAGCCAACCGTTGCAAATCGGAGGTGCGGTTTCGGCCTGTCGTAGTGGCGGGGATGGTCACCACAGCGCACGTGTGCCAGGCTCGATGCACCTTGAGGCCACGTGAAGTTGTCGAAGGCTCCATCCAGGCCCTCCCTGACCCCGCGCCCGTGTGACATGACAGAATCGGCAGCAGGAGCAGCGGCAGCGGCAACATCATTATGACTCTGCGTAATCTCTCCCTTTTTATGACCACATCCTCGTTTTCACATCATCATCATCATCTCCAACCTCGTTACATCCCCTGCATTTCAGTGCTACAATTAAGTCACAAGACTACCACGTACTGCGTGTGCTCCCCGAACCTTCAAGCCGCACTTTATCCAGCGTGTGGAAGTATTATGGTCACTCTAGATTTGAAGTTTTCGTGACTGCAGAGATCCATACTCTTTGGTTCTTTCGGTAAAGTCACGTAGGTGTAAAATACATTAAATCACGACGTTTCGGGCGCAACACAAGCGTCCGTCATCAGGTGGGACAACCACAGCAAGAAACAATTGCTGAAGTGGGCAAAAGGGCTGCTGCAACAAGAGGCTATATAGGTAAGAGAGGGGGAGGAGCCAGGGAGGAGAGATAGAGAGGGGGGTGTGGGGTAGGGGGAGTGGAGTGCTGCAAACTCGAGGGATTACAGAGCGAGCAAGGCACGAGCACGACAAAATGCCGGGGGGGGGGGGGGGGGGGGAGAAGTGAGCGGGGCTGGGAGTGGGAGGCTGAAGAAACTGGAGATGCGGATATGAAGGCAACACCATAAACCAGTTAAGGTTTTACCTGGTTAATAACATCCTTCCAATGATTGCTCAATTTGTATCCATCTTCTCGGTTGAAGTTATGTCTGTTTATATATCTGGATGGCTTCATGAACAAACCTTTGATAGTAGCCCGAAGGTTTGCAGAGTACCTTGGTCTCGGAAAAAAAAACAATATCATGCGAGCCCACAGCGTTATAACAATGGTCAGCCACGGCAGAGGTATTGGTTCTGCCGTGTTTCAGATCTTACTTGTGGTCGCGAACACGATCCGAGATATGTCGTTTCGTTTCCCCAATGTAACACCCACCACATGTGCAACTTAGTTTGTAGACTCCAGGATATTGCATGTCAGGAATGACATCCTTCACAGATCCAGGTCCGATTCAGTACAGTACACAAAATCCGTGATCTAATCCCATCTGTGAAGGATGTCATTCCTTCTATATAGCCAGATGATACGACAAATCGCAAACCTTAAACACCCAGTCGTTCATAAAAGTTTAAGGCGGTATAGTACTATAGTAATAGAGCAAGTGCAGAATCACTGAACCGGAATTGATAGCTTGAAAGCATTTAGCACGGGGCCTTTGAAAGTGCGGCGCCCGTAGCTACTACATATGTAGCTACTAGGATAATCTGGCACTGGTTATGAGTCGGGATTTCATCTCTACAGTTGGATCACGTTGAGTGGTGCTGAGAGACCCTCAATGTAATGCCTCAACTCTTATTGTGGATTACGTCTCATCACACATGCACAGGTCATCGCTACCGTCACGACTGCTACAATTATTGACTTGGTTAAGACTATGGACTAAAGCATGGTTTCATTTAACAATTTATCTCCGTTACAAAGACACCATGTAGCCGTTGCACGCTGCGCACGGCGAATGCCGATTCAAATTGGGGATACGGGGACATAGGCTCGCAAAGTGATTAAAAAATAAATTCAATTTTAAAAAAATACAATGTATGTAGCGGCATCTAACGGCTAGATGGGTCACACGTAAAGCCATCTCACACGTACATACAAACATACGATTCGAAACAACAGCGTTTCTGACACGAGTTATTCCTATGCATGCATCATAGACCGGGATGGATCGATGGATGCGTCTCCACGGGGTTGGAAGTTCACTCACGTTGAACGTTTGACTGCGGTGTCGCAACGCCACCTGCTGCCTCGACAACTTCATCACATGCACTCTTGCTTCACGTGCCTCAGGCTCTTCATTGTTTTTAACACGTGGTGGTGGCTATCGACAATTAAAGTGCACCTAGCATGAAAGCAAGTTCTGCAGTGACGTCACCGCCACTTAGTAGTGGTGAACAGCGGTTGTTGTTGGTTGACAATGACCTCCAACTCTGTTTACATTACACACGGGTATGAGGTTGCTTTGACACCGGAGCAACTCATCCCAGTCATCTTGGCCATCAGGTTGTCTGTATTCGCAAGTGTGTTTCAGATTTCTCCCGACTAACGCATATTATTTTTTTTCATCATTTATTTTGATACTGGAAAAAAGGGTCCCATACCCGTTGGTTCTTTCGGTAAAGTCACGTAGGTAGAAAAAGAATAGATCACGAAGTTTCGATCCCAACACAAGCAATCGCCATTAGGTGGGACAACCACAGCAAGAAAAAACTGCTAAAGTAGGCCAGATATCTGCCGTGGCACGAGGCTATATAGGTCTCGGCAGTAGGGGGGGAGAGAGAAGTGGGTCCCATTCACATAGCGGCTCAACACGAGCTATTAATGCTTTGACACGTGCATTGCCTCTGTACTGGCCACCTTTTGGCGTTCTCTCGTCGAAAACTGGCGAGACAAGGCCATAACGAAGGCTGTCTCAGATGTAGACCAATCGGTTTCAAAGGCAATGCATGTGTACTCAAAGCATGCTCGCATGTTTTGCCACGAGTATGTGTGGCTAATGCAGACTCGATGCCTTGCAATATGTATCTATTTGGTGTTTGAACATCGTAATACCTCCTGTATTATTGCCAGAAAGGGTTTAGGCCTATACTTTTTTTGTACTCCCGACTATCCACGAGTATCATCACCGGTATCATTACACTCGCAATAATGTTGGATCGCGATCATCAACCCCCAACAATCCTGGTCATCGACACCACCCTCACTATCCACACCACGAAAATAATCGCCACCGCCCGCTAGATTCGCCATCACCATTGTTATTATTAACAAGTGTAATGTGAAATTAACAACACATCTATTTTTTTGGAGTTATATGCTTGGAACCAGTGATTATGTGATAAAAAGCAATACTTTTGAATGTGGGTAATGCAGTACAGTAGTTAAAGCTTAATACAAGATAAATATATTTACGATAAAATATCATCTGAAATAACACGAATATCTAACTGACTGCACTGCAGTGTATTGAGATGAGTGTGTATGTACTATTGTTTGCGGTAAACATCAGCACTGGGGAGACAAAGGCGGCCGGGCGTGGTGCTGGCTACCGACCCCCTCGTGTACCGTGTCGGCCTTAATAGGTGCTCGCTAACAGCACTTGCCCCAAGCCTGTTCAAGGCTAAATGGGGATCGTTGTCTTTGTAGCAATGTTACTTGGCGTAATGACACTGCCTTAGACTTTCTCGCGTTCGCTTAGTGCCAGACCTGAAAAAAAATCAAATGTATCCAAGAAAGCGTCGTCCGTGAGTCTCCAAGACTCTCTCGGGAGTGTGCTGCATTGGGGGAGGGGAGGTTTGGCCAATCCAAATCATTGAGGCGCTAATTTAAACCGGAGTATCCGGAGAAAACCCACCACGCACACGACGGGGAGTAATATGGAACGCTCCGCAAAGATAGATTCAGGAATCCATTGCTGTAGCGCCATCTTCTGACCACCTCGTGGCCCAAGCCCTACCGCACCTGCTATTGTCAGGTGGTCTCCCATCCAGTGCCAATCGGGGTCAACCCCGCTTAGCTTCCGAGATCAAATGAAATCGAGTGCCTTTAAGTCGTTGGCAGATGATCATAAAAAAACCCGCACGATAATTTGGCTCGCCCGGAGCCCCTTGATGTTCGAGGGGGTCTGTTCCTCGCGTGCTACGGAGCTACGTTCATTGAGAGCTGCCTGTCCCGGGTGCGTTCCTCTTGGATGACGCCCTTGACTCGTAGAGCGGAACGGTATCTGTCCACATTAAATATTCCGTATCTCACTGGTCTTATTTTTGGGCCGCCTATTAATCAATTCGCCGCCCTTGACTTGTCAAGGTGACCGCACAATGAGACCCGTGATCTGTACGTCTTTGCAAAAGGGCGACCCGCATGAGAAATTGTAATCGGGGGCTTTGTAACTTTCAAATCTGGGGGGTGGGAGGTATATTAGCCATGACACCATGGCAAATAAACCTGGGGCGGCGCTACGGTGGCGAGATGTTAACTATCTCGCCTGGAATACAGGAGGTCGTGGGTTCAATTTCGACCTGAAGCCTGTATATTTGGGGTCTGCATGTCTCTCTCCCCAATGGTCGTGTGGATTTTTCTCCGGGGGTCCTCCGGGTTTCTCCCTCTACATTTAGAATCCGTGTACGTCTCTAGTATTTGGCTGCTATAATTTTCCACGTGATCAGCAACTTCGTTGAGCTATCATATGCGGCCAGGTCGCTTCCGAAAAAGAGCTCAGTGGGCCTTACCTGGTAAAACCAAAATAAAAAAAACTTTATATTTTGATTTAAAGCTTTCGTGACTGCAGGGATTCATATTCTTGGTTCTGTCGGTAAAGTCACGTAGAAGGGAAACAATAAAATAATAAAAATATAAAAAATACAATTCTCACGACGTTTCGACTGCAACACAAGCAATCATCAGCAAGAAAATTTGAAAAAGTGGCGGGTTTTTTTTGCAGTCGAAACGTCGTGAGAATTGTATTGTTTTATATTTTTATTATTTTATTGTTTCCCTTCTACGTGACTTTACCGAAATTTACCAAGAATATAAAAAAAACTTTATAGTTTCGTAAAATATGCTTCAATTGCAAGAGACGTTTCCTCGGAGGGCTCTCACCTGCTGAACATTAAAGGGGTTAATTGACGGTGGCCTACTCTTGAGAATAGTTTTTTTGTATATCTGCAAGTAGAAAGTGAATGCACCTCGCTCACAACGTTCCTATATCCCTTACGTTTCCCCTGGATCCCTGTAATCGCCTCTTGCTTGTGTGGGTTCAAATCTCGCCCGCGGCTAACGCCAGTGGCACGGCATGAGAACGGGCTGTGCGCCTTCCTCCGGCTTAGGTGGATGCTGCCTTCAACGAGCAAGTACCTGGTGCTGTGTGTAAATATCCGCACTGGGGAGAAAGACAAAGGCGGCCAGGCGCGCTACTGGCTACACAGCTCTCTCGCGTCGTGTCGGCGGCCTTAATGCGTGCTCGCAGCGTCTCCACCACACAGTGGGAGCGTCTGTGAATGTAATGTGGACTGGTCTCTATGGACAGTGTAAGTGGACGGTTATCACATTAAAATGTTTTATTGGGTAGGAATGATATGAATCCTTTGTCACGACTCAACCCAAGCGTTGATTATCTTTGCTTGCATCGCCTCGTTTGTGCTACCTCGTTTATACTCAGGCGATGACCATGGACCAGCTGTAGCGCGTTGAGTCGCGCGTTGCCTTGCAGAGGTTCAAGGTTAGAATCCAGCGGACGCTCACTTTATTACCGCGGGTGTATGTTAACCAGAAAAAAATAGGCGAAGTCTGTATTAGAATGAACGTTAAAGATCCCGTCACGTCATTACCAATAGTCGGCCATTGTGTGCCTGCGCCTTGGTCCAAATTTGGAAGGAAAAAATGTGCACCGCAAAATATTCAGTTGAAATATGCAGTGCATCGCAGTCATCACCTTCTACGACTGCGAGACTTGACAGGATTCTCCTGAAAAAGAGGTATTGAGACCCAGTGATGCTTCCCTGGGTAAGCAAGCGGAATAATCATGTACGGTCTGTCGTCGGAGGTCTGTTCTGTCTCGCATGGACAATATCGTAAATCGCAAATAGTAAACTGAGGCCTCTCGTGACTAGCTGACCTCGACTTTTATATTTGACGCTCGTGCGTATTGTCATCAGCACGAGTAGAACCGTCTCGCTTGTGCAATCTATGGTGTCCGTGCTCGTTTGTCCGTTCATCCGTACCACCTGACATCCATCGTCCCCTTTGTACCGATTCGTCGTGCCCCCAGTTCGTTTAACCCATTCGCAAACAAAAAAAGTCGACGTTGCCTGCATCTAAGGTTAGCGAGTATGTTTCCCACTATTCGATGCACGGACGGATCGTGGAGCGAAATAATCGATGGGAATTACATTCTTCGTTCGAAGGAATTTTTTGTTCCTGGTTCGTGCTTGCCACTTAGCGCCCCCTCGTGGCATTAATTGAGGGGTGGGGGCTTGGAGGTGTGACGTCAGCGACCTGCATTCAGCACCACGGACAGCGGCGCTGTTGCCACAGCTAGGACTGAACGATTTGGGGAAATATCTAATTGCGATTTTTCTGACAGATATTGTGATTTGATTTGCGATTACATTTTTTGAACTCAAGCTTCAGTTCAATATTCACTGTGTAATAGATTTACAACACGTGATGGAGCATTACCACATGATACCATCAAAATATGAACTGCTCTATATATTCTAATGCAATGATGAGAACTTAAAGTATATGAATTGCTTCCAACATGTATTTATTAAAATGTTTTAATTGAAATAGAACAATCAAACATATAACAATTGTTAAGTTAAATAAATAAAGTTATAATAATAAACCAATTCCAATAAGATAGTAAGAGGACTTTTCAAATCGCAAAAAATCGCAGCCTTTGCGATTTTCTAATCGCATTGTTTCAAATTGCGATTTCAATTCGAAATCGATGAATCGGTCAGCCCTAGCCACAGCCCGTATGACAAGCACGCCTCGGCTGCTTCATTCACCCTGCCCGTGGAAATCATTCAACCTGGTCAACGCCTCTGAAGAATTATTCATCCCCAGTCGAAAGCCGTGGTGGGGAGGGGGGGGGGGGGCGATGATTTGTGAAAAAATAAATTTGTTGATGTGGAGAGACAGATGTATGGATGAGACGTATTGTCGACTTCATACATCTGTTTTTTATAGCAATTTAACATTGCACATATTATCCCGACGCTCGCGATAGCTTCATCGAAAGCCGTGGTGTAGATAATCGATTGTTTACAGTGTGCGCGCAGTATGTGATGTCGCTACATTTACACGAATGGAGCAAATCATGTTAAAATGTTCAAACGCGATAGCATAAGAATCAATACAAAAATCGACAAAGAAAAATAACCGATTCAGAAAATAAATCGTGACCTCAAAGAGAGACAATGGAATTTCTGGTGAGAGGATGCATCATTGCATACTTACAATGTAAAGCAATCGTTTGCAGAAGTTCAATTACTGCTTAAACAAGTCAGACAATGTCCTACTGAAGATAATATCACAGAGCTATCTCTGAGATCAATTCAAGTGAGCTGGTCCACACAGGAGAGGGCAGCATTTTTCCTACCCGTCCTGTCGCATGAGAGTAACGTACGATATTTAAGGGCAGCACCACATTTATTCCTATGGGGGGTTTTTGTGCAGTCATTTGGTGACGGGGCCGAGACCAATCATCTCCCAACAATTGGGAACCCCGCATTCGAATCCAGGTTCCCAGCGGTCACATCTCAGCGCTCTTCCCTCGGAGACAATCCAGCCACCTCAGCGCCGCACACCATTAAAAAAAAAACTTTATCCAAACTGCGAGAGGGCTGGCTCGCCGCAAACCACCCGTGGCCAAACCAGTCAATCCAGGATCCAGGCCAATGAATTAACCAAATGTCCCTGAACGCTACGTACGCTCCGCCATCAGATACGGTTTTTAAAAAAAAATCATTTACAATATTAGTCGATGCAGTCCTACAATGTCACGTGTATTGGTCAAAAGTCGCAGTGACTGCCAGCTCATGTAAGTATTGAGCGTTGCTGAGCCAGTGCTATAAAGTCCACGTTCATGTGCCGGGGATAGTCTTGACAAACGACTGCCACTGCTGACCTCCTTACCAATCGATGCACCCTTACCACCCGTTTAATGACCCCGATAGGATGATGATGATGATGTGACAGAACAAACACTGGTTGGGATTTGAACTCAGTTACTCACTACTGTGAGTCCTGGTGCTTTAGCAAATGAGCCACAATCGAACGGATGCTACGGAACGCTTAGTTAAATTACCAAATGTAGCATCCATTTTCTATCCACTGCTGTATACGGGCTTTACTATGTTTCCATCACCACCCCCCCCCCCCCCATACAGATTATTTTGTATATGCATATACAATATACACAACGCTGTGTGATTAAAATTAAGAAAAATGCCGTGTCCAACACGTATGCATCATTGTGACTGTATTGTTTGCCTCATCATGAAACATGTGCCTTTAGTTTAATTTGAGTGACAGAGGGGAGCGTTATCCAAAAGAATACTGCTCAGTGTGTGGTTCTGTGTGCCAGGATAAGTGAGTATGATTGTGTGGCTGTGCGAATTGATACAATTTTGTGTGGCTGTGTATGGCTATATATGTATATACAGTATATGTTATATGCCTTGGTGTATGGCTGTGTGGCTCGGTATTTGTATACTTCCGTGCATGGCTGTTTGTGTGTCTCATCGACCTCATGTGTCTCTGTACGCCTATAGGTTAAGGATAAGCTCTATATGTAAATGTGTGTCTTTCGCAGGCTGTATATGCGAGTGTCGATAGGTTGTCTATGGCTACTGCGGGGAGCGTTCGTGTGTGGCGTTAAATGCGCTGCGATTCGACCCGGGCGACCCGAGTTCGATTCCCGCTCACGGCCAACATAGGTGACGACTATCTGAACCAGTGCTGGGCCTCCCCTAGATCGACTCAGCCTCAAATGAATACCTGGAACGGCGTGTAAACATCAGCATTTGGGAGAAAAAGGCGGCCAGGCGTGGTGCTGGTCACCCACCGCCTCGTGTGCCGTGCCGGCCTTCATAAATGCTCGCTAACAACACTTGCTCAAACAGTCTGTTAAAGGTTATACGGGAGATATTTGTCTTGGAGAGCTGTGCTTTTTTGTCTTGTATAGCTATATAAGGAACGAAACAGGTGGACTTCTCCACAAATCTGGCTGTGGCCTGATGAAGCTGGTTGTAATTCCTGGCGAAACGTCGCACTCAGATTGTAAATGTTGTGGCTGCGCTCTCCAACACACCGGTGTGCTGTACTAGTGACGATTTGGCCATGTTGTTTACGTGACAACCCTTACTAGTTGGCTGTGTCGGGTGGTGGCGGGGTTTAACGACACATTTATATATTTACGCGATCTTACCCAAAAAGCCTCTAATGGATGATATCGGTCGCGAAAGCCTACGTGTTAAATAGCAATGTGTATTTAAGATCAAATAGCTCGCTGTGTTATGGAACTCTGCGCGCGCGTGTGCGCGTGTGTGCAACTCATGTGTGTCGGCGTGCGCACGGCTATCGTTCGAAAATTAATGAACAGCTCTCTCTCCACGCGAACTTTTTCATCCCGATCGACGCCAGGAGGAGCCCCGAATCATCCGCATTAAACGCCGGTGCATTGTGGGTGCATTTGGAAGGAATAGCTCGACAGAGAGGGCGGAGGGAGCCCGCGGGGTGAGCAGCAACCACAGCAGCAGCAGCAGCAATAGCATCATCAGTAACAGCATCATCAGTAACAGCAGCGGCCGCCGCCGCCACTGCATCACCACCATTAGCAGCAGCAGCATTATAGCCATCACTGTAATCAATAGCAGCACCGTTACTGTTAGCGGCAGACATTCACCACCACAGTCATCGGAAGCGACAGTACCATCACGATCACTGTCATCATCGTCTGTAGCAGCAGCAGCAGCATCTGTATCGCCGTGATCAGCAGCAGCAAGGACGAACGGGGAGAGTGAAGCACCTTCATGGAGAGGTAGAGGGAGACACGACTCTGGGGGGAGACGGGAGGAGCTAGGAACAGAGAGGAGGAGGAGGGAGACACGGAGAGGTGGCAGTGATTCTGTGTGCCGTGGAGGGTGAAGCGTTTTGCGGCGAGCGTAATCAACCCTGAGCTCGGCCTCGCGTGCATAGCGCAAGGTGAGCCCGTGTACCCGTGTGCGTGTGCTGATGTGATTGCGTGTGTGTGTGCGTGTATGTCATTGTGTATGTGTCATTATGTGTGTGTCATTGTGTGTGTGTCATTATGTGTGTGTGTGTCATTGTGTGTGTGTGTATTCGTGTGGGGAGCGGTGGTGTAACGGTTTGCGCGCTGCTCTGCGAGCCCGGCGACACGAGTTCCATTCCCGCTAACGGCCGATGCCAGTGACGATTATCTTAACCGGTCCTGGGTCGACTCAGCCTCAAATGTGTACCTGGTGCGGTGTGTGTAAGCATCGCCACCTGAGAGACAAAGGCGGTCGGGCGTGGTGCTGGCCACCCACCAGCTCGTGTGCCGTACTGGCCTTCAGAGGTGCTCGCAAACAGCACTTGCCCCAACAGTATGTTAAGGCTATAAGGGGCGTCTTTGTCATTGTATTCGTGTGTGTGAGAGATGTGTCATTGCATGTGTCATTGCATGTGTGTACGTGTGACATTGTGTACGTGTCTACGTATTTCATTGTGTATACGTGTGTATACACGTGCGTGTATGTGAGACGGTGTGTCATTTTATGATGGTGTGGCTAATTACATGTACGAGTATGATTGTGTATAGCTATGGATGAATGTGAATGTGTATTTATCCATGTATGATTGTGATTTAGTGTGTACGGTTGTATATAATTATTTGTGCTTGCGTGAGATTGTGTATAGGCGTGTGATCATATATGTGTGTGTGTGTGTGGTTGCGTATCGTTGTGTATACGTATGCGATTGCCCTATGTGCAATTGTCCGTGTGACTGTGTAAATGCGTGTGTACCGTTGTGTATGTGTGGTCGCGCGTGTGTGTGGTGCATGCATTGTCCAAGGGCGAAACTATGGCTTCCGTGGTCATCACAATGCGCTATGAATGGAGTTACATTCCCGGTCAGGGTCAACATCGGTGGGATATCTGAAACGCTCCTGAGCCTCCTTTAGATCGACTCAGCCTTAAAGAATTACCCAATACGGTATGCAGTTGAGTACAACAAAAGATTAGCTCAGGGAGGGAGAGTGACAAAGACGTTCGGGCCATACCATCGTTTCGTGCACCGTGCAGCCCTTAATAGGTGTTCGCTAACAGCGCCTGCAACGACAGCACAGGCTGGTGATGATGATGATGGTTGCGATGGTGATGCTGCACGGATGATCTCTGTCTTCTCCGTACAGTGCCAGACCATTGCGCGATGTCGCATGCACCACTGTATGCGCAATAGGAAACACGGTGATGGAGGAGGCGTTGCGATGGTGATGATGGTTGCGATGATGATGATGGTTGTGTTCGTGGTGATGGCGATTATGGTCGTGGCAGTGATTATGGTTGTGGATGGTGATTATGATGGTCGTGTGATGGTAATGATGGTGATTATGATGGTTGCGATGGTGATTGGGATGATGGTGGTGGTAGTGATGGTAACGATGGCGATGACGAGGCTTTGCACCGATGCACTGGATGTCACAGCAACGGCGCCGAGAGACGCGACGGGAATGGGGAGAGAGAGAGAGACACACACACACAGAGATACACACACACACAGGGAGAGAGAGAGACACACACAAAGACGCACACACAGAGAGAGACACACACACAGAGAGAGACACACACAGAGAGACACACACAGATACACACACAGGGAGACACACACACAGACAGAGACAGAGAGAGAGACACAGAGAGAGACACACACACAGAGACGCACACACAGAGAGAGACACAGAGAGAGAGATAGACGCAGAGAGACACAGAGAGAGACACACGCACAGAGACAGAGAGAGAGAGACACAGAGAGACACACACAGAGAGAGACACACACGGGAGAGTTGCCGCCGTTATATGGGGAGATGGATGGGTTTGGTCGACTGCAGCTCACGCGGACGGATACCCTGATGTAAGGGACCTCATGCAGGGGTGGGGGAGGAGGAGCGGGGTAAGGCGGGACCGGTGTTCAGTGTTCGGGGAGCCGTGGGTCCGTGTCGGGGACCGCTCCGAATGGGACCCGGACCAGACCCCGACGTTATCAGACGTGCACCGCGAGTGTGTGCCGCCTGGTGATGTGTGGAGGCGTGCTGTGTGTGACAGTGTGTGTGCTGTGTGTGACTGTGTGCGTGACAGTGTGTGTGCAGTGTGTGACAGTGTGTGTGAGCGGTGTGTGACAGTGTGTGTGACTGTGTGTGTCAGTGTGTGCAGTGTGTGTTGTGTGTGACAGTGTGTGGAGTGTGTGTGCTGTGTGTGACTGTGTGTGACAGTGTGTGTGCAGTGTGACTGTGTGTGTGCAGTGTGACTGTGTGCAGTGTGTGACAGTGTGTGTGACAGTGTGTGTGCAGTGGGTGCAGGGTGTGTGCAGTGTGTGTCAGTGTGTGCAGTGTGTGACTGTGTGCAGTGTGTGTGCAGTGTGTGTGCAGGGTGTGTGCAGGGTGTGTCAGTGTGTGCAGTGTGTGACTGTGTGTGCGGTGTGTGACTGTGTGTGACTGTGTGTGCAGGGTGTGTGCAGTGTGTGTCAGTGTGTGCAGTGTGTGACTGTGTGTGCAGTGTGTGACTGTGGGTGCAGTGTGTGTGCAGTGTGTGACTGTGTGTGTGTGCAGTGTGTGACTGTGTGCAGTGTGTGACTGTGTGTGTGCAGTGTGTGACTGTGTGTGTGCAGTGTGTGACTGTGTGTGCAGTGTGTGTGCAGTGTGTGTGTGTGCAGTGTGTGACTGTGTGCAGTGTGTGACTGTGTGTGTGCAGTGTGTGACTGTGTGTGTGCAGTGTGTGACTGTGTGTGTGCAGTGTGTGACTGTGTGCAGTGTGTGACTGTGTGTGTGCAGTGTGTGTGCAGTGTGTGACTGTGTGCAGTGTGTGACAGTGTGTGTGCAGTGTGTGACTGTGTGCAGTGCGTGCTGTGTGTGACAGTGTGTGTGCAGTGTGTGACTGTGTGAAGTGCGTGCTGTGTGTGACAGTGTGTGACTTAGTGTGTGTCGTGTGTGACAGTGTGTGTGCTGTGTGTTGCAGTGTGTGCTGTGCGTGGCGGTGTGTGCAGTGTGTGACTGTGCGTGGCGGTGTGTGCTGTGTGTGCTGTGTGTTGCAGTGTGTGACAGTGTGTGCTATATGACTGTGTGTGCAGTGTGTGACTGTGTGTGACTGACAGTGTGTGCGGTGTGTGACTGTGTGTGCAGTGTGTGACTGTGTGTGCTATGTGACTGTGTGTGCTATGTGACTGTGTGTGCTATGTGACTGTGTGTGCTATGTGACTGTGTGTGCAGTTTGTGCTGTGTGTGACTGACAGTGTGTGCGGTGTGTGCTATGTGACTGTGTGTGACTGTGTGTGACTGTGTGTGCTATGTGACTGTGTGTGCTATGTGACTGTGTGTGCAGTTTGTGCTGTGTGTGCTATGTGACTGTGTGTGCTGTGTGTGACTGACAGTGTGTGCGGTGTGTGTGCAGTGTGATTGGGTGCGGAGCTGTGTCTGTGTTTTAAGTGCAGTATTTGGCTGTGTGATAGTGTGTGGCTATGTGGCTGTGGGTGTGGTTATTATATATCTGTGGCTGTGTGTGTAAGATTGTGTGTGACTGGGTGTGTCTGTTTACGTGATTGTATAACTGGCTGTGTGTGTGTGTGACACTGTGGGTGATACTACGGTTCGCGCGCTGCGCTACGAACCCGGCGACCCGAGTTCGATTCCCACTTACGGCCAACACCCGTGGCGAATATCTGAACCGGTCCTGTGCCTCCCCTCGGTCGATTGAGTACTTGGTGCGGTGTGTAAACATCGCTACGAGGGAGACAAAGGCGGCCGGGCGTGGCGTTGGCCACCCACCCCCTGGTGTGCAGTACCGGTCCCAACAGCCTCTTAAGGATCTTTATCTTTGTGTTTATTTATATACAGTAATGTATGTGGCTATGAATATGTGTATGTACGTATGCGCTTGTGTATGCACAGCATGTACATGTGTGATTTTGTGGATGCGTGTGTTTGCCGAGTGTGACAGTTTTGTGTACCTGTTTGTGATTGTAGCTGAATGTTGTGTCATTTTGTGTACGTTGCCTGTGATTATGTGGCTGTATGTGTATGAATGTGTACGTATATCAGATTGTGTGTGGATGTATATGGATACATGGTGTGCTTGCCTTTTGTATATATGCGTGTGGTCTTGAGTGGTGGCAGATTTGGTTAGCGCACCTGGAGAACTGAGCTCCCGTTCCCGGCCACTCATAACATAAGTAAGCGAATATCTGAAATGGTCCTGGACTTCCCCTAGATCTACTCAGCCTAAAACAATTGCAGTTCAGAGTACTTGGTGAAGTGCCTGATCGAGGTCAGCAGTGGGGGAAGACAAAATCGGGCGTGGTGCTGCTGTTCCACATCGCCCTCTTGTGTGTGTCCTGCCAGCCTTAATAGGTGCTCGCTAACAACACTTGCCTCTAACGTCGCTTCGCTAAGTCGTAGAGCTCCCTTTGAAAAGCGAAAGCCACTAGGCCCAGCAAAAGCGACCCACGTGGCTCAGCTGAATATTACTTAGATAATTTATCTGCGATACATTTCCACACGATAAGCCACTTCATTGAGCTGTCATTTGTGGCCAGGTCGCTTCTTAAAAGTAAGATAATAGCTCATTGGGCTAGTAAGAAGAAAAGATAGTTCAGTTTTATTTGTATATATTTGTTAAGTGATTTGTTTACCTTTCCTATACAATGCGCTCCAATCATGGGTGTGTGTTTGTTTGTTGTTGTAACGTTGTGACCCGGCTTTAATTGGACATCTGTCGACTGATGAGGCTGGTTATAATTATTGTGCTGGAAAAATGTCGTACTCGAATTGTAAATGTTGTGGGTTTACTCTCCAACGTACCGGTGTGCTGTACTAGCAACTAATTGGCACATTTTGTTTACGTGACAATCCTTACTAATTGGCTGTGTCAGGTGGTGGCGGGTTTAACGACACATTTATATTTACGCTATCTATCCGAAAAAAAAACCCTCTATTATGCATAATATTAGTCGCGAAAGCCATACTCCGTGTCAAAATGTGACGAAGAGCTTTCTACAAATAAATATTCTGATCAGTCTTCCGTGAGTGCCAATCACAAACCAGGCTGTCTGGCTTCTAGGTGGTCATGGGAACGCCGTATTCAAAGTGAACACTTTGCTCGTTTGCCTTTGTGTACACACACGATTGTTAACGTGTCTGTACAGATTTAAAACCACCGACCAGGGAATTAAGAAAGCTTCATTTTACACTTTTATATATTAAAAAGTGCCCTTTTAAGGGTCAATTTGCGAAACCAGTGACATGACTTCTATAGCCAATCACGGCTAAGGTCGGCGGCAAGTGGCTCAACCTTGGGCACGTAGCGTCACTCCCCTAGGGCGACTCGGCCTCGAATGAGCACGCGCGAATAAAATCAACCGCGCGAGCACCCGCGTCAAATTGTTATGTACCGAGAAGCTTATTAAGAGCAAAATAACGCATTACTGATTTCATGCTCCAATCATTAACGAGGCACTTACGCCTGTATAGCGGTGCAGAGTTTTGTTATGTATATGTTTGCACCAAGTGACAGCAGAATATCCAATCTCACGTTGCGTGAACATTCAATTGTTGCGAGAGAACCTTGCGAATTGACACATTATTTTTTGTTGAAGGCCAGCAGTGGCCTCCTCCCACACTTAATGCATTCGACCTGCTCTTCTACGCTGTCCAGACATATTGAAAGAGGTGGAAGTACCCACACTTGACCCCACCACAGGCGACCCCGCTGCTAATCGACCACCGTGGCTTACCCACTTCATACTGCCGGGCCTACGGAGGCGAGGAGGGGCCGAGGATTTCAGAAATGTGCCCCATTGCTTCCACTGCCGCGACGGGAGATCGACCAACGGCTGGGTTATTGAAACTAGCCTGCATGGTTTCACACACGCCACCACTTTTCAGCCCATGTGTTTTTTGGCAGTCTTTCTCCGCTTCAAGCACTAAAAACAATGGGCACACGCCCCGCGCCGCGCGCTTGATGATTGGTGAACACGTCGTGGGTGTGGCCAACATCGCATAGGGACGCCCGGTCGCATTTGCCGCAAAACTCGGCGCTGATGTTAATGGGTGCACGGTTTGGACTTTAGGCTGAGTCGAGAATTCAACTCAAGATCATAGCGGCGTGCGAACAGCAACTTCTGCATCACCGTAAAAAAACAAAGATCTCCCATAGTATGCATGTAGGATGACATGCTGTCTGCGAGCACTCACTGGGCACACATGCCGCACATGAGATTGGCAACACACCGGCACCCACACACACACACACCGATCAGTACATACACACGCACGCGGTGCATGCACACAGGCAGAGTCAACCTAGGAGAGGCCCAGGACACTTGGACTGAGATCATACGTTGGCTTGGAATCGAACTCGGGTTACCGGTATAGTAGTCGACCAGCGCGCTAATCACTGCACCATAGCCACCAACACGTATACATAGCCAGTCGCACACACACACATTTAAATATTCTCCTCTTTAGCCGTACAGGCCTTTAGGGGAAAGTGATGTCAGTGAGCGCCCCAATCGTGGGTGTGGTTCTAACCACACCACGCCCGGTCGCCTTTGTATTCCCGGTGCTGATGTTGCAACATAACGCCGGAATCGACTTGGACGGACTGGTTCAGACAATTGTCACTGATGTGAGCCGCGGCCGGGAATCAAACCCGGGTCACTGAGTTTGTAGCGCAGTGCGCTAACTACTGCGCCCCCCCCACCCCACATATGCAGGATACACGCGCACACACATGCACTCACTCACACACCCGCGGGATACGAAACCCCCACGCGCACGCGGAGTCTCCGCGGACCCAGGTGCGAGCATTGATTTGCGTGGATTGTGCCATTGTGTTTTTAGGGGGGGGTTGGTGGAAGAGAGGGTTTCAAATTAACCAGGCGCCCAGGCTGCTTAGCCGATCGATGTCCCGGAGCGAGATGGTATCTCCCGGGATAAAATTCACGTAAGTGGAAGACCAATGATCAAGTTACCCGGCACAGTGTGCGTTCTCGGAAGCCAAGCAGGTTACAGCCTGGATGGTGCTTTGATGGGCGGTGGTTGTCATCATCGTGCTCGTGGAGCAGGCGATGGGCAGCAGAGGGCAGTGTAACAAATACCATTGTTGTCCTGTCGTTGTGCTAATACGTTTGCTCCAGAGTCTTAACGCTCGCCGGATTCACAAACCTGCACCGCTCAGCGTGGTGAAGTTTTGGTCAAATAACCCCCCCCTCCCTCCCCCACGGCATGGCGCGTGCTCTTTATGCAGAGCTGCTAAGCGCAGGCCCGTTACGTCAATCGGCCAGCAACAAACCGCACGATCGAAGTTTGCATTTGGCAAGCGGAAAGAAGCAGCAAATGAAGTGTTTGATCTGCAGCAGTACGGTATTCGAACTGTGCGGATGAGACAAAACAGTCTGGTTTTATGAATTAATTTGTTGAATAATTTAACATCGATGTCAAGGATCTTTCCCAAATGTTTCCTCTGTCTCCCCGTTCCACAGGCCCACTGCGTGCAGACTGGATTCGGAAATCTGATCGAGTCAGGTCCGGTCTGCTCTGCACATAACGCCGGGTAGACCGAGATATGGACGGGTTAGATCACACTGGGTGAAATCTAGTCGGGTCAGATTCGTATCGTGCAAAATGTATGTTGAACTTCCTTCGCATCGTACATAGCGAACCGTGCTAATCAGAGTTGCGATTCGAGTCGGGTTGGGCAGACTCTGAGTTGTCTCTAATAAGATAGGGTCGAATCGGGCCAGATCGGGCGAGGTCAAACTGGGTCGGATCGGGTGAGATTACATCGGGTCAGATCTGGTTGTCTCTAATAAGATCGGGTCGGATCGGGCAAGGTCAAACCGGATCGGATTGGGTAAGGTCAAACCGGGTCAGATCGGGTTGTCTTTAATTAGATCGGATCTGATCGGGTGAGGTCACACTGGGTCAGATAGGGTTGTTTCTAATTAGATCTGATCAGGTGAGGTCAAACCGGGTCAGATCGGGTTGTCTTTAATAGATCGGGTCTGATCGGGTGAGGTCAAAGCGGGTCAGATCGGGTTCTCTTTATAAGATCGGGTCTGATCGGGTGAGGTCACACTGGGTCAGATCGGGTTGTCTTTATAAGATCGGGTCTGATCGGGTGAGGTCACACTGGGTCAGATCGGGTTGTCTCGAATAAGATCGGCGTTGGGGTTGGGTCTTGGGTTGGGTCAGACCTCGAGACGCTGCAACAGCAGCAGCTGCCTCGCCTTCTCTCGCGCAAGACTCTGCGACGGCAGGGGTCATGACTGACACGTCACACACGCCCTCGGCCAGGTCTCCACTCCCCGAAGGTGAGCGTGCAGATAGAGACATCACAAGGCTCCGGGTTAATTTTGTTTCGCCAGAGGTGAGAACGAACTCGAGAGGCCAGGGGGGAGGCCGTTCTCATTTGAAAGAGTGAACTGGGTCACCAAATGGGGGCAAAAAAAGGCAAACTAAATAAAAAGTGTAGCGAAGGAAGCAAATAGAAATCGATGCAAACACAACAGTGTCACCTGAGTGATAATATTGCACGGAAAAATATCGCACGGACATAAATCAATGTTACATTTCAAATGTATTGCGGGATGATCGTAGTATAATCACAATTACGTGACCGAAACGTTAAATGGATATCTTGGTTACTTTTGTACTAATATGTAAACGGATACAGATACATGTCAAATGCAATTTACAAGTGAGAAAATAGGTTTTCTCATTTTTTCTGGAAACAAAACAGGTGTTAAGATGTTAAAACAGCAAACTGAAACCTTTTACAAGGAATCATGTCTGCATTAACCACAATACTTGCATTGTCTTTGAAACTGGTCCACACCAGAGACAGCTTTCTTTTGAGCCTCGTCTCAAACGGTATTAGACCAGAGGACGCCAAAAGGTGAACAGCACAAAGACAATGCCACTATCAGAGTACTGAGAGCTCGGGGTGAGCAGCTACATCATGGGACCTCCTTTGCCAGTACCAAATATGATAATTTACAAGTGATCATTTATCCATTCGTCCAATTAAAAACAATTATCTTTCCCCATGATCCACGAATGGATTTGTACGCGTGGGGAATCGACACTTTTTGGTTCACCTGTTTACATTATTTTTAACGCTGATTGGTTTACGTGACCTCTGCAGCCACTAGAGGCCCTGCATCATTCACGGTGCTCACAAATACTGTAATCGAGTACCGTACTCGAACGACAATGGGGGGCGAATTGTTACGGCCCCAGTCACCAGTAATACTAACATTTCAACATTCATTGTAACTCTGTAAGAAGGCCACTGCATTGGCAATAAAAAATACATTTAAGTCCATCAGCCTGTCAGCTTTCTGGACCATTGTGTTCCAGCAATGTTTATATAAGCAGGCAAGCCCTGGACTGGTTTTGACATCTTTGAGTTTCACCAGCAGGGGTTTATGGCTTATTAAACGTGAACACATTTTCAAACGCTGCTGTTATAGGAACAAGCCCTCTAGGTTTTTTGTTAATACAATTATTTTGCAAATTTGTAAGCGCAGATAGCGATTTTGAGCAGGAATTGTTCAAATTATGATAAAAGCTTTAAACCTGCCATGGATATGATTGTCATTGGGTCATCTTGTATAGAAAGCAATGACAGCCACCTTCCAATATGGCTTCCATTTTCCAAGATGGTTGCTGATTATTTCCGTTAATGTCGATTTTCGATAGAAACTGTTACCTGATGACTTATCCGAGTGCCCTTGGCCATGCTAAAACGAATTATGCTATCTAGAAATGCTTCCAGTGTTCCATTCCTTTTAAAATAATTGCTGAATGTGCTGATGTAAAATAGGTGTTATTGCATGGTGTGAACAGTGTCATTTGCATGGGTCTTGTGGTCGAGGGCAGTACCTTTTGCTTCAGCAGTCAGCCGCGTCCTCAGCACGGATTGCTGGTAGGAGCGTAGCGCAGCATGAATGCCATGGAATCTGGTGCAATGAATAAAAATGGGGGCCTCCAAATGCCCCCCACGTCCCTCCTCTCCTCACATCTCCGCATGCTGATGGCGCATTTCACATGTGCGCGCCTCCAGCGATGTAGACCGTAACTTATAAGTCTCACGTGAGTGGTCCACATGCGTACCACTCCTCCATCAGTCACAGCCACCCGACTGCACAACTTCACATTGGTCCAATAATCTGCAATACCCCGGAGTGATTTCCTACGTTTGTACACATTGAAAGCCAGCAATGCCAGGTCGCCAGCTAACTGCCGGGCCCTTGCCGGCTTGTGGGTCAATCTAGTTCTGAAGTTTCCGTGACTGCAGGGATCCATAATCTTTGTTTCTTTCGGTAAAGTCACGTAGGTATAAAATAAAATAAATAAATCACGACGTTTCGGGCGCAACACAAGCGTCCGTCATCAGGTGGGACAACCACAGCAAGAAACACCTGATGACGGACGCTTGTGTTGCGCCCGAAACGTCGTGATTTAATTTATTTTATACCTACGTAGCTTGTGGGTCCTGGTGCGGTTGCACCGCCTGCACAATTAGTTAGCTACACCAGTGTCGGCACTGGATCTCGTAACTTGCGACCAACTCATGCCTCTTAGCTACAAGTGGTTGCTCGTGCCCAGCAATGGCAGCATCCCGATAAGCCGCCACGTTGGTATCGCGAGAGTAAAGTAGGTGAAGGCAGTGCGTGGCCATGATGGGGTGTATCCAGCTCAAATTTGAAATCCATGCTATCGTCTCTCTTCCTGCGAGATAGCGGCAAGACATCGCTGCTCCACTTTCGCGCAAATAAAATATCTGGAGTAAGAACGACGCGGCTAATAGTGACGAAAGAAGATGGAGCACACGCCATCGACCACCAAAATGATCTTGCCGAGACGATATGGCCCCGAGTACGTGTGAAGAGGCAGTGCAGTAGAGGTTTGGATATAAGCACACCTGATATGAGCAGTTTTGATATAAGCAACACATCCTTATATTATACGGGTTGGGGGGGGGGGCAAAGGGCAACTCCTAATACAAGCACGATTCCATCCACTCAATCTGCCCTCCTGCAACATGCAAAAGTGCATTGCCTATCAGACAGGATACACATTGATGGGGGCATGCAAACAGTCTGTGAGCCAGACACCCATACCTCTTTGCCACTGTGCAACTGAGTCCCAACTTGGCTGTCCTGAGCCAGCCCGTGGCTGAGGAGGCACCAGGTTGTTTGTTTGTTTTCCCACTGCAGAAACCGAACCGTGCTGCTGACATCACACGGTGATTAGACGTAGATAATGCGGTGCAGTTGTGTTCTTCACAGCATACCGAGCGACGTGACGCACAATGCATCGTTAGCCGCACCCATTGCCTGCATTTAGATATCTTATGAAACCAGCATATTAAAAGTAGGACAAATAGCCAGCAATTGAACTCAACTCAACTTTATTTCACCAGATAAGGCCCACCGAACTATAATGCTCTTTTTTTAGAAGCAACCTGGCCACGAATGATTGCTCATGGAAGTGGTTTATCATGTGGAAATTTATAGCAACCAAATACTGGAATCTAAATGCATCTTCTTTGGTTCTCTCGGTAAAGTCACGTAGAATGAGAATAAAATAATAAATTGATAAAATAAAATAACACAATAATATTCTCACGACGTTTCAGCCACAACACAAGCGGCCTTCACCAGGTGAAGGGGACGAGACTGTCTGGAGGACAGCGCTGGAGTGAGAAAGCCACGCTGAGATCACGACCTTTAAGCTGTGTGAGAAGAAACAAAGCGCCTTGACAAAGGAATTAGCATATAATTTAGCATTGAAATGGCTGAGTGATTAGCTTGTGACTGGTCACAGAAAAGGCTATGTTAAAGTTAAAGCATACACATCCGCAAAGGCACCCCTTGACAAAGGAATTAGCATAGAATTTAGCATTGAAATAGCTAAGTTAAAGTATACACATCCGCAGAGGCACTCCTTGAGAAAGGAATTAGCATAGAATTTAGCATTTAAATAGCTGAGTGATTAGCTTGTAACTGGTCACAGAAATAGCTATGTTAAAGTCAGAGCATATACATTCACCGAAGCAACTAGTACAAATCAAACACAATGCTAAATTATATGCTAATTCCTTTGTCAAGGCGCTTTGTTTCTTCTCACAGCTTAAAGGTCGTGATCTCAGTGTGGCTTTCTCACTCCAGCGCTGTCCTCCAGACAGTCTCGTCCCCTTCACCTGATGAAGGCCGCTTGTGTTGTGGCCGAAACGTCGTGAGAATATTATTGTGTTATTTTATTTTATCAATTTATTATTTTATTCTCATTCTACGTGACTTTACCGAAAGAACCAAAGAAGATGAATCCTTGCAGTCACGAAAGCTTTAAATCGAAATCTAAATGCATGTTCCTAAATGTGGAGGGAAAAATCCACACGACCACGGGGAGAACATGCAAACTCCAAATATACAGGTATCAGGGTCAGGGTCGAACCCACGCCCTCCTGCATAACAGGCAAGGGCGTTAACATCTCGCCACCATGGCACCCTGCGCTGGCTCAGCTCGAATGTGCCAGTGGAAAAGAGTGGGGTACCAAAGCCTTGCTCTCAGTGGGGATGGCAGATCTGTTTGCACACTTCCAGCTATTGTGACGACTTGCCAAAAACTGACCATGTGGCTGCAAGTGACGAAGTGTCATCGTTGGTGCAAGTGCTATCGCTGCAGTTTTGGTTACAAAGCGTTCTGAAACTATATGTGCCGAGCCTAGCATGGTAATCTAATGAACCTCATCTGCTGATATACAGATCCACAGTGGTGTAGATTACTTAAAAAATGTCAGATTTAATATGCCTGGCGAATGTTTTTTTTATATCTGTAACTGCTAAGCTCCTCTGTGTTTATGACCGATGTCAGGCTGATAGGACTCGCTGGCATAAAACACATCCTGATGATAAAAGAAAAACATCTAAGGTACATTCGGAGGCAATTGTTTATCGCGGAATTAGTTTCAGCGTCGTCAAAATCTTACATATAGACACAAATATTACTTAAATCAGACAGGTTTGTACATTTCCATGTCAAAAATGGGCATTCGCGGAGAAAATTGGTGGCCATCTTGAAAAATGGCACCCATCTTGTATTTGTCAGGGGGGTTCGTCGTTTAGTACTAACTGGCCGAATGAGCACGTAAACATTTTACATTCCCATATTTACATCATCATACTCAGCACTTGCTTGACAAAGGGCCGTACAGTATACGCACGCTATGTTTTGTGCAATCATCTGTTGTCGGCTCCGCTAGAGCTGTCAAAAGGGCCTCCGAGGCTTTCTCAAGTATTCATTTGTGGTTTGCTCATCTGAGCCAGTTGTGCAGATTCCGCGTTTATTTGGCTGGAGGGGGGGGGGCTTGTCCATCCTTAACTCGATCACCTCGAATTTGAACCAAAAGTAGTCGTCCATCTGTGCTATTTAACCCTGCCTTGTAACAGCTACAATCATAACACAACATAATGTATGTGCAAACCTATACCATCCTCATGATGGCGGGTGAATGAAAATCATGAATAGCATTGCCAATCAAACCGCATTGCATAAGTGACCTTGTAACCTCGACAGGCGTTGTCCTTCATTCACCACCTTGTTTATACAACATGCGGCATCGAGCTCGGTCCACCAGGTGGCGCAACCTCCACAAACTGAACACAAAAAAATCAGTTCTAAACAAATTCGTTTTTAATCTGGCCTTCAAAATCCACAGCTCCAGTGGCTTCCTAATCTCGGAAGGAAGGGCATTCCACACGGCCGCAAAAGCGCGTCTGAAAGCGTGCGATGCAGTCAAGAAAAAGTTGGGGGGGGGGGGGGTCAGAGTGGGGTCATGCTGGGGTCAGGGTGGTCACCGCGTCCTCCAGGACCCCGTCTGTGTTCGATGGCCAGCCATCGAATTGTGAAAGTGATGGCCACGGTTTTCTGCATCACCACCACCACCATCGTCATCGCTATTTCACGCCCCTCTGTGACCTTCCCCCTCCATTGCCCTTCAAGCCCGTACAGGTGATACAGCGCGCAGGTGAAAGGAGGGGAGGCCGAGGGGGGGAGGCCGAGGGGGGGAGGGCCCACCATGCAGTGCCTGGTGCCGGCCAAGGGGGAGGGGGAGCTGAGTGGGGAGGGGGAGCACGTGGACATCTTGACGATCGGCTTCCTCGTGAAGGACCGATGGAAAGTGGTGAGTCCATTCAGCAGCAGCAGTGGTGGAAGCAGCATATCGTTTTGAGGATCATCATCATCATCACCACGAGCTGTAGAATCTTTCATTTCCGCTTAATCATTCTTACGAGCATCAGCAGTATCATTGTCAGGGTCGTCATCATCATGATCATTATCATCATCGTCTTGTTAAGCTTTCGCATCAACGTAACATCATTACGAGCAGAGCCATGATCATCGTCGTTGGCAGCAGCAGTTGCATTGTCTTCATGATCATCGTGGCGACATTATTAGCCGTGTCGTTAGTAATTAGTGTCACCGACACCATCATCGATCGGTAGCATCTCCAGCACCGTCACTGTCCACGCCATCATCATCATGATCACACGAATGCTATTCTTTCCACATAGTTTGAACATACTTCACCACTGCTAGTAACGGACAACCGCTGAAATGCAGCGTCTACTACGATACGAGAGGGCAAACCTTCATCAGAGAGGAGCAGAAAGACGGAGACAAGCAGGGACACCCCAAAGTGCTGCTGCCCAGAATATCGGTTCATCCGTCTCTCTCCATCTTTACCCATCTCTCTTTGTCTCTCTGTCTCTCTCCACCACTGTCTCTCTCCCCACCACTGTCTCTCCATTTCACTCTGTCGATCTCCGCCTCTTTCTCCATCCCCCTCTGTCTCTCACCCAACCCTCTTCCACCTCCTGGTCCCTTTCTCCACCAACCCTCGCCCGGGTCCCTTCCACAGTTTCGCAAGATCGGGGGCGGTGGGTTTGGCGAGATCTACGAGGCATTCGACATGCTGAGCCGCGAGAACGTCGCCCTGAAGGTGGAGTCGGCCCAGCAGCCCAAGCAGGTGCTCAAGATGGAGGTGGCCGTCCTCAAGAAACTGCAGGGTAATCCCCTCCCCCTCCCTCACCCTGCCTCTTCCCCTCCCTGCCTCACAACTCTCCTCACTTCTGTGCTCGGTCTCTCCTGCGTATTCCTTCACCTCTCTCCATGTGTCTCATCCCTGTTGTCCCCTCTCATCTCTGTCCCCACCGCTCTCGTCACCTCTCACTTGCACCTCCCCCCTCTTTGTTCTTACCGCCTCTCCTTGACTGCATCTTCAACTCTCTCTGTCTCTATTCTCATGCATCTTTGTATATTCTCTCCTCTCCCCCTTGTCTACCTCTTCGCCTCCCTCCCAATTTGCTGCAGCTGTCATCACCCCTCTCTCTCTGCTTTTCTCTTCATCTCTCTCTCCCTGCCTCCAAGCATCACCTAAATCTGCCGGCTTCTCCTATATCCTTGTCTCCCTTCCTGCCTGGCTCTTGCCTTGCCTACTTGCTGCCTGCTTCTGTGCCTTCCTGCCTACCTACCCATCTGACTAGATTGCTTGACTGTCTGACTGACTCCTTCTCTGCTTGTTATTGCTGGTTGTTGTTATTGTTGGCATTATTCGTGTTGCTGAGTGTGCCCTGCACATTATTGATCTGCGCGTTACTTATTGATGTTCCGCGATTATGTTCCCAATGGACTCGCAAAAACCGCATTCTGAACCCCCTCAACCACTCACGCCTCCACATCCCCCCTCGTCTCCCACAATCCCCTCGTCTCCCACAATCCCTCGTCCCCTACCTCCCTAACACCGCCGCAGATCCTTCGACTACGCTGCCGCTCGCGCACCAGCCCTTGATTCCGGAATCAGGATTCAATTCGGGAATCAATTCCTTGTACCCTCGCGTATGTCCCGGCTGTATTGTCTCACATGCTCCATCTCCCTCATCGTACCCGTGTGCCTATATCTGTTCTCTCAGTTGCATTTCCTCTCCAATTTGTGCTGTCCCCAGCTAATTTGTCTCGTCTGTTCTGCGTCGCCATGTATTGTTTATTTTGATTCTGCTGTCTTATTTGTACTCTCTTCTGTCGATCTGGTCCGCACAATGGGTAATTTCTCTGTTCCGTGTGTCTATTTGACAGCGGCTTTTCTTGTTTGTACCGTCCGTTGCATCTGTCATGTCTGTTACTGCCTTCTTTGTCTTGACTTCCTCGTTTGTACTTGCTTGCCTCGCTTATTTATTGTCTTGATAGGTCCTCCCTGACAGCACTTGAGCCGACGGTCCATCAGGGGGCATGACGACAATTTAGAAGTTGGGGCGGGTGGCAGAAGTATCCACGAGGGTCCAAGTTTGGGCACCTCGGTGGCGAGATGTTATCTGCCTCGCCTGATATACGGGAGGTCGATCCCGATCTGATTGCCTTACCTGCAGTCATGATTGTGCGGTCAGTAACTGCCCATCCCATTTGTATTGTCCAGTTCTCTTCGACGCGTCACGTTCGTTTTGTACCAACTGTCTCGTTTGCCCTCTCCCATCTGTTCCGACCCTTAAGACCGAAGGAATAGTTTGCGTGTAATTTGCACGTATCTAAAAAAAAATCGTTGATTTAGTGAGTCTATTTCGTTTAACTGCGTGAGAACCCGAGGAGACCAGAATCGTGTGGTGTGTAAACAAAACCGACCTGGGGTCGTCGCCAAGATTACAAACGGGAAATAAAGCAAAACACGTTTCATAACTCGTTTCTTTTGGGTCGTCAGATTGTTGTGGAGGGTATAATGTAAATGTTTAACCCGTAAGCCTCCACCACGCGACAGAGCCAATCAAATCAAGTTTTCACGTCATGGGCAAATACGGCCTGTTCTCCTATAACACGTTAGTTGCGTTCCTGAAGAATACCGCGTTTTGGAAAAATCGCGTTATCATGAATAATATATAACACAGGGTAAAGCACAGTCCACGGTAACACGTGAGATGCGTACATAGGCTGAACAAAGACAGAGACGCGTGGGTAGCATCTGGAAGCATCCAGCAGCATCCCGCCCCGCGTGATGCTACGCCGAGGCAGCCGTTACAACCGCTTATTCCTGCTCGTGCGACGTAGTTCTGGTCACTCGATCGCGTGATATCCAATTCGATTCCGCATTAGAAAAAAAGTGTGTCCGCTAAATACATTCGCCACGGTATATCAAATTCGCGTTATGAAATCACGTGGCGTTGTAGGAGAACAAGCTGTACGCAAATTGATTTGCTTTTCCAGCAAAAACTGGAGGAATGTCGGAAAGCGAACAAAACTTTGATAATTTTGAACACCTCGCTGGAAATTACATCCAACATCATCAGATGATGAACACGAAAGACGTTCAATATACATACGTAACACACATGAAAGCTCAGCTTTCGCAACGAAACACTTCCTCGAGGGTTATAGCTACAGATTGACATTATACCTACACGATCTAACCAAAAGGCAATAACTTGTGAATCGTAATATTGGTCGTGAAAGTCTACGAATAGAAATATGTTTATGTAAATAAAACGCTGCAAGTGGAATTAAACATAATGGGAGTAGAACAACCGCGTTAGAGCAGAAATAATCGATTCTCATGGCATGATTCGATTATAATCAATGTAAATTGATGACCCATTATGTCGTGACATTGGCCTCCTCTCCACCACCTCCTTGACTTCTCTGCCAACACCCCTCCCCCCACCCAACGTCTCCCCATGCCCTCTCGCTCATCCTGTGCTCTGTTCACCGCTTTAATATTTAAAGGGATTGATGAAGTGGGGGGGGGGTGGCGGAGGGCGGGTGTGGGTGGTTGTGGCAGGGCGCGGTGGGAGTTGAGGACATGGGATGGCATTCTCTGGACTGTGGTGGTGATGGAGGAGGGGGGTAATGGGGCTGACGTAACACTAGACACTAGTAACCGAAGACTGTCCAATTAGGCAGTGCGTTAGTCACTGTGCGTTCTGCGTGCGCTGCTCTGGCACGGCGTAGCTCTTTCTCTGGTTGCAGGGTTCCTGAAAGAGCTGGTCCCTGATTCAATACCACACGGGCTGTGATGATTTGTTTTATGATTATTGTTTGAAAATTTTATATATATGTAGTGGTCGACTTGACGCGGACAACTTTCTTGTCTTCTCCGACACCACTTTTATTACAACTCTTCACATTACGTCTGTGACTCCGTCTTTCCGCTTAGCCGAAGCTCGCTCGCCACGCTCCACCCGTCTCGCTCACTCCGCTTCCTCCCCTATCCCTCACTGTCCCTCTGCGTCGTCCCTGTCTCTCTCCGTCGCTCGCTGTCTCTGTCTCCCGCTGTATCTCCGTCTCTCTCCCGCTGTCTCTGTCTCCCGCTGTATCTCTGTCTCTCTCCCGCTGTATCTCTCTCTCTCTGTCCCACGCTGTATCTCAGTCTCTGTCCCGTTGTCTCTGTCTCTCTCTGTCCCTGTCCCACGCTGTATCTCTGTCTCTGTCCCACGCTGTATCTCTGTCTCTCTCCCGTTGTCTCTGTCTCTGTCTCACGCTGTATCTCTGTCTCTCTCCCGCTGTCTCTCTCTCTGTCCCACGCTGTTTCTCTGTCTCTCTCCCGTTGTCTTTGTCTCTCTCTGTCTCTGTCCCACGCTGTATCTCTCCCGCTGTCTCTGTCTCTCTCTGTCTCTGTCTCACGCTGTATCTCTGTCTCTCTCCCGCTGTCTCTGTCTGTCTCTGTCTCACGCTGTATCTCTGTCTCTCTCCCACTGTCTCTGCTTGTCTCTACTTGTCTCTACTCTACTGCTAGCCTGTTCTGTCTCCTATGTCTTCGCTCCGGTTCTCCCCGACCTGCTTCGTTCCAGTCCCAGCGACAACTCAACTCGTTCTTCCCGTCTCCCGAATATATCCCTGTTCTCATTACCAACCAATTAATTAGGCCGCGTGCCCCCGACGCCCCCCCCCCGCACCTTTTACTTGCCCCCCTCTATCACCAGACATTTCGGCGTCACTCCGCCCTTGACAACAACCCCAGTCAATCACAGCCGTGCATCGCTCTTCAGCTTAATTGGCCGTCATTACCGCACAGTTTCCCCCCGCCGCCACACCTGGCCGGCCCGACGTGACCCCACTGTCCATAACTCGCGCGTCTTTACCATTCCCCCCCCCCGTATGCGCGTGTTAATCCACTACATATATAGAGAGATAGAGTGTACGATATTGCCGTTGTGCTATCAGCATTGTGTCGTGCGACAGAGGTACTGTGCAACGTCGCATGCCTGGACGTCGCATATCCACACCGATCAACTGACCGCTCGTAACCAGTGCGGTATTTTTGCACGGTGCAGTTGGAACCGTCGTTTTCCAACAGATGTTCACGTATCCGACATTTTCACGTGTGTGCCCGCCTCCAGCGATTCAGGCGTTGCTACATTGCACCGCGTTTCCATTAGCTCTGGCAGCGAGCATTGGCCCAACCACGCTGTGTTGGAGATTGAGCGTGGAAGATTGCCATCGTGGAAATAATGCTCAAGTAACTATGCTTAGAAGCCGCGTGTATCCCACACTTGGACCACACCGTTTGGATGCCCTGCAAAGACCGTTTGTCAGCATATCAATCAACGAATCAAGTGTTTTCATTATCAGAGTTGGACTTTTATTTAAATTACATGAAAAACCCATCGAGTATTTAACATGATGTTTTTTGTATTGTTATACAGCCATGAGTGACCAGGCTGGGCCCATAAACTTGCTGCACTTCAGAAGCTCAGTATATTTACGGGCGGCTGATAACTGGATCCGATTCCAGAATATCAGCGATAAAGGTTTCCCAACCCCTTCCCTCCACCCAGTTATCAAACTATTTTATTTTAGCAGGTAAGGCCCCACTGAGCTATATAGCTCTTTTTCAGAAGCGACCTGGCTATCACAAATGATAGCTCAACGAAGTGGCTTATCACATGGAAATGTATAACAGCCAAATACTCTAACACACGTGTTGTTGATTCTAAATGTGGAGGGGAAAGCCAGAGGACCCGGAGAAAAATCCACGCGACCACGGAGAGAGAAACATGGAAACTCCAAATATACAGGCGTCAGGGTCGGGATTGAACCCACGACCTCCTGTATATCAGGCGAGGTAGTTAACATCTTGCTACCAAGGCGCCAAACTTTGACCCTCGTGGATACTTCTCCCCACCCGCCCCAACTTCTAAATTGTCATCATGCTCCCTGATGGACCGTCGGCTCAAGTGCTGTTAGGCTGAGCCCCCCGCCACCTGTGAGAGAGTGGTGTGGGGGGCCAGCACCTCGCCCGGCCACCTGTGCTGTCCCGGTGCTCATGTTTCCACAGTGGACCTCGCACGTACATGCACTGTACACCACACACACGATACAAAGGTTCCCCCGTATAACAATACCAGTCTGTTGGGGCAAGTGCTGTTAGCGAGCACCTATGAAGGCCGGCACGGCACACCACACGAGGGGGTGGGTGGCCAACACCACGCCCGGCTGCCTTTGTCTCCCCAGAGGCGATGTTCACACACCACACCAGGTACTCATTTGAGGCTGAGTCGACCTAGGGGAGGCCCTTGACCGCTTCAGATAATCGTCACTGGTGTTGGCCGTGAGCGGGAATCAAACTCGGGTCGCCGAGTTTGTAGCGCAGCGCGCTAACCACTACACCACCGCTCCCCCCACACAAGACACACACACACGCCATCGCACGTGGTCAACCATTATCCTTCCATCTGTCCCCCTCTCTTCCTCCTCCCTCGAATCCCTCACGCCAGGTAAAGATCACGTCTGCCGTTTCATCGGATGTGGGAGAAACGACAAGTTCAACTACGTGGTGATGCAATTACAGGTGAGTGGTCAGTAAACAACAACAGCAGCAGCAATAACAATGTCAATTTTTTTTATGTGGCCACAACGTTTATCACTAACGACTCGGTGGACTACCGTGCCCCCTTCTTCACCCCACCACCACATACCCGAATCCTCAGACCTGCTCGACCACCACTCACCACCACTTTTGCACACAAAAAAATCGAATGAAGCTCAAAGGACGTAGTAAAAAAACACGCACGTGGCATTGTTTTTGGAGGTAGGTAGACAGATGGGTGGCCACTTTTGATGATCAGCTGAGAGTCTGCTACCTTCTATTATTATGATCATTACGCGCATTTACCCAGGAAAGCCTCACCGAGTCTCAAGACCCTTTTGCGGGAGGATCCTGTCAAGTTTGTCGCAGCGATGTTGCTGTGTGTTCACCCAATTTAATTAATTGAATTTTGTGTTTGCATTGCGATGTTTGGCCAACGCCAGGAACATTGTATGTGTTTTAGCTATGGGAGAAAACAGCAGAACCCGGAATAACCCCATGCAGAGCAAGGGGAGAACAAACTTCCCACGCTTACTCACAAAGATCCCCCACATAGCCTTTAACAGAAGACCGTTGGGGGAAAGTACACACACGCACACCAACTTACTCTCACACACACATACACTCTCATTCACACTTTGGAAAACAGTGGAAACCCATACACACTCCACGCGCAAAGGTGCCCGAGCCGGGAGTCGAACCCCAGGCCCTTCTTGCCGCGAAGCACGAGTGTCGCCGCTGTGCCACGCTGCCGCCCGATGACCAAATTTATCCCTCCCCAACCCCGATCCCCGTTCAGGGTCGGAACCTGGCTGACCTACGTCGCAGCCAGCCCCGCGGTACGTTCAGCCTCAGCACCACCCTGCGCCTCGGGCGCCAGATGCTGGAGGCGATCGAGAGCATTCACGCCGTGGGCTTCCTGCACCGAGACATCAAGCCCGTGAGACGCGGGGGGGGGGGGGGGGGGTTGCTGGGGGGCTGGATGGGAAGAGTGGTGGAGGGGTGCGGAATTTGGTGGGGGAGGAATGTCACGTTGCCAGGGCTTAATTTCAGCTGGTTCCAGATATTATTTCCATACACCGGGCACACCACATCCAGTACACCTCTCACTATGGCTGTGGCTACTACTAGTCACGTGCCACCTACTCAAGTCTACCGGCGACGCGGAAGTATATTGAGTGCGAGATTAAATCGTGATTGTATGGATGCGTGAGAACACTCGGGTGTATCTCTCCGTGCATGTGACTATGCCTGTGTGTGTGTCCGACTCATATGAGTACCTGGTGTGGTGTGTAAACATCACCACTGGGGAGACAAAGGCGGTCGGGCGTGGTGCCGGCCATCCACCCACCCGTGTACCGTTCTGGCCTTCATAGGTGCTACTCGCTAACAAGCACTTGCCTCAACAGTCTGTTAAGGTTACACTGGGGATCTTCGTGTTTTTGTTTGTTTGTGTGTGTGTGTGCTCTCGCACATCACCAGTCCAACTTCGCCATGGGTCGCCTGCCCAGCACCACGCACAAGTGCTTCATGCTGGACTACGGCCTGGCCCGCCAGTACACCAACTCGAGCGGGGAGGTGCGACCGGTGAGGAACGTGCCGGCCCGGCTATCTATCCACTGCCGCTCCAATGCACTCCATGGCAACGCCCACACGCTTAGAATATCGATCGGTTCAACTCAGGTCTGTGTCGGTCTCAACTGACCCGTTCGGTAAGAAGCAGATATTAATAAAAAATGATGTATAGTCAAGACACCAGGATGATGAGTCTTGTTTGCCAGAGTGACCCGGTCCACAAAAATGACAAAAGTAAGACATATAAAATAAAGTACAGCGGTGACACAAACAGAAATATCTGTAAAAACAACCGCATAATTTGAGAAATTGAAAATGCTGCAAAAACATAAATCAATGTTAAATGTATACGTTCCCTGTAGCGTCAGTTGACTTGGTCATCGCATGGTTCAGAGAGATAGGGATAGCTTAGGGAGGCCTTTCTCTAGCCGTGGATTGATCATGGCCGATGATGATGATTATACTTAATACATGTGCAATGTAGCACTCAGAGACACTGTCTTGTTCAAGCATGTATAGAAATGTATTGTCTATTACAGTCCGCCCGACTCGATGGCATGTAAACATGTAGACGCGAGTTGACTATGTACAGTGGGTGACTTTATGTAACTGCTACACGACGTTCACCTATATAGCTGGCTAACTATATAGAAGCCGATGGAGTAGCAAATACGGCGACGATATATAATCTCTCCTTGGTCTTCCAAGACGATAAGGCGACCCGCTCCCAGACGGTGAGGATGATCCACTCCAAGATAACGACAGCGACCGCGGTCCAACTTCGAATCCCCACAGCAGCCCTGAGCCCCACTCCGTGCTGCCTTTTATCTCCCCCTCCGGCTCAGCCACGCCCCTCGACTCAGCCACGCCCCTTTTCCCGAACTCTCTCTCTCGCCTCATTTGACCCTGCCTGTCCCTGTCGCTTACAAACTATTATTTAAGCCACTAGGCCCCGTATTGTCCTTACACATGCTTAAGTATTAATGAAGGGGTGGTGGTGCAGTAAAACCAGCGACCAGAGTTAAATTCCTTGCCGTGGGTAACACGAGTGGTGAGCGATATCTGAATCTGATCCTGGGTTCTCTCTTCACTTCCTATCACAAACCCACACTGGCCAGCGTGGCGAAGTTATGACCAAACAACCACTACAACAAACGCGGTGGATTGACGGAAGGGCTTGTGTAAGTGTTTTAACTCACGGCTGGGAACGTGTTAATTTAAATTGGTTCTAGTTTGCGTCTGTTGTTAGCGTTGAAGAGTTTGTCGTGGTGAGCGTGGCGTTTCTCTTGTAAGTCGCCGGGAGTGTGTGCGTGTCAGTCACTGGGTTTCCAATTCACTATTTTCAATTCAAATAAGTGGCGATTAATAAAAAAAAATGTACAGGACAGGCAAGAATGTACAGGTAGTCCCCGACTTACGATGGTCCGACTTACGATATTTCGATCTTACGATAGCGATAGCGACAAAATTGTAAAATATTTTTAATTTCGCGCAGCAGGCAAACGCAGCAGCATACGAGGTACGATACTGTAACTTTATCATCGCCATCCTCCTCTTCCGACAACTAAGTTAATGTAGCCATCAACAACCTAACATCGTTCAAGTATGCAGACGACGGACAGAATCTTGGTGAGTACAGTAGCATATGATACGTTACGATACGTTCAATGCATGTATGGTACATAGCTTTAGCGATTTCATTTTAGGGTTAGCACGATACGATACATACGTTCAATGCATGTTAAAAGTTTTTATAGCAGATAGGATTGTTTCCTGAAAAAACTTTCTATGAAATTGCAGTTTATATAGGTAGGCTAAGAATTTACCTTGTTATTTACTTTAAATTTTACTGTGCAATACAGTATTGTAATTAATAAATACATACAGTATATAGTTTATACAGTACGGTACTGTAAATTGCTCTGTTTTGCTAAATTATCACCATTCTTTAAGACTCCTGGGTAGGCTAGGCCATTTTCGACTTACGATTATTTTCAACTTACGATGGGGTCGTCGTAACGCATCTCCATCGTAAGTCGGGGACTACCTGTACACGTCCTTCCCAAAAAAACGTTTCCTGCTCGCGAAGACATTTAAAAAAAACCTACATGTCCTTCACACAGTCGAATTAATGCGCATAGGATGCGGCGAATGAGATTTAACGGGAAATCAGACATACGTGACAAGCTCCGTCCAATCGCAGTCACAGTGAGGACTCTGCTGACCAAACGATTTGTAAATCATGGCAAATATTGAGACCTTTTAGTGGCCACAATGGAGTAATAATCCTCTTGAAAAAACAACGTGAGACTCGATATACATACTGTATTTAGATTTTAATGAGCTCGGTTATTAACTCCGACTTCTTAACGAACACCAGCCACGTTGCGTTCGCGGATTCGTACACGCATTTAATCGTGGGAACTGATTGTTTACATTGTAAATACGGATGATTGTATCATGCTCCATTTAGGCTAAGGGTGCTAAAACTGTATAAATAAGAAACAAAATAACCCAGATACACTGAGGTGAGACGATAAAAAATAATTGATGACCATTAAAATCTTAACCCGAATTCATCAAATCGACTTGGATGGTGAATTGTTACAATCGTGAATGCCATGGGGTACTGACGGCAATCGCCAACCGATAAAGTCACGCAATATACGACGGTACATCCATTTTATTTTTTATATATATAATTGTTGCCCAAAACTGGGCAAATCTGAAGCATGAAAACTACCAGATAAAACCACAGACGTGTGTTCAATATCGCTACACCGGCGGTCGCGTGCCGTGTAGATCAATCGCTCTGCGCTAAAAAACGCACCTAATTTAGCGAGCCTTTCTTTGGATTAACTGCAGAGATCTCCGTCACTCTCGCGTCTCTGCCGTGCCAAGCTGCCGTCGTCGCTCAGACTAAATGCATTGCGGGCGACGAATGTCCCGTGGCTGCCCGTTGTGCGTCGTGGTGTTTGTGGAAAACCCAGCGCGCACGGGGGGGGGTGGGAGGGCTTTGACAGCAGCAGTGGGCGCCCCAGGCTTGCGGCACTGCAGTGTCCTTGACTCAAAGCGCAGCAACAGACAAGCAGCCCCACCTCACTCACTGCACCGATCCAACCCCCACCCCGCCTACCACCCCCCCCCCCCAACACACGCGTCACTCTCAGTACAAGCCTCTGGCAGCCAGCACCCACGTCACAGACACCACCCAAAGACAAAGATCACCCGTGTAGCCTTTTACCGGACTGTCGGGGGACAAGTGCTGCTAGCGAGCACCTTTTAAGGTCGGTACGGTACGCCACGGGGTGTGTGTGTGTGGGGGGGGGTTGGCCAGCACCACCATTTAAGGCCGAGTCGACCTCGGGGAGGCCCAGAACCGGTTCAGATAAAGCATCAAAAGTGCTATTGGCCCGTGAGCGGGAATTGAATTCGGGACGCCAGACTTTGTTGCGCAGTGCGCTAATCACACTGCACTGCCACTCCCCAAAAGACACTCGTACATGCCTATGCATCGACATACACACAAACACATGCGTGTACGTGCACACATACAGACGCCTATAAATCCACACACATGTTTTTTCACTGACCTACACGCATACATACGTTTGTATGCCCACACAATGACTTACACGCACAAAAGCATATCATGCATTTGCACACACCCACACATCCACACACATGTACTTGCTGCATACACTTACATGTATGAGCTCACACAGTGATCTACACACTCGGGACTCATTGCTTAAAGAGAGGGTCCTTCCCGATTACGTCTGGCAGTGAACCAACATTGATTCCAAGAAGCCTGATCCTGCTGGCGAGACACCATATGTCGAAACCGGTCCACAGTGTTATTGTACTGAATCGATGAGGCTGAAATGATGCACTCCCAGAGGGCCGTTAGGCCGATGGGTTGTGGAGAGCACACTTTTACCTTTTTTCATATGGAGAGACATATATACGAAGGAGTCGTATTATCCGCTTGTCCATTTTGTTACGCACACATGCATGCGTGAACACGTGTACATGCGATGACCTACACGCATGCGCGTGCGTACACACACACACACCCTCCCTCCCTCACACACCATGTATGCACGAACATCGACCTCTCGCACGTACACACACACACGCATCCACTCTATCTCGCACGTACACACACACACGCATCCACTCTATCTCGCACAGACACACACAAAACGCATCCACTCTATCTCGCACGTACACACACACACGCATCCACTCTATCTCGCACGTACACACACACACGCATCCACTCTATCTCGCACAGACACACACAAAACGCATCCACTCTATCTCGCACGTACACACACACACATCCAAACACCGCCCATGCACATCCACCCACCCTCACCCACCCACCTCTGCCACACAGAGGTTACAAATTGGCTGCTACTGCTGCTGCTGATTTAGCACTTTTTTTTTACAGCTCAATGTCTCAGCCAATCCTGCCTCATGACAAATGAGCAAACGCTCTGGCACATGTCCTTATAATGCTGCAATGCTGTGTGCGGGTGCACGCGCGCGTGCTGTGTGTGTGCTGTCTTGTGTTGCCTATGTGGCCACGGATACTAGAACATCTACGCAATCTTGTTTATTGTGCATTGGTTCCATCACTGCCCTTTTCTGTAATCTCCATTAAACCTCATCATGTCGACGACGACGACCATGTGGGGTGCTGTCGGTATATGAATGATCTTTGATGATGAGAACGATTTAACTGTTATGGATGATGATGTTGAGGATGTGAGTGCTGTAACTAAAATAATAATCTTTGGGGTTGATGATGCTGATGTATGCTACTCTTGTTGTTGTGTAGCCCCGTGCTGTGGCTGGCTTCCGAGGCACCGTGCGCTACGCGTCCATCAACGCTCACAGAAACAAGGCAAGTTAGCCTCAGGGTTTGAGCTCGGGCTAGTTTAGACCGACCCGCGACTTCCTTTCACATGGCCCGCAACTTCATATCACACAGCCCGTGACCTACATGAGTACTACAGTACCCGAGTTGAGTTCCCGAACGCATAGCTAAAAACAGTGGCAATTATCTGAACCGGCCTTGGGCCTCCCCTAGGTCGACTCTGCCTTGGATGACATGAAACCATCAACACTTGAAGAGACAAGGCGGTCAGGCGTGAGGCTGGCAACACCATCCCTTTGTGGATTGTGCTGGCCTTGAAAATAGGCGCTCGCTTTTAAAGCATCTGCCCCGACAGTTTCTATTGTTACGTGAGAGATCGTTGTCTTTGCGTGTGTGTAAATGCACGGTGTTTCAATAGGAAATGGGACGCCACGATGACCTTTGGTCCCTGTTCTACATGCTGGTGGAGTTCACGGTCGGCCAGCTCCCATGGAGGAAAATCAAGGACAAGGTTTGTGTCCCAGCGTTCGAGGGTAATCGGGATAATTCCGTTCGTCCTGTCGGCCAGAGAGTTCATTGATGCCACCCAGGCCGATTGAAGCGACTTAGTAAGTAGTTATCCGACGTCATCTCCTAGGAACTGTTCCCCGACTCAGGATGTTTCACTGCTCCTTGCGACAAGTTCCGAAATGGGAATTTCCTTTGTCGCGTGGCATCGTGACAATAGGACGAATCAAATGCGATTCGAAGGTGGGGGGGGAATAATACAATTGAGATGGTAAAATAGATACGTGTCGAAAGGGACCGCTGAAACGATACGCTTGGTTAAATCGTTTTCTGAAGTGGCCACCATTCAACGGGGACGATCTCAAAGGGGCGAGTTTTGTCCATCGGCCACTTGGTTCCTCCCCCCCCCCCCCAAAAAAAAAAAGTGGTGCCACCTCATCCAAGTGCCTCGCATTCTACCGACCAAAGTGGAATGGTGATGATCGTAATAATAATACAGAGTGCTTAAAAAATGTTTTTTTTAAATATTTATGAGAATTTGCAACAATACCACGAGAAATGTGCCTCGGGGCTCTGGAGACCACCTCGACGAGAAGATTCCAGGCACGTGTTGACAATGATGGCACGTGTTGACAATGATGGCACGTGTTGACAATGATGGCACGTGTTGACAATGATGGCACGTGTTGACAATGATGGCGAACGATTGGAGACTCCTTGACTTTTTGAAGCTCTTTGTTATGATGTGACGGTGTATTCATTCTTTTTTCATTAAAAACGATAGTCCCATATAAGTGTTACAAAAATGTTGACGCACCCTGTAGTATTCCAATAATAACTACAGCAACGGTGACGACGATGACGATGGTGAACGGGGGAGATCTTTGTCTCTTGGCGTCTGTAGGAACAGGTCGGCCTCATCAAGGAGCGATACGATCACCGGCTGCTCCTGCGCCACATGCCCACCGACTTCCACATTTTCCTGGACCACGTATCCACCCTGGACTACTGCACCCGCCCCAATTACCAGGCAGGGCTATCCCCCCCCCCGCCTTCCCGCGAGACACGTGGATGGGGCAAAGGGGGGCAGTAGAGTTATGAACACAAAACGTTAGGCGGCCATATAACTTGGCCATGGCGAGGCAAATTGTTGCTTGGCAGAGCATTCATTCCTGTGAACCGTCAATTATCATGATTGGCTATTTGCGGTGCGAAAGAAGTTCAACAAGATACATACATACAAACCAACCAGACCCAAGTATAAACGCTAACCATACTTACCAACCAGACCCTAGTATGAACGCTAATAATACTAACCAACCAGACCTCAGTATGAACGCTAGCCATACTATACAACGAGAGCTGAACACGAGCACTATTCACATTGGCCGTAGGCATATAATTCACCTTCCTTGTCTTATTTGTTCAACCTCATTCCGTTTTGTTTGTATTGTCTGTCTAGTCTGCACAGTCTAATGTGCATTGTCCGTCGAGTTCTTTCCATTCGACTAAATGCCACCGCTGGAATCGACTGCTCGATTTTGATCGGTGCCCCCTATCAGAAATCGTTTCATCTCCACTGCTTATTGGAAGTGGGGTGGGGGAGATACATTTTTACACCGAAAACACGTGCGGGACACTCACTCAGTGTTCGCTGGAGAGCGACTTGGGGCAGGTAACCGTGGCTCCATGTACCTGCTGTGGCCAGTGCCATCGGCGAGCAACCTGTTAAGGCCGGTATGGCGCTCTGCCAGCACCGCCCGTATTTTAGGCCGCCTGCTGATCGTGGGACACCAGGTGCATTGCTTACAAGGCGAGACCACGAAATGTTTATTTTTGATCTGCGGCAAGATCACGGTCAGATTCCATATCGGCGTCGTGGACAGGAATCAAACTTTTGAAATTTTGGGATCCGTGTGTGCACACAGATACACATACAGAGATCTCCCGCAAAGCCTTTTCACAGACTGTTCGGGCAATAACTGTCAGCGAGCACCTATGAAGGCCAACACGGCACACGTGGGGAGTGGTTGGCCAGCACCACAGCCAGCCGTCTTTGTATCCCCAGTGGCATTGTTTACTCATTTAGTCAATCACAAATATATACACACACATGTCATAATTTTACATTATGCATTTTTTTCCTTCAAGCGTCTGCCCCCATTTAATACATTTCATTTGTCTGTCAGTCGCAGCAGCTGAGTAATTGACATCATACAAATTTGAGCGTGGCTCATATTGACCACAATGGTCCAGGGACCTATGGTATTGCTGATGAGCTATCCACGTTTAACTAAAATAATGGTTGAGAAAAAAAAACCGCTTTTTATGGAAAAAAATGCGTGATGTAATTGTTGATATGAACACGTATGTATGTTGAACTTTTTTCGCATCATACGTCGCCAACCGTGCTAATCAGCGGTGTGTGTGGCTTTGCATATGTGTGTCTCTGTCCATCACCGCCGGTACGACCACCACCACCAATATTGCCACCGCCACAACCGCCACCGCCACAACCGCCACCGCTGGCTGTGCAGCTGCTGATGTCGGTGTTTGAGCACAGCATGCGCGAGCGCAGCATCACAGAGAACGAGCCGTACGACTGGGAGAAGGGAGGCCTGGAGGAGTCGCTGGCCAGCACCACCACCTCCACGCCACCGCACCACTTCACCCGTCAGACCGCCGCGATGTTTGGGTGAGGCCCCCCCGCGGTGACGGTCAGCAGCGGTGAGGCGAGGGCGGTCGGGCGGGCGATGTTGGTGTGAGGGGCGTGCGATTTCCTGCAACTCCCCCCCCCCCCCAACTATTTATCGTGTCAGCCAATCATTGAAATGGGTAAATGGTAAATATTTTGGATACATATACAGGGTCTTCCTCTGTGCACTGCAGTCTCTAATAACGCAACTGAATCATCTCAGTTGCATTGTCTTTGTACTGTTCACCTTTTGGCGTTCTCTGGTCTGACACTGGTAAGACGAGGCCATAAGGAAGGCTGTCTCTGGTGTAGGCCGATCAGTTTGAAAGACAATGCAATGTATGTTTGTTTGCACGTTCACCACAAGTACGTGCGGTGATTGCGGACTCGATCGCTTGCAAAGGTGTCTATTTGGTGTTTGAACATCTTAACACCTCCTGTTTTATTGCCAGAAAGGGTAAAACCTCTTCTTATTTTTCATACTATGAATCATCTCAGTCTACATCTTCATTCACCCGTTCATGCCGCCTCGTCACAGTCGGGTGTGCATTGGGTTTGGGCATTCGTCGTAGTCGCCGTCACGCTCGAGGCTTCTCGTCCACCGAAATAAAAAATCAACGCTTCCTAGGCACATATTTTTCACTGCCGATTTCTGCAACAAAAACAACTGCTGGCCCCAGGAGTCTGTACGACCGTCCAGGGCAAAACCTTTGCGTGGGTGTGCGCGTCGCAGCATTGCGGGGACACCCCAGCCCGGTGCGGACGTTCTGCGCGAGAACACGGACGAGGTCCTGCAGGACGAGCACCTGAGCGACCAGGACAACCTTGGGGGCGGTGGCGGCATCGTCGGGGGGGCGGCCCAGCCCGGCGGGCCCCCACCAAGGGGGGCCGAGGCCGGCGGGCCACACCTGCCTCACATGGCCTTCAACTTGGAGGCCGAGACGTGGGATGAGACGGACTTCAACCGCAACCGCCTGCGCATCAACATCTGCAAGGTGAGCAGAAGCGTCATGCCTGCTCGCTCGCTCGCTCACTCGTGTGCTCGCTCACATGCCCGCTCACATGCTCGCTTTTACTCGTGAGCTCACTCACCTTTTCGTTCAATCTTCCACTTGCTCACTCGCCAACCTACTCACCCACTCACTCGCACATCCACTCATTTACGTGGTCATTCCGTCTGTCAGCTACTCATTCAATCATTTACTCACCCTACACCTCATCTTATTTTACATTTATAGAGAGCGCCTTTGTTTAAGGCGCTTAAGACATTTCGTTTAAACGTATAAATAAATGATTGGGATGGCAGGGGCATGCAAGGAATGAGGAATAGGTGGAGGGGAGGGAAGAAATAGAAGGGTAGGCGGAGGTAAGCAAGGGGAAGAGAATGGGCAATGGAGAAGAGGTGAGCATGTGAGCTTTAAGAGAGCAACGGAAAGAAGGTTGATGAGGAGGACTCCTTAACGCACTCAAGCACTCAACCGTCCACTCAACCCATTGAATAATTCGCCTGCCCACTCATTCATTCACTCACTGCACCACTCACTCGCTCACCCGCCCCTGTGACCGTTTTTGACTGCAGACGCAGTGTGGCACAGAGGAGGAGCATAGCCCCGGCGGGGTGTGCGGCTCGCCGCTGGCGCGCGCTCAGCTCGAAGCCGTGCTGCGGGACCGGCTGCCGGGCGAGCGGCCGCTCAGCTGGAAGCTCGTCGGCCTCAACGGCCCCGACTCGGCCGAGCGCTACCTCCTCGCGTCGCTGCAGGCGGCGCGCGCCGACTGTGCCGCCGAGGCGAGGTGAAACCCACGGCGGCGGTGGTCCTTGTCAACGAGCGCCCAGTCATCGCTGGGGGCCGCCACGCTCTTATCTGGAACAGAGCGGCAGTTCCTGTCATCTGCGCTTGCCTCTGAAAGTTACTCTTGTTGTCCATACGGTTAAATGCAAATGGTAGAATACATTTTCCCTGGTGCAGATCGGAGGAGGGGGGGGGGTTCTCCTTTACCAAGAAAGGGAACTGCAATCATTGTAGCAACCCTTCAGGGGTGCCTGCCAGAGTTATCCAACATCGCCTTGTGGAGCCCAATGTGATTTCTGCCTGGGACCATCTTGTACGGACAGCATATTCTCTCCCTGTCTGCTCCAGTAGAGGATGCCATACAGAGAGACAACCACACACACACACAGAGGAGTAGGCCCAGCTGAAATCCTCAAGGACAACTTCCTTTCTCTCTCTCTCTCGTGCCATTTTTCCTGCAGGGGTGCGACTGCGCCGGATGATCGGGGTGCAGCGCTCCACGGGTCCGGGTCAGCGTCGGCAGCAGGGGCGGGGTCGGGGTCCGGGGCATGCCCAGGCTCGGCGGGGCACGCAGAGCGGAGGGCTGGCGGGGGATCGTCGCGCGTGGCCTCGCTTGGCGACGCCGTCGCCCACGGACGCGGAAAGTCCAGCGTCGAAGCCACAGCGGCTGCGGTGCCACCCAAGAGTGAAGGTGACTACTGAATATATTTAGATTATTTTCTGGCGGCGAACTTTGTCTCATTCATATTGATGTGCGTGTGGGTGAGTGGCGCTATTGCTGGAGACGATGCTGTGGTGTAGCTATTGAGGGTGCAACTGCACAGGGGTCCAGAAGGGAGCATGGGCCATGGCAACTACGCCACACCATTAAACCCATTGTTCATATTTATCCATGAACATAAATCATTATTATTCCATGTGCATGTGCAGGCGAGGCCGTGTCAGGCCCCACCGGTGCGGGCGGCGCTGGCGCCGGTGGGGCCGCCTCCCCGGAGCAGGCGAACCCCAGCAGCGGCTTCGTGTCGGTGTGTGGCGGTGCCCCCAGCGATGACTGGGTGCTCGTCGACAAGGAGGGCGAACTCCGTGACTTCCTTCCGATCTCCGGCGCCGGCAGAGCGCAGCCCGCCGGCACCGGCGCCGCTGCCCCCTCGCCATCCGGCCCCGCCGGGAGCGGCGCGGGCCCCGAGCGAGACGTCCGGCGGCCGCTCGTTTGCACGGAGCCGAGCGAGGACGAGGAGGAGCCGGAGGTGCTGCACGTCTCCGACGAAGACCGAGACTCGCCAGGCAACGGGGGGCGGCGGGAAGCCACGTCGGGGTCCGCCACGTTGGACAGGGGTTCCCGGGAGGGCCAGGGTTCAGGGGAGGAGAGAGGGGCCAGGGCGGCGGTGGCGGCTGCAGCTGCGGCCGGCGGGCTGGTGTGGCGGCTGAGCGCGTACCCGGAGCTCAAGACCACGCTGGAACGGAGTCGCACCACGCTCGGAGTTTTCTACTCGGCACGAGGGTTCGACCCGGCGGGGGCGGCCGACAGGACTGGGTGGAGGGCGATGGGAATGCCGCCGGGGCAGGTTGGTAGAGAGGGAACGGGGAGGAGAGGGCACGAGAGGTGCTGTGTGAGAGAGGAGGAATAAAAGGAGGGACCCCAGAGAGAGAGGGTGAATGAGATCATTTGAGAGATGGAATGGGTGAGAGACTGAGATAGAGAGACACAATGAGGGGAGAATGAATCAGGCAATGAGTGAAAGAACAAAAGTGAATGTATGATAATCACGGGTGGCTACAAACCAGCTACAAACCAAAGCCAGGATCTCAGCACTTTAACACTCTTGGCCACATGACCATCTCTCGGCTAAACCGTTTACAAAGCGTGCCCTGCTCTTCTCCTTGCTGCTTGTTTCCACCCCCCCCCCCCCCCCCCCAACAGGTGTCCGACATCCGCACACCGCTTGCCGCGATGCGCGCATCTTCCAGCCTGGAATTCGTATCCCACCCTGGCGGCAGTGGCACGGTCATGGAACGCCACCGCGGGCCGTGCGGCCTAGAAGCGGCGCTGGCGGCCGAGGTGCCCCGCTCACTGGCCCTGCTCTCCGACCACGGCGACAGCAGCCGCTCTGAGCGCCGCTCGTCCCGCGCCAGCGGTCGCAGCAACGGCGCCATCGACGCCGAGCGGCGGAACGGCGAATCGCTCGGGGCGAGGATCGCCAACGCCGCCACCGCCACCGCTACCTTCGTCACCGCCGCCGTAAACCTGCCCGTCGGTTCTGGAGGCCGAGCCGCTGTGGCGGCATCATCGGGCCGCACGGCCGCCCCCGCGGAAGACGGCGAGCGCTTCCGCTCGTCCACCATCAAGGCGGACGCGGACGACGAGGAGGGCTCGCGCACGCTCGTCACGTTCTCGCCGGGCGACGCGCGGGGCGCCCGCTCGCTAGGCGCCACCCTCGACTCGACAGCGCACGACCAGGAGGCCGGGGCCGGCGCCACCGCCGGGGCGCTCACGCCGCATGATAAACCGTGGCCACCGGGGCCGCTGGTGGCTGCCGTCGAGCTGGAGGTGCCCGGCAGAGACGAACAGAGGGGCGGTTCGCCGACACTGTCCCGGGCGGCGCTGCAGCCGGGAGGGCCCGCAGGCGCTGCCGAGAGGCTGCTGCGGCGGCGGGGCAGTGCGCAGGCGGCCGGGCGTGCCTTCAGCCCCGAGAGGGTGCAACCGTCACCCCCACACTCCCCGCAGCAGCAACGCAAGGACACGACGATGATGGCAATGGCTACGATGTCGTCGCAGGCGGAGCTGCGCCGCAGCTTCGAAGGCGAGTCCAAGAGGGAGACGCTCGTCGTGGTGCCGTCGTCGTTGGCGTTGAGGCCCAGCGTGAGACCGTGCCGCGACGGAGGGCCGTACTACGGCGCCAGCATTTCCTTGCGCGCCGGCCTCGTCGACTCGGTCACCACGGCGGCCATGACCACCGTCACGGCCGTGGCGGCGGCAGCGGCGGCCTCCAAGAAGAGCCACATCCCCGTGCCGGTGACGCACAAGGAGGACGGCGCCGCCCTGCAGCTGGCGTCGGCCAAGGACAAGCTGTTCCAGCGGCGCCTGCACCCCGTCGATCTGTCGCGCCTGCTCGCCGGCAAGAGGCAGGGCCCCTTCAGGGCCATCCTGCTGCCGTGCGGGCCCGCCGACAAGGCGGGGGCCGATGAGAAGGCCGGCGGGCAGGCGAGCCGCCGGGAGGAGGCAAAGGCCGGCGACGAGAGGGAGGAGAGTGGCAGCCCGCCGCGGTCGCCCACGTGGAGGAGCAAGATCCCGCGGCCCGTGTCGGTGATGGCTGGGAGCCTGCCTGGGTCGGGGCCGGCCACGCCGCAGCAGTCCCCCACGCGCACACCCACCAAATCGGCCTTCGAGGCCAGGTGAGCTGTTGAGTGAAAGTGTCGGGCGGATGTACGTACATTGATTACCCTACCGGTTATCGGTTACTCGGCCAACTGGATAACGCCAGAAGAGTTTGAGGGAAAAGTTTCACTTCCGTTCCAGTGTGTGCCGTGATCAAGATTATAATGGACTACTTTTGGCAAGGTAAAAAAACACAAAAGTAAAGCCCACTGAGCTATGTAGCTCAAATGATAGCCCAATAAATTGGCTTATCACGTGGAAATGTATCGCAGCCAAATACTCTAAATGCATGTTTCTCATGTGGAGGGAAAAAACGGAGGACCCGGAGAAAAATCCGCACAACCATGGGTAGAACAGGCAAACTCAAAATATACAGGCGTCAGGGTCGGGATCCAACCTCCGCAACATCCTGTATACCAGGCGAGGTAGTTCTCGTTACCGTGATGATGGGGCAAGGCCTGGTAACATCATTGACATGGCTTGCAGGGGTGTTTCGTGCCTTCAGGAGGAAGGATGTGGATGACGAGTGCATTTTTTTTAAAAGGGACCCAAGTAGTCGGCTACTGTTAAAAAGTAGTCCATTAAAATCTTGATCACGTAATTGACGAGGTTAACGAATGTTCTGCAGAAAAAGCCCCATTATTTATTTAATTCCGGAGTGTCCACCTGCAAACTCCTGGGACACATTGTGAGGTCACGAACCTGCCCATGGCCCTCCGAAACGCTATTTCACGTGTAGTTCATGCCCGACAATGACACACGCCTACCTCGTACATTCGCAACCCCTTCACTCTCTCCCTCCGCGTTGTCAGAACGCATTCACTCTGGTGCTCACTCATTTATGTAGCTACCACTTGGCCCACAGATGGCATTGAAGTGGTGGACGTTGAGCTGTTAGTTGATGCCATTGAATTCGTTTTGCCTGCTCCGGTCAGGCCCACTTCCAGAACACGAAGCTGCATTTTGTAAAAAAAAAAAAGATAGCAGCATCTTGCTCATGTGTACTACTTTTAATTCTTTACTTATAAATGATGTCTTCAGTAAATCAATACTGTTATAAATACTGTTGTCTTTTATGGAATGGTGCTCTTTGAGCACAATCATTTACTGACTGTGCAAGAAAAGCTTGAGCCCACGGAATCTGACTATATTGGTTAATGTGAGCGCAGATGGTTGCCCGTTAATGAACCCGGCTTGTTGGAACGCAATTTCACATCGCAAACCCCGTTTTGCTGCGTATAAGCGGAGACTTTTTAACGCGTGTAAAAATGCGTGTCGAGTGATTATAGCTCATCGCACTCTCGCCCCCCGAGTTTGATTCCCCGCCATGGCAAAAAACCGGCGGCGAGTGACAATGTATTTATATCCAGGCCCGGGCTTCATTCTTGGTGCTTGAACTCCGTCTCCTCTCCAACCGTCCCCTCCCCTTGTGCTATCCCCTTTTATATTCCCCCGAGCCCCCTTTCTGGAAGCCTCGCTCGCCCCACTCCCTTCAGCCAATCCTTGTCCTCCTCCTCCAACGGTTGTCAACCGTCGGCCCTACAGTCAACCCTCGTTTCCCGCCTTTTTACGTTTCATCTTTCCTCCAATCCCTTTGAATCTCATCTCCTGACCAATCGACTTTGAGGCCTCCCTGCACCAATCAGAGGCCTCGATTGACTTCTTGACTGTCCGTTCGCACGTACGCTTGTGTCAGGTATAAAGTGGTCTGTTGCCTCGCTCATGACACATGCTTTATTTATATTTATTTATAGTGACTTGCTTTCTTTATATTTATTCATAGTGACTTGCTGACCTTTTCTCTACTTTGCACTGTCGTACTTTGCATCGTTTGTTGCAACTTGCTGACCTGTTTGGACAAAAGAGCTTCAAAGCTCATCGGATTGCTCCTGTCTAAATGCAAGGTGTTGAAAAACGATGGACCCGATTTGAAATCGCTATATCTCTGCAACCACGAACCTCCCATTAATAAAACTCTTACCACTTGAAAGGGCGGGGTAGAGAGTTTCAAATGATTACCGTGAGATGCCTCTCCCAGTGCAGAAACAGCCCCTAGCCTCAGTCATTAGCAAGACGGCGACCCCGCAACACAAGGGGCGTTTTGCGTTCTGCAGTTCAGCAAGACTGAATCCGTAATTGCGGTGCAGCGTGCGTTTCAACGGCGTTTTGGCATTGATCCGCCAATGTCAAAGAGCGTTCGTCGTTGGTACCGACAATTTAAGGAAGCGGGCTGCTGTTGATGTAAGGGGAAGAGCACAGGGTGACCACGCACCTAAGAGGGAAACGTGAGAAGAGAGGCGTTTGGGACTACTTCAACTATCGTCTCGATGTTGTCCGTACAGCAGGTGGAGGGCACATAGAGCATTTATAGAATAGTTAGTAAAAGGTGATAACACATTAAACCGTTTGTAACTTTTTGTGTAATTGCAACATGTTGCCATCGTGAAATTTACTAGTTTGAAATTGGGTCCATTTATTTGAAACACCCTGTAAAGATTCAGATTCTGACATCATAACCAACCTGCAGACGAGCAAGTATGGACAAATAGCCCCTATGATCGACACTGCCCCACACAGTCCTTCATCCAGCAATGGATTAATAACACTATCAAATATAATTTTCGTTAGAATTCCTGTGTGTGCGTTTTCTGACCATCCAACCCCTCCTCCCAAGAGCTGTCACGATTCAGGTTCGTGATAGGATTCCAGACCGCTTTATTTCATAGTGTGGTGAATTGTCGCATCCCCAGTGACTCTAAGCGATGCATTGATACGTAACAAAATAGTCCTTGGCATCATTGTGCAGACTATCGGTGACGAAATGCATTGATGGATAGTTCCACCCCTGGTTTTTATTTTTTCCCCCTCTGGACAACGGAGAAACTGACCAAACGTCACAAAACAGGGCATGCCCGAAGGTGACGCCTGAGATTCAGATGCTGTCTCTGCTGCTTGTCAGCGATGATCGACTAAACTCCACCGTCACTGCCGTTAACCACCTGCACGGCCGCAGGTCCCCGCAGTCTCCCCGGAGCCCCCAGTCGTCCCCCAAGAGCCTGCGGGGTGGCCCTGGGGGCCTCTTCTCGCGCCGTTTGCACCGCTCCCCCCAGCGCAGCTCCTCGCTGCCCCCGTGCAGCCGCGCCGCCAAGCACCGCTCGCCGACGGGACGCGCCACCACCGCCGCCACTACCGCCGCCGCTACCGCCTTCCAACAGCAACAGCAGCACCACACGGTGACCACCGCCGCGTCGGGGCACGCGTCCTGCTGCGGGCCGCCGGTGACCACCGGGGGCCCGGCGGCGGCGATCGCCGGCCTTTCGTCGCCGCACCGCTACCGGCTGAGCGCGCTCGTGTCGCCGCGCCACGGCCGACAGCTGCAGGCGCATGTCGCGGGGCTGCTGTCGCCGCGACACGGTGCCTCGCTGGCGTTCCGGGATCGCGAGCGGGAAGCGACGGCTAGGTCTGTGTCCCCGTCTTCGCCCTGCCAGCAACAGCAGCAACAACAGCAGCAGCAGCAACAGCAGCAGCGGCAGCAGCAGCAGCGGCAGCAGCAGCGACAGCAGCAGCACAGCCTGCGCAGCTCGCTGCTCAGCACGCACAAGTTCAGCCGCGAGTTTGCTGCCGTTTCGGGACTGGTGTCGCCACGCCACCTGGTCAGCGGTGGGGTCGGAGGCTTCAGGGTGACCTCGCGCAGGGCTCCGATGGCCACCGCCGCCACCAGCACCACCACCGGCACCGCCAGCGCCAGCCAGCTGCTAATGCGTGCTCAGGAGTCGCCCACCCACAAGAGGGGCGACGCGGCGGGCGCAGACCCCACGGGGCTAAGCAGGTGACGCAGTGGCACAGCGCCGCCACGGGAAGAGGAGTTGCCCGTTCACCCGGGGTCGGTTCCGCTGTCGGGCAGAGCAAGCAAGCGAGCGCAAGCTTGAAGTGAAATTGAGAAGCAAATACATTGATAACGTCGAAGTGGCAGAGAGCTGATTGGTGGTGATGACAACCAGAGGAGCATGGCGAGCGTGAGGTGGCGTGAGCTCTCGGCACTGCCCGGGGGGCGATGGCTAGCACGGATCGGATGGGATGTGCGATGGAAATTGCGGTCGAAGTCGGCTGCGGTTTTCCAACCACGGCGTCTGACGGGAGGCGTGGGGATGGGAGAGGGACCGTGCGGCCCGGGGGCAGAGATGTGCGTCAGGTTTTTTTTCCGGGCCGGCGAGGATGCCTTGGGAAAGAGTCGGGTTAAAATGTGCAAACGGTGAGACGCAACCACAGCTCAAACACGAACAATCAGACCAAACAGCGTTGCACGAAGATGGGCAGCAGCGTACAAGGGGCACACCACATGCGTCTCGACAGACAGATCTACACAGAAACCATTGTACGCACATAAGAGATACATCCGCGCACACACACCAATATATGTACATGCACACACAAATGTGCGTGAACCCACTTGCATTTACACACAGGCACAACTACGCACACATTTAAACCTCGCTCGCACGCAGCTGAACAAAAAAAATGTATTCGACCCACGAAGGCGTCTGACAAAAGGTGGACGGAGAGCAGAATTCTCATCAATCGGGCTCCCCCTGCCACCCTTTAAGTAAATCATCAAGAACAAAGCAATAACTAAATAAGGAAATACCAAGGGAAGGCGAGGGGGTGGGGGGGTTGCCCTGCCCCATGTCCCCCATCCTCAGTCAAACTCCCACACGGATGTTAATGCTGTGTATCTGTAAACGCCATCATGCGGTACACACACGTATACAAACTCGTATATATATGATAATGATGGATAACGATTATATACATAGAGATGATACAGAACAATCCACTCTACGTAAAAATGCAGAGGTCCTGCAATGGCAATGTTATGCTTGCGAATTGTGATGCACTAGTATGACCCGATGAGGTTATTGTAATGGTTATTGTTAATATATGCAGCCTACGTGCGATTTTAACTGCTCCGCACAGCTACCGTATTCTCCAGATTATAAGACGCGCCAGAACGTAAGACGCAGCCCCAAAACCTGATTCCGGTGGATCAAGGTATACAAATATCAACACACACACATAGACGACTACCGGGTTATTAGATGCACCCCCAAATTTTAGCTTTGCAATGCAGGGAAAAAAAGTGCGTCATAATCAGGAGAATACGGTGTACGATTTTTGCGTATATAATGTACGTTACACACGTGTGTGTGTGTATGTACGAATGCGTGCGCGCGTGTGCGTGTGTATATATAGTAAGCAGGAAATGGCATATGTGTTATGCATTTGTGTTCTGGTATACACACATGTATTTGTGTGTATACACTTTATGGCATTTGTGTATATTGCGTACATTTGTGCATATGTATATGTACATGTTGGTTGCCATGTACATAAATATGTGTACATTCTATATTTTGCCGGGAGTGCTAAAACAATTCAGAAGAAAATGAATTGTTTTTTTTTAAGTTGAACAAACCCACTGTTAGAGGCGTTTTTTTAAATTATTATTTATTTAATATTTATTTTATTTTTGTATGTATTTTTTTTATTTCGTTATAGCTTTGAATGAACAACAGTGTTGACGTTACAACCGTGTAATGAATCTTGACTTACAGCTTTCGTGACTGCAGTAATTCATAGTCTTTGGGTCTTTCGGTAAAGTCACATAGATAGGTTCAAAGAAAATAACAAGAAACTACGACGTTTCGATCGCAACACAAGCGGCCGTCATCAGGAAAAGGGGTGACGACCGCTTGTGTTGCGATAGAAACGTCGTAGTTTTTTGTTAGTTTCTTTGAACCGATCTACGTGACTTTACCGAAAGACCCAAAGAATATAACAGCGTAATAATTTATCCCAATTTGAATGGCCAATTAATAACCAATTAATATTGGGCCAAGTAATAACCACAATCCATTCCCTTTCTGTTGAGCAATGGTGTCTTGTCCTCTCATTCAAAGCGTTTGACAGTTCACATCTCTGTTTGCGGGCTTCCACTAACGATGGAAATTCCGCATTCCTACACGGAAAGGACCAGTCATTCCATCGGAGATTCCCTGCTGACTTCCCCAACAAAGGTTGCCTCAATTTATCCACGCTGAAGAAATTATATTAAGTTGACCGCCGATTGGAATAAGTTTTAACTCGTAACCTAAATAGAGCAACGGCCGATAGACGTGGTGCACATTCAGCTTCTCTAGAAAATTCCCGTTATTTTGGTTAAAGTCGCCCCCAAAGCGTCCATTGTCACTAAAGTGTTACCTGCATTTTTCTTAATTTACGAAAATATTCACGATTATCAACTCAACTAATTATAGGAAGGGGGGAGAGAGTAAAAAAAAAACTGGTTAGCATGGTAAAAATTGTTGCTCATTTTTTGTTTACCAGGGTCATAGGTCACATGCTGTGGTACATAGCTAGTCATCAGTAGTTCAATACCATAGGACTCCTTATTCTTTTCGTTCATAATCAGCCCTTCCTCAACTCTATATGATAAAAAAAATACTCAAGAGCTGTCACTGACACACAAATTCCATTTCTTTAGGACTGAATATACAGTAAAGGTATTTCAAAGTCATATTTCGCCTGTTCCAAGACACGTGATTTTACATGGCCAGATTCACATGTTGGTCAATGTGACCAAAGTGCATCGTAACGCACTGCCCCTTCGCGATAGGATCCCGTTCCTTTGGCAGAAAGTGGGAACATTCACCAAAATGGGTAAAGTGGACCTCAAAATCTGCGGTGTATATGCAGATATCCAAAACGCTTCAAATAATGACAAGAAAAACAACACACAAGCCAGCTGGAAGAGCTGAATGGCATTCACTTTCCACAGTTATTCCGAAACCAATTAAAGACAGTCATGCATTTCCCTCCATAGATCAAATTGGTTGCCATGGAGATTGTAATGGCGGCTATGGTAATTAGCAACGTGACCTCATTATGCGGCATTGTTACTCTTGCAGCGTGCCGTGGTGAATATCATTATGATGCCTTTGTATTTTTGGTTGCGGTTTGGTAACTGATCTCTTCAACTCGTTTGCCAAAAAAAATATTTACGAAAGAAATTAATATTATTCTACTCATAGGGGTGTCGAAGAGTAGGCCAAAAATACCCTTCAGAGCTACTTCTGGAGGCTGTTCCACCAGCAATGGCATGGGCATGAAATTGCAGGGCTGCACCATTACCTTTTAATTATAGTACTTGAAACATCCCACACATGCATCCACGTATTTACGAAGCCACTAGGAGCTGCAAGAATACTTGTACAAATTAAAACATGATTATTTAACTCTGTATATAATGAATTTGGGGTGGTGGGTGGTGGTGCAGCGGTTAGCACACTGCACTATGAACCGGCAATCTGAGTGCGATTCCTGGCCGTGATGGATGGGGGTAACAATCAGCGGCGAGTGATATCTGAATTATTCCTGGACACCTCCTTCACCCAACCAGCCCGATCCAATTTGAAGTACGGTCCAACAACCTATGTGATCGAGGGGGAGGCCTTAATCCAGCAGTGGATTGACAACTGTAAATTCTTATTCGTATTCATTATATTAACTCATGAACAAATTACCTCCATTAAAATGCTACTTAATTATATATATACACGCAAAAAGTATAACGTTGAAGGAAGTTTTAGGCATTGAGACATATACTTGTTTAACGAGCTTCTAGGTGCAATATAAGTTGGAACTTTCTCAAACTTGAGTTGTCTCAACCCGATGTTTCAAGGCGCAGCTCCTCCACTACGCAGTAGCAGTGTGTTTCCAATATTCAGATTACTTTAGTAAAAAAATAAACACATCTGAATAGAGCCAAGATACAAAGTTTTCGGATGATTCTGGAAGAAAAAAAATATTTTGGATAGATTCGAAAAGATGACGTCACTGTCATATTTTATCTCCATCGTGTGCCATCAAATGACGTCAGTATTGTTAGCATGAACACATTTTAAGTTGGTACCATAATGTAGTAAGTGGATCAAAAAAAAGATCCAAAGTTATCTTTAAAAAATCTGCACATTTCACATTCAAAACGTATCCCCAGTATGCGAGGTTGCTGCCTAATAAAGGCATCAAATGCTGATCACGTTTTTGGCTGATTGCAAATTAGATGGCCGAGCAGATATGCCTGGGTCACCGTGTTCACATCCTCACTGTTGCAGCTGAAACATGTCGGGTTGGAACAACTGACGTCTGAGGCTGGCATTTCCCCCCCCCCCCCCCCCCCCCCCCATTCTTAGATTGTTGAATAAATAATAAAACTTTTAAGAAAAAAAGAATACACCCACTTGATTTTACAAACATCCGAAATTGAAAAAAATAATTTGGGGGGGGGGGGCCAATAGCACATTGTGAATATTATACAATTCACTTTAAAGGAGCAAAATACTCCTAGTATTGACTTGAATGCGATAAGACTAAATAATGTTGGGATTGAAGTAAGACTTTTGGCACGTGACACTGGCCCATCGTTGTTCGGAGTGACAAGGCCGAAGCCCTGGATATAAACGTAACCCCTTGCAGTCTGGATCCCACACCAGTCAACAGTGTGGACCCCGCAATCCCAATGCAGCTGTGTTTTTGTTTCAGTCAGTGCTGTTTAACTCCTGTTTATTTCAGTGCCACTTTGTGGCGATGTGAAATCCGGAAAAAAATCAAAAGAAACGTTCCCAGAATAACGCGTTCCATTGCCTCTACCGCCACTGACCATGTTTTCGGATAAAAAAAATTTTGGTTCAAATAGGTATCATTATTTACTTAAAAGATGTTTGGAAAATCAATAGCATGGACACAATATTTTTACATCCTTTCAACAAGATAAAAATAAGAATGTATTTGTCCTTCATATTTTGTCAAATCGGCGAGTTTAAGATGCAGTGATTCAGTTTTAAGTCAAAATATGCTACATGTTAATGATTCCGTACAATCACAAACCGTTTTTTTCAGAAAAGCCACAACACGTGATGGATTCTGCCCAATTGAGACAGTTATAATCAAGGTTGCTGCTATTAAAAGAAAACTTGTTCTGCACTGCAAATCGCAGCAAACAATACCAGTTGTGGTCGCTGCAGGGCAAAAGTTATGTTTTGAAAAAGAGTAAAAATGACTCCGCTTAGTCAAATGAAAATGACTAATTGCTTCAAATAAGCGGAGTTGTTTCTACTGCTGTACTTCAAAATGGAAAATCCGGCTGCTGTATCAAAAACCAATGGGTCACATCCATCCATTCACTCCCATCACAAACATCACTCTACCTGTATCGTTAAATATTCAGCTAAAAATGTGATCTTCGTGGAAGCGCAGGGCCTCTGTCTACATACTGACGGCCTTTCAGCAACGGCGCCCGCAGCTAAAGTCAAGCGACCGCATGGGCTGCACTCTGCTGACGAAGCCCAACCAAAGGGCGAAACCCGTGTATGGGAAACATTGTCAGTTTTTGTCCAATTGCTACTCGCGCGCGAATAAAATGTTGGCTGCTGGTACAGCTTGTGAGGACTGACCAGGGATGTGTGTATGCATTGGTGTGTGCCTCTGCATTCTCCCATTATAAAAAGGCAAATATCCCCCGTAGAGCCTGTAACAGACTGTAGGGGCAAGTGCTAATAGCGGGCAGCACCTCTGAAGGCCGGAACGGTACACGAGGCGGTGGGTGGCCAGCACCACGCCCGACCGCCTTTGTCTCCCTAGTGACGACGTTTACACACCACACCAGGTACTCATTTGAGGCTGAGTCGACCTAGGGGAGGAGGCCCAGGACCGGTTCAGGGAATCGTCACTGGTGTTGGCCGTGAGTGGGAATCGAACGCGGGTTACCGGGTTCGTAGCACAGCGCGCTAACCGCTCCACTAACCGCTGGACGCACACACATAGCTAGTGTGGTAAAAAAAAAAGAATACGGATAAGTCACAAAGAAGTGGCACCAGTGTAGTGCTGAGTTCCCTTCAATCTAACCAGGAGCAACTCGGACAATGTGGGTCACTTGAATGTGTGTTTAACGATATTCTGCTCCCGAAACGTATTGAGCCACGATGTTGCACCTCCTTTTATTAAAAAAAAGGCAGAGGCGTCAGGATGTGGTGGTGGGTGGGGGGGTGAAATTGCCTTAATCAGTTCAGCAGTGGATTGAGAATGGCTGCTAAGTGAGGTTGCCGTTCACATGAATGCCGCCGCCGGTCATGATACGTTCCTGGAAACGAAACGGGGCGCAGTTGCGGCGGTTTGACTCGTGTGTCCTGGGGGAGTTCACAGATGTGTTTTGAAAGGGGGAGAGAGGTTAAGAATAACGGAGCTTGATGGGAGACCAGTACAGAAAGTGCGTTACGACATTGCAGCAATGTCGTATGTTTGGCGTTTGATAAGATTACCCGTAATTCTAAGAGTTACGACATCGGGCGTTCGTATAAATTCGGAGAATTCTCACGAGTGAAGATGGGAAAGGTGTCGGAGTGGGAGTGACGGCGTTTTCCATATCGTAATGCTCTTTGGTGAATGAGAGTTCGGATCTCACCATGACTCCCCACTCACTTTTTACTCATGATCCGTTTTCTCTTCATGCGTATATGATCATACTACGATCGTTGGCTGCCGGAATTATGAGATATCTCAAATAGCTTTTCCCGTACTCAGGCTCGAAGAATTCTAACATCGTCCTTTGTATGTGTGTGTGTCACCGACACCACGAATTTCCCCTTGCCACCTGTGCCAGGCAGAACGATTCTGCTCATCGTGCCGCTCCTCCGTTAATTGTTACAAATTATATAAGTAAATAAACAAGTAGATATGAGTTTGTTTCAAATCGCTCGCTTAAATGGAATACAAATGCATCATCGGCATGCGGGTCTAATGTTTCCCAGGATGACTCTGATGTGTGTTCAGGTTGTGCCACGTAGTTGTTCGGCAGGATGTCCCGACGCTTTGCTTCCATTAGCTCCTTCAGGAACTGGAGCAAAACGTCGGACATGCCGAACGTCACGCAGCGCGACTCAAAAACTCAACGGAAAGCTGTAGAGAAAAACAGCGAAAGCCTACGTGGTAATGTTTTGCCAGGAGCTTTTGCTTATGAAGTAACGCGAACCTGGAGAGGTCTCATCTGCAGGGTCTGGCCTCTTAAACTGGTGCCACTGGGTGCTCTGATTATGTTGGACAGGAGCCTTCTGCACAATGCGTGACCCAAAAACCGAGCTTCGGCAAAGCGTTGCAAAAGCTGATTTTATTATTGCAGGCTTCAGCAAATTGTTGCAAATTGTGAAAACGGATACGGATATGTGCTTACTTCCTGGTTTCTTTCACGACAAAACGCATGGAGATGGCCGAACGTGCGGATTGTAGGCGGGACGACCCTCCCGACAACATCGAGACTCGTTTGCTCCCAGATTTGTATTCGGGTTTGTACCGTGCACAACCAGAGGACACATTCGAGAGCCGTACAGCACAGCCGCAAAAGACCAACACCGGAGCATGATGAGACTCGGTGAGCAATTACTTGTTAAATAAAGGGCATTCTAATAATTATGGTTTGTTATGTTCAGTCTCCGTGATTTAAACAACCTTGCTTTAATTCGTTGTTGCTTTTATTATTATTTCAACTTCATCGAGTCTCATCGGCAAAGTGTGGCCTCTTAACACGCAACGCCACTTGGTGCAGCTGATGTCAGACCAGCCGTCAAGTTCTCGAACGTTCTTCGGCAACCAACACACAAAAAGACCCGCGACCTCGTCACCTAGATCCGTCGGCAATCATTCGCTGAAGCAGGGGCCCCACCCGCAGCAAACTTATTTTGCATTTGTTTTTTGTCAGCTTGGCTTTTTAAACAACAACAAAAACATTTGTGTTCTGTCGCCTTCGTGTCGCGGTCGCACGTGAACAACGACGGAAGTCTTGAACACGCCCCGGTCGACACGCTGCCACCACGGGTCACCCACGCCATCCAGGCCGGGGCACATGTCGCCACTCGAACCGCGGCGTTTAGCAGCCGACGTTCAGGCGAGTTAGTCCTCAGCGTCCCCGCCTAACCGTTATACACCACCAAGTGCATTTTGATTTGAAATTGCGATATATGTATACTATTTTATTTTGTAATATTCAATAAATTATATAAGCATGCTCAAGTCGGCCGTGTCTTGTGGTTCAATGCGAATGCATTACAGTTCATTATTAACAGCAGAGACCATATGGAATGGAATAAAGTTAGCCTGTACCCGAACCTGCACATGAAATTGACTTTTCCAAGACGAAGGTACTCTGCAAACCCACCGGCTATTATCAGAGATTTGTTCATGAAGCCATCCAGATATATAAACACAGACACAACTTCAACCGAGAAGATGGGTACAAACTGAGCAATCATTGGAAGGAGGTTATTAACCAGGTAAAGTCTTAACTGACTGTGATGGTTCCATCGTACCTGCCAATGTCAGCTGTTATTTCCGATTCCCTTGTGTCTCTTTCTCTCTGTGCCTCTCTCGGATCTCTCCGCCGGTGACTCGGGTGCTGCCGCGGGGTCCCACTTTCTGCCCCGCCTCCTCCCCCCACCTTCTCTCTCGCCCCTACTGCCGAGGCCTACTATATAACCTCGTGCCACGGCAGCTCTCTCCCCTACTTCAGCAGTTTTTTCTTGCTGTAGTTGTCTCACCTGATGACGGTTGCTTGTGTTGCGATCGAAACGTCGTGATCTATTATTTCTCTACCTACGTGACTTTTCCGAAAGAACCAAAGAGTATGCATTGCTATGTTTGGGATAGTGGCAAGACTTGGGAAGGATTTGCCAGCTTCCGCAGAAATACATATCATTACGTCACATTCTTCATCATTTTCATTACACTGATCATAATGAACCTTATGGCGGGATCCTGGGGTCCCATAAGCCCCCGGCTCTTGCATAAACTGGGTTGCGACGTCATTTTTTGTCTGTTGAAGGCAAACGACACGGCAATCTATTCCTCTCGACGAGCTCTACACGATGTGTTAATCAAAGTTTTCTTTCTTCTGCGCATTTGTCCTCGCTGCTGCGCTTGGACACAACATGACAACAGAATGATCCGCGCCAGGTGGGTCACGGCGTTTATGTGCGCGGTGGGACGGAGTCGCCAAAAATAAATTAATTACGATTTTGACTTCCGTTTATTCGGGACCCCGGGGTCCCACCATAAGGTTCAATTATCACCAAATGTGTCATCGTCATCATCAATCACCAATGTCATTGTTGCCGCCACCATTTGCATCAAGTCATTCCGACACTCATCATCATCATGGTTATCAATTACAGCACCACATTCACCATAAATCACCGGCCATTATCATTACCATCGCATTCATCACCGTCTGCAGATTGCGCCTTCAAACATTGACCGCCGTCTCAAATAATTAACGAAATGAGAGTTAATTAACTTTCTGCCGCGGGGTGGGAGGGGGGGTGTTAGTGTGTGTCTTATGTAAAACTCATCCGTGTTACATGATCCCTGCCACGGGCCATGACATTTCGTAAGAGGGCAAGGCGTTATTTGGACACTCCCCAAAGGATCGTAATTCATATTCTTTGGGTCTTTCGGTAAAGTCACGTAGATAGGTTCAAAGAAAAGAACAAAAAAATAAGTTTTCACAACGTAAGCGGTCGTCATCAGGAGGCAAAAAAGAGGGGGAAAGCTGCTGAGGCAGACTGTTTTTCAAGGTTTAAAATGGGTGTAGCCCAAGGCGACCTCCACAACGAGCGAGCGGAGGTGGCTATGTTAATGTGAGAGATTAACATGTTAATGTCAGATCGGAGGGCGACCTCCACAACGAGCGAGCGGAGGGTGGCTATGTTAATGTGAGAGATTAAGATGTTAACGAACACGGTCCGAGACACGATGATCATAAGGCAGATCTGAAACACGGTAGGACCAATACCTCGGCCGTGGCTGATCATTGTTTCAATGCGGTGGGCTCACACGAAATGTATTTCTCTAAGACGAAGGTACTTTGCAAACCCACTGGCTATCAACTAAGATTCGTTCATGAAGCCATCCACATATACAGACACAGCTTCAATCGAGAAGATTGGTATAAACTGAGCAATCATTGGAAGGACGTTATCAAACAGTTTAAGTCATAACTGCCTGTGATGTTCCCATCCTACCACCTTCCGATGTTAGTTGTTATTTTCGGCTCTCTGACTTTACATTAACAGGTTTAAATGTCCCACACTAACACAGCCACCTCGCTCGCCGAGCTCGCCGTTGCTGCTCCGCGATCTCCCATTAACATGCTCATCTCTCACATTAACATGCTCATCTCTCACATTAACATGCTCATCTCTCACATTAACATACTCATCTCTCACATTAACATGCTCATCTCTCACATTAACATGCTCATCTCTCACATTAACATGCTCATCTCTCACATTAACATGCTCATCTCTCACATTAACATGCTCATCTCTCACATTAACATGCTCATCTCTCACATTAACATGCTCATCTCTCACATTAACATAGCCACCTCCGCACCCTCGTCGTGGACATCGCTCTGCGATCTCCCATTAACATGCTCATTCTAGATTTGAAGCTTTCGTGACTGCAAGGATTCATACTCTTTGGTTTTATTCGGTAAAGTCACGTAGGTAAAACAAATTTTAAATAAATTAAAATAAAATAAACAATTAAAACACGACGTTTCGGAGGCAACGCAAGCTTCCGTCTTCAGGTGGGACCAGTCACAGCACGCTTGTGTGTGTGTGTCAGTGTCTGTGTGTCAGTGTGTGTGTCAGTGTGTGTGTGTCAGTGTGTGTGTGTGTCAGTGTGTGTGTGTCAGTGTGTGTGTGTGTGTCAGTGTGTGTGTCAGTGTGTGTGTGTGTCAGTGTGTGTGTCAGTGTGTGTGTGTGTCAGTGTGTGTGTGTCAGTGTGTGTGTGTGTCAGTGTGTGTGTGTCAGTGTGTGTGTGTCAGTGTGTGTGTGTGTGTGTCAGTGTGTGTGTGTCAGTGTGTGTGTGTCAGTGTGTGTCAGTGTGTGTGTGTCAGTGTGTGTGTGTCAGTGTGTGTGTGTGTGTCAGTGTGTGTGTGTCAGTGTGTGTGTGTGTGTGTCAGTGTGTGTGTGTGTGTCAGTGTGTGTGTGTGTCAGTGTGTGTGTCAGTGTGTGTGTGTGTCAGTGTGTGTGTGTCAGTGTGTGTGTGTGTGTCAGTGTGTGTGTGTGTGTCAGTGTGTGTGTGTCAGTGTGTGTGTGTGTGTGTCAGTGTGTGTGTGTCAGTGTGTGTGTGTCAGTGTGTGTGTGTCAGTGTGTGTGTGTGTCAGTGTGTGTCAGTGTGTGTGTCAGTGTGTGTGTCAGTGTGTGTGTGTGTGTCAGTGTGTGTGTGTGTGTCAGTGTGTGTGTGTCAGTGTGTGTGTCAGTGTGTGTGTGTGTGTCAGTGTGTGTGTGTCAGTGTGTGTGTCAGTGTGTGTGTGTGTGTCAGTGTGTGTGTGTGTGTCAGTGTGTGTGTGTGTCAGTGTGTGTGTGTGTGTCAGTGTGTGTGTGTGTGTCAGTGTGTGTGTGTGTCAGTGTGTGTGTGAGGGGGGAGCGATAGTGTAGCGGTTAGCGCGCTGCGCTATGAACCTGGCGACTCGGGTTCGATTCCCGCTCACGGCCAACACCAGTGACGATTATCTGAACCGGTCCCGGGCCTCCCCTAGGTCAACTCAGCCTCAAATGAGTACCTGCTGCGGTGTGTAAACATCGCCATTAGGGAGTCAAAGGCGGTCGGGCGTGGTGCTGGCCACCCACGCCCTCGTGTACCGTGCCGGCCTTCGTAGGTGTTCGCTAACAGCACTTGCCCCAACGGTCTGTTGAAGCTTTACGGTGGATTTTTGTCTGTAATGTGTGTTGAACTTCTTTCGCGCCGTACGTTTGCCATACTAATCGAAGGTGTGCGAGAGACGCTTGTTTTTGCCGAGCTCGGGTCAAATCAAACACGTCACACCGCCCGGCCGCCGTTGTTTCACTCCCAGTGCTGGTGTGACATTGACCGCAAACTCCACAGCAATGCAAGTTGCTTGGTTTGTGTTTCCTCACGGCGGAGGTGACCGTGGGCACGAATCCTGAGCCCTCACATCCCACAAGCAAAAGCTCCTTCACAAAGGATGCGTGGCCTCACATCACGAGCACGGTTCCATTTAAAAAAAAACGGTGTCAATCATGTTACGGTTGATGATGCTGCTGCTGCGTCTGCTATTATTACCGGTGATGGATTAAAATTGCTGTTACTGATGATGAATGTGACGATGTTGCTGCTATTGATGATGTGATGCTGCTGCAACTAATGATGAATGTGATGCTGCTGGTGGTGGTGCTGTTGCCGCTGCGTCTACTAATACTGCTGATGATAGAGGATTGACTTATGATTAATGTGAAGATTGTATTTCCATTACATCATCAGCTTTCAACAGTGGGTTTTCTTTTTTCGTGCATAACAAATTAAACATCTCCATCCCTTTTTAAACCCCTCTCGCTCACTATGTCTTCGTGGTTTCAAATATATATATTTTCTTTTAACCTTTCCCCAACCCCCTATCAATGCAAAAGCATCACCATGCTAGCCCCAGTCGTGTGAAGGGCCGTGTTTACGTCTTCAAGTGTGACATCTGGAACCTCTGGAACTGAAAAAAACCGGTTTAATTCCTGGGATATATGGATGGTGGTCGAGGTTAGGGACAGTGGCAGCCAAAAGAGGAAACGGCGCTTGAGAGCATTAGCCCACCGTGGAGATGTAACGAGGAATTCCGCTCGTGCGCAGGCACGAGATGGATTGGTTACAATGTTGCCTGCGGTGGTGATGGTTGTCAGCGATGGTGTTGATATCAGTGGTAGCGATGGGGGTCATGTTTGGTACAGTGATAGTATAGTCGCAGTGATGGGTTAACAGCGCACTGTGGTGACTGGGTCAGGTTAACCACGATGATGTCCCAACCCTCTCTGTACCCAGCCAAGCGTGCCTAACGCTTACCTTTCGCAGCAAGGGGGGCAGAGGTGAGCGGACCTGAGCCACTGAGGCTTCGGTCAAGTTCCGTTAAACAGTGTTGGAAAGCCCTTAATCTTCTACCGGGTGTTGGCAATATAATCTACCCGTAGCAGGATCACGGTGCCCATACCCCCATGTGATGATTAACGACCGCGCCGTGTTCTTATAAAATAAGGTTCATCATCCATCAGCTGTCCATTGCGGTCAGCAAACTATGAAGTGCAACAACACTAGCCGTCGTTCGATAGCAAGTGGCGGTGACGTCACCGCAGCGCTTGTGCCAGGCTGAGTGCACTTTGGAGGCCACGTGAAGTGTCAAAGGAAACCTCATCCACGCACGCCTTAACGGGGCTCGAATCGACACGTGCGAACATCGGCCCGAAGGCCTGCGGGACGGGAACGTGTAATTAGAAAAACTTTGTCAAAAAATCGCTTTTTTGGGAAGAATTCAATCGGAGACAAGCACGTGCAGTCAGACAATTTAACGCACACAGACCAGGAGAGAAAACGAAAGTGTCTTGAATGAATGTATGGGGAAAGTAGTGGCCATTTTCTAAAATAAGTATGTCATTATTGTTATTCCTTTTTTAAAATCGATAGTTTTTAGAGTGTGGATTTAAGCGAGATTGAGAGAGGTGTTCAGAGTGATGTGCGAGGGAGAAAGGGAGATACGCAGTTGGACAGACAGATAGACACGCGTGCACATGTACAGGGCAAAAAGCGTGACCAAAGCTCGGTCTTCTTACAGCCTAGCTCCACAATAGGAAATCCACAGAGACACAAATACACAGAGTGTGGTCACCATATCCCAAAAGCCACAACAACATCACGGACTGATATAGAGACGATCGTGAGACCATAGCATTGCCCAAGATAAATATTGCATTCAACTGTTAAAGTGCTGAGCGAGCATATATGCTCAAAAAGTGACACCACCATAGGCCGGTGGAGCAATATTCGCGACGGAGAGACCTAGGGAATTGCATGATACAGAGCCAGGAAAGAGAGGAGAGAGACTGACTCGAAGATTGACACACGGATATACACGAGACGCGTAGGAGACACAGGGATAGAAAAGAGACAGGTCAACACCAATTCCACCACCGGCCACCACCATGACTTTCGCCCAAGTGCTCGACATCGTTGGCAGCGCCGGGCGCTTCCAGGTGATGCACGTGCTCATCGTCACCTTACCCATGCTCTTCCTCGCCGCCTGCAACATCTTCCAAAACTTCGGCGGCGCCACCCCGAGCCACCGATGCCGCGTCCCCTGGATCGACGGCCCCAATGCGACCCTGGCTCAGCAGGGGCTCCAACAACGAGGGGCCCAGCACGAGGGGGCCCAGCGAAGTTCCCCTTCGCTGCTGAGAGCGGCCGTGCCTCGGAACCCCCGAGGACAGGACAGCGCTTGCGAGGTGTACACGAAGCCACAGTGGCACCTGATGCGGTGCGCGGATGGCAACGGCACGGGCGGGGGCCACGGATGTGATGGTAGTGGCGATGGGGGTGCACGGGCAGGTGAGGATGTGCAGGTGGAGGGGTGCGCTCACGGATGGAAGTTCGATCGAAGCGAGTTCACCTCGACGATTGTGACCGAGGTACGGACGTGTGTGCGCGTTCGTGTGTCCGTCACTCACGCGTGTGTACGTCACTTGTGTCGTACCTGTTGTGTGTGCGCGCGCGTTTCATTTGTGTGTGCATATTCATCCGTCACACGTGGGAGTGTAACTGTGTCACAGTGTAACCGTGCCAAAGCATGCGATTGTGATGTGCGTGTCATATGGGCGTATACGAGCCAGTGGCACGTCTGTGTGTGAGTGTCACGTGTGTCCGTGTATGTATGTAGAATTTCGTGGGCATCGTACGTAGCCAACCGCGCTAATCGGAGGTGCAGGGGAACAACAAACTAAACCAAAAAAACTGTTTTTTCAATCTCGTGGAAGTGTCACATTGTGTTTCACCACGTGTGTCACATCAAGGGCGGTGACACGGCTCAGCGGTAGCGCATTCGCCGCCCGTTGCAGAGTTTCACGGTTCGACACGGGCGGCCACCCTGGTTAATGCTGCAGGTTAAATAAATGGCGTCAGGGTTAAGATTTGCCAAATTCTAAAATGACACCACACGTTACTCAATTTGGATCATACATAGCAATCATGGCCTCCTACTGGCAGACTAATGCCCCCACCTCCAATTGGCACGGTTGGCTACGTCCGGTGTGAAATAAGTTCAATATACAAAGGTCACTCACCATTGCAAATGAGTTTTCACCTAGTTCAACAAAGTAACTTTACTCAACCAGAACACCTCGTGTAGGGGATGGGGCACTCAGTGGCGAGTGAAACCTGAACCAGTTATAGCCCCTGCGGTGCCACGGCAGCGAGGCCGCTCCGTCGGAGCCGCGCCTGGGGCGGGGAGCTGCAGCAACGAAGCAGCCCGGCTTCCGTAGCGGCGCTTCCCCCACCACCCCCACATGAACACACACACACACATAGAGCCCCCACATGAACACACCCCCACATAGAGCCCCCACATGAACACCCCCCCCCCCCCCACATAGAGCCCCACATGAACACACACATAGAGCCCCCACATGAACACACACACCCACATAGAGCCCCCACATGAACACACACCCCCCCCCACATAGAGCCCCCACATGAACACACACACACCCACATAGAGCCCCACATGAACACACACACACCCATATAGAGCCCCCACATGAACACACACACCACATAGAGCCCCCACATGAACACACACATAGAGCCCCACATGAACACACACACACATAGAGCCCCCACATGAACACACACCCCCCACATAGAGCCCCCACATGAACACACACACCACATAGAGCCCCACGTGAACACACACCCCACATAGAGCCCCCACATGAACACACACACACCCACATAGAGCCCCCACATGAACACACATACACACCACATAGAGCCCCCACATGAACACACACACGTAGAGCCCACACATGAACACCCCCCCCCCACATAGAGCCCCACATGAACACCCCCCCCCCCCCCCACATAGAGCCCCACATGAACACACACACACCCCCACGTAGAGCCCCTACATGAACACACCCCCCCCCCCACATAGAGCCCCACATGAACACACACACAGACACCCCCCCCCCCCCACGTAGAGCCCCCACATTAACACACACACACCCACATAGAGCCCCCACATGAACACCCCCCCCCCCCCCCCCCACATAGAGCCCCTACATGAACACACACACACCCCACATAGAGCCCCCACATGAACACACACACACCCCACATAGAGCCCCCACATGAACACACACACATTTAAAGCTTTCGTGACTGCAAGGATTCATCTTCTTTGGTTCTTTCGGTAAAGTCACGTAGAATGAGAATAAAATAATAAATTGATAAAATAAAATAACACAATAATATTCTCACGACGTTTCGGCCACAACACCAGCGGCCTTCATCAGGTGAAGGGACGAGACTGCCTGGTAGGACAGTCTCTGTCTGGTAGGACAGTCTCGCCCCTTCACCTGATGAAGGCCGCTTGTGTTGTGGCCGAAACGTCGTGAGAATATTATTGTGTTATTTTATTTTATCAATTTATTATTTTATTCTCATTCTACGTGACTTTACGGAAAGAACCAAAGAAGATGAACACACACACCCACATAGAGCCCCCGCATGAACACACACACACACACACACCCCACATAGAGCCCCCAATTGAACACACAGACACACATAGAACCCCCACATAAACACACACACACATAAAGCCCCCACATGAATACACACACCCCCACGTAGAGCCCCCACATGAACACACACACACATAGAGCCCCCACATGAACACACACACTCACCCCCCACATAGAGCCCCCAGATGAACACCCCCCCCCCACATGAACACCCCCCCCCCACATAGAGCCCCCACATGAACACACACACATAGAGCCCCCACATGAACACACACACATAGAGCCCCCACATGAACACCCCCCCCCCCACACACAGAGCCCCCACATGAACACACCCACACACCCACATAGAGCCCCCACATGAACACACACACACATAAAGCTCCCACATGAACACACACACCCCCACGTAGAACCCCCACATGAACACACACACACCCCACATAGAGCCCCCACATGAACACACACACACCCCCCACATAGAGCCCCCACATGAACACACACACCCACATAGAGCCCCCACATGAACACACACTCACCCCCCACATAGAGCCCCCACGTGAACACACACCCCACATAGAGCCCCCACATGAACACACACACACACCCACATATAGCCCCCACATGAACACACACACCCCCACATAGAGCCCCGAGGGGAAGTCACGTGGCCGACAGGTTTTCACCCAGAAGCCCTCTCATGGGACCAATCTTCACGGTTTCCTGCGACCAGGGAATTGGGCGACCTCCCCCGAGGCTAGCTTGCACCGCGGCGCCGTGACCTGGATGGAGGTTGCATGGTCACGACGGGGCTGCTCAGCCGCCGTGGATAGAGAGGCACACTCGACACGGGGCAGAAGGCAGGTAGAGGGTGGGGTGGAGTAACGAGCGACGGGAAAACAGGGCGGCCCTCTGATTGGCAGGACGAATGCGCTTGTTTAAATAGTAAGCGGACGTCGGAGAGAGCACCGAACCGATTAAAGAGGAGCGGGAATCCGAGGCTCCTGATTGGACGAGAGGCCAGCGAATTAGCGGAAAGTTATCTTTGATGTAAGGACAATAAAAAGGGCAGGGAAGGTAGGGGGAGGCAGTCGTGTTCTTCTGGGGTCAAGGATCGGAGGAGTCATCGTGCCTGCCACTGGATCGTCCCTGAGACGAGTCGCAGTGTAGCCAGGCCCCGCTCCCAGCGAGGACTACGTACAGCCTCGCCTGTCCACGGCTTCCTACACCTCGGAGTCGAACCGTGAGTACGTAGGAAAGAGATGAGATTAAGGGGAATATCCTTAGGGAGAGTGATTAGAGAGAGACGAGACAGATTGAGACCTAGACCACCGGGAGATAGGTTAGAACTGCCCTGCTGGCCCACACTGACACGGCTAGTTTAGCTTTGTTAATCGCGGAGAATAAATCGCCAGTAGTCAATAAACCTTGTCATGTCGTCCCTGCAAGTGCGGAGAGGAGTGCCCGGTGCTGTGAGCCTTCTCGTTGTGGTATCCTGTGTTCGCGCACGAGCGTGTATTTTACCCGCGTGCGTGCACTCGCCGCTGCGTGTAGCTCGTAGTTAACGTGTACGCGAGGTAGACGGGCATCGTGCACGCGAGATCACCTGTTCCGCCTTTGCTTAGCGTGTGCGCGAGGTAGACGGGCGGCGTGCACGCGAGGTTGTTCACACAGCCCTTTAAACCTGCTCCGGGGCACCTCCTCCAATCGGCTGCGCGCGTACGAGTGACGCCCCCTGCCCTCTGACCCCCGACCCCGGGTCCCGCGCGTGCGATTGGTGCGCGGCGCCGGGCAGGTAGCCGCGTCGAATTTTGGTGGCCACGCGCCAGCCCTTAGAATCATGCCCCTAGAGACCGCAGCGAAGGGGGGGGGGAGTCGGTGAGCAGTAACCCTCCCCAGGACACGGAAGAGGGGAGCAGTGGATCCCACGTGAGCGAGGGGACGGGGATCAGCCTCCCCGACACACCACCCCCTTCACTAACCAGCGTAACGAAGTATGGTCAAACAACTCTGCACGACTATCACGACGTGAGGAAGCCATCATTCAGCAGTGGATTGACAAAGGGCTGTAAACGATCAATTGAGATGGCTCAAAGCCGAGCCGGGGGGTTGACTCAGGCCCCATCGTCCTTCTGCGGTCAACACGATCAGTACGCCCCCCAGCCAACCCCCCCCCCCCCCCCTTTGCTGGGAAGTCAGCAGCGGTTGTTCTCTGGAAAGACTCGCCCCCGCCATAGTAATGTGGTATTTCCACCACTGACAAATGCCGCTGCCGCAATGCCCAATTATATATCTGTTTATTTTTATTTTACCAGGTAAGCCCCACTGAGCTATATGGTCTTTTTCAGAAGTGACCTACCACCTCTGAGACTCTTTCACGAAGCCAGACTCCTCCGATTTCCGCTATATCCACCTTCCAGTAATTCCTGAACAACCGGCCAGTAGTGGTTCAAGGGTGTTTGTAATGTCATGATTGGGCAACCTCGTGCTGGAGTCGAACCAACACACGACCTGCGCTGTGTTCTCCAGTGGGACCTGGTATGCGGTCGCAGTGGGCTCAAGCAGATGGCGCAGACCGTTTACATGGGCGGACTGCTGATTGGGGCCGTGGTGTTCGGAGACCTGGGGGACAGGTAACATCCTCCACACACCTGTACGCGTGTTTGTGTGTTAGTGTGCACGTGCCTGGATGCAACAAACACGCACACGTGCTAGAGCAGTGTGCAGAGCGGTGGCGTCGTGGTTAGACGAGTGTTTGATTCCCACTCGCGGCTAACGTCAGTAACAAATATCTGAACTGGCCCTGGGCCTGCCCAAGGTCGGCTCAGCATTAAATGACTATCTGGTGTAGTGTTAACATCAGCGTTTGGGAGACAAAGGTGGCGCATCTATCACTTACTCCCCCACCAATACCTCTGTCATCGCCACCACCACTATCATCCAGTGCTAGATTATATCCTAGTAGCACGAGTAGCTACAAATGCTACGGGCCCCACACTTTCAAGGGCCCCGCACTAAATCATTTCAAGCTATCAATTCCGGTTCAGTGATTCTGCACTTGCTCTATAACTATTGTACTATACTACCTTCAACTTTTATGAACGACTGGGTGTTTAAGGTTAGCGATTTGTCGTAGTATCTGGCTGTATAGCCAATTAAAAAATACAATGACTTTACTATACAAGTTAAAAATGTGTGTTTTTGTGTTTTAATATTTATGTGTGTTTTTTATTTAGGGCCCCTTTATAACATATGCTACAGGCCCCGCACTAGCTTAATCCGGCACTGCTGCCATCACTCCCCTAATCACTTGCACCACCTTCCCTTGACCCACCAACACCAAACGCCCCCCCCCCAACCCCCTTTCACAGTGACATACCTCTTTGTTGGCATTCACGTTGGAGCAAGGAATGAAAAGGGGCCCCCGCTCTGTCCAAATCCACTCAATTCTTAGCCCGGTAACCGTCCAATCCACGGGCTCGGACGCAGCTGCACTACCTGCACACCCCATTGCTCCCTCCCCTGTCCTGCAGGCTTGGCCGTGGTAGGGTGCTCTCCCTTTCGTACCTTCTGACAGCGCTGGCGAGCACGGCCACCGCTTTTGCACCCAACCTCGCCATCTACACCGCAGGGCGCTGCGTGGTGGGGCTGGGCGTCGCGGGGATCTCGCTCAACGCGTTCTCCCTGGGTAACCCGATGCGTGCGGGGCGCCTGGTGCGCAGGGCACCCACGTACGGATCGTTCTGACAATCGTATGCCTGCCTGCTCCTCACGCAGCTGTTACACCCGTCTTCCTTCGCATATGCCTGTCCCCATACTCCTGGACATCTCATACACCTCATTAGACCTCCTTTGCCAGTACCAAAATATAATAATAGGGTTTTTCTCCTTTTTTCTGGCAACAAAACTGAAACCTTTTTACAAGGAATCATGTGTGCATTAACTACAATACTTGTGGTCAAAATGCAAACAAAAAACACACACTCTGATAATATATGCATTGTCCTTGAAACTGATTGGTCCACACCAGAGACGGCTTTCTTTCATCTCAATTGGTGCTTGACCAGAGACGTAAGAAAGCTGTCTCTGTTGTGGACCAATCAGTTTCAAGGACAATGCATATATTATCAGAGTGTGTGTCTTTTGTTTGCATTTTGACCACAAGTATTGTGGTTAATGCACACATGATTCCTTGTAAAAAGGATTAAGTTTTGTTTCCAGAAAAAAGTGGAAAAACCCTATTATATTTTCGTACTGGCAAAGGAGATAAAGAATTAAAGCTTTCGTGACTGCATAAAATTACTCATTGTTTTTTTCGGTAAAGTCACGTATGTAGAAATACCATAAAATTATATTCAAATAAATCAATCACGACATTTCGACCGCAACACAAGCGATCTTCATCAGTGTCAAGAACAAATCATGGAGGTAAATACAACAAGAAGATGATAGACGAGAATTCAACAAACCTAAGAAAACATTATGTGAAGCACAACCAGTCAGGCCAACAACACATTTAGACACTTACCTGGCAGACCACGAATTTCAGAAGAGTGTTAAATTTTCGTGTTCAACCTCCTGATAGAACATACCAGCATAGACAGAGTGAACAAATACGAGGTACAAAGTCAGCAGAAATACATATACAGGCACACCAAGAGGCAAGGAGGGAGGAAAAACGGACAGAGAAGCAAGGAAAAAGAGAAAGGGGGGTGGAGGGATGAAGAGAAGCCTTAAATAGGAAATAAAGGTGGGGGGAGGGGACGTAGAGAGAGGGCGCAGCTGCCGAAAAAAGCACATCATGCACCGCAGCAGAGTGGCAAAGGAGGTCTAATGAGGTGTATGAGATGTCCAGGAATATGGGGACAGGCATAGGCGAAGGAAGACGGGTGTAACAGCTATATATTCGTCATCCTAGAGATCGAGTACACCTATATTCGTTCTTATATACATGCGTCAACAGTATTGTATACTCGTCCACATTCCTTGTGTAATGATAGTAGAGTCAACCTACGGCGTGAGTGGACTAGTGGCCACGGGAGGTAATGACAGGGGAGTCAGCCTGCAGTACGTATGGACTGGTGGCTACGGGAATGATCGAGAATAGGAGCGTGGCCAGGTGACGGAAGAGGACGGTGGAGTCTGCTGGTAGAGCAAACGGTCTAGAACCAGGGAGAAGGTTCGGGAATGGGGGCATGGCCTCGGACCGTATATAAGGGAGATGCGCGGGAGACATGGGGCTGTTGCAGTGGGGGTCTCCGCCTGTCTGAGTGTGAGCACGTGGCTCCTTAATATATAAACCATCTCAAGACAAGTGCGTCGAAGTCGTCATTACACTCGTAATTGGCCTTTTTCACATCCCCGCATCCCCTATTTCCCCAGTCTTGCTCGTTTCCGTCTTCTTTACAAGTTTTCCCCAAATCACACGTCCTCCCCCTTCTGCTCGTCCTCCCCCTCCAACACATGCATCTCCCACGGGCCACAGGTGTGGAATGGATCGCGATGAAGGACCGCACGCTCTACGGGATGCTGAGCGGCGTCGCCTACACCACGGGGCAGCTCGTGCTGGTGGCGCTCGCTTACTACATCCGCGACTGGAGGCACCTGCAGCACTCCATCTCTGCCGCGTTCTACGTCTTCTTCCTGTGCTCCTGGTGAGCTGCCGGTTGGATCGGGGGGGTTCCGTGGCGCTAAGCAAGCGGTGCCGCGAGAGACGGCGTCGCAAGAAGATGCGACCGCGGAAGACCACGCTCGGATCGATCCGAGCCACGTTTTTTGGGCGCGTTGAGCGTGTCCTCTCACCCCCCCCGCCACCCCCAGGTGCACCCCCGAGTCGGCGAGGTGGCTCGTGATGCGCGGCCACTACGAGCGAGCGCTGCATGGCCTCAAGCGTGTGGCCGTCATCAACGGACGAAAGCGCGAAGCCGCACAGCTCACTGTGAACGCGAGTTCCGCAACCGCTCACTCGTCTCGCCTCACCCCACCTTGCATTACACGAAGATATTTTTTTTATTTTACCAGGCAAAGCCCACTGGGCTATATGGCTCTTTTTCACAAGCGACCTGGCCACAAATGATAGCTCGAAGAAGTGGCTTATCATGTGGAAATGAATAGCAGCCAAATAATCTAAACGGATGTTTATAAATGGAGGGGAAAACCGGAGGACCCGGGGAAAAATTCACGCGACCACAGGGAGAACATTCAAACATGCAGGGTCTGCATCGAACCCATGGCCCCCTCCATACCAGGCGAGGGAGTTAACATCTCGCCACCGTGACGAGATGACTGATCCTGCATGACAATTGATCCAGTAATTAATTAAACACATCTGTGTTAGCCTGCATGTGTCCATGTGTGTGAATATGTCCGTCTGTTTGTACGTTCGTGTGTGTCTGTGTGTCCACGTGTAGTGTGGGGGCAGTGGCACAATGGTTAGTGCACTGCATTACAAATCTGACGACCCGAGTTAGATTCCCGCTCACGACCAATAACAGTGGCGAATATTTGAACCGGTCCTGGGCCTCCTCAAGGTCAACTCAGCCTCAAATCAGTACCTGGTGTGGTGTGTAAACATCACTACTGTGGAGACAAAGGCGGCTGGGCGTGGTGCTGACCACCTACCCCCTCGTGTGCCGTGCCGATCTTCATTGGCGCTCGCTAATAGCACTTGCCCCAACAGTGTGTTAAAGCTATACGGTGGATGTTTGTCTTTGTTGTCACCTCTGCAGTATCTCCGCAAAGAGCTGGAGGAGGATACGGGCCCCCGTCGCTTTTACACCATGTTCAACCTCCTCACCATCCCCGCTCTGCGCCGCAGAACCCTCGTCATGAGCCTCGTGTGGTGAGCACCGATCAGCGCGGTTGGCTACGTACGGTGCCAAAAAAGTTCAACATGCATAAAACATACCTAAAACATACATAAAACATATATACAGTGCATACGTATTACACTATACACTACATATTACACTACTATACACTACACCGCACCTCCAATTTGCACGGGTGGCTGCGTACGGTGCAAAAGAAGTTCAACATGCATACTTACACATATTCCGACCGATTGCTTTAGCCGCGGTAACCGTCACCGACTATCGGGGATTTATTTCAGGAGGCCCCTGCTGCACCGAAATGGTTGGCCAAATTCTCTTAACGAGCGTTTAGCTCTGAATGAGAGGAAGCGGAGAACCTGGAAATAAAATCCACCTCACACACCAAAGGGATAACAACAACAACAACTCGCAGATAGTTGCTATCACTTTGATCAATTCAAGAAACGTATAAAGTATTATCGAGTATACCTTCAATAGTGCTGTTTGTTGCTGGCCACTAGGCATCTCACACCTTTGCGCCTGTGCTCAGCCACTGATTTAATAAATATATAGAATCCGTTGTTGATATGATATTTCCTGGCCACCAGACAGGCCGAATCTACAAAATCTGGTATTACCCAGGTAGATTCTCCATATATGTACAAACCGGAAGCTCACAAATCCTGAACATATTTAGACATTTTCCCCAACAGTGAGCTTCTCTTGCAAATGAGGATGCATTGGTTGGGCCATGTAGCCGGCATGCCCAGCTGTTGCATACCCAAGGAGCTTCTATTTGGCCAGGTAGAGGGGGGATGAATTGGCAAGGCATAGACTGTAGGAGAGATGGTCTAATGTGGAAGACCTGGAGTGTATGAACTTGCCAAAGACTGGCACCAGCAATGTCAAGATCAGCCTCTGGAGGAGGTCCGCGAAGGAGGCAATGGGTGATTGGAGACAGCCGCTCCTCCAGCTACGAAGGGGTGCGAGGACAGATGCTCTTCATAAACGAGCGGTGCACCCAGGCCCTTATTATCCAATAGGGACTCTGTGCCGAGGGCCTACGAAAACTGAAGGGCCTCCAAAAAAATTGACGATGTTTTTTGTTGGTATGATAAAAAAAATGTAACCAAGATATCTTCTTGAATAAGTATATTTATAATTGAGCAACCATTGGAAAGATGTTATCAACCAAGTCAACCAAAGAGTAAATATTTATATAGCAACGAGAGCCACAGAGTATATACAGAGGTAGAGTCGTGTCAATGTCAATCTTTTTTTCCATAAGTTGAGAGAAATTAACACCGGAGATGAACTTTTCTAGATTTCTTCATTGCAAAATTAGCAATAACATCTTTCGAATGGTGTTTTTTTTTGCACACAATCAAACGAGTGACAACTGCAGTAGTAGTGACATGGGGCAGCAGCAGAACCAGCTGTAGAAAGTTGTCAAAGGCCGACGAAACAGGAGTGCCTCGGGCCTACAAGAACTTTAATCCGGACCTGGGTGCACCGACAGATAAAACAGAAATATCAGGGGACCTTTTGCCAGTATCAAAGTATAAAAAATAAGGATAGGTTTTACCTTATCTGGCAAAAAACAGGTGTTAAGATGTTCAAACACCAAATAGATACCTTTTGCAAGGAATCAAGTCTGCATGAGCCACACACAGTACTTATGGTTAGCATGCAAACGAGCGTACTCTGATAATTATAATATATGCACAATGTGATCCCTGTGATCCCTGACATGCAATACCCTGGCGTCTACAAACTAAGCTGTGTCTGCGGCAGTAGTTACATTGGGGAAACTAAGCGACATGTCTCGGACCGTGTTCGTGAGCATAAGGCAGATCTGAAACACGGTATGACCAATACCTCGGCCGTGGCTGATCATTGTTTTAATGTGGTGGGCTCACACGAAATGTATTTCTCTAAGACGAAGGTAATTTGCAAACCCACTGGCTATCAACTAAGATTCGTTCATGAAGCCATCCATATATATAGACATAGCCACAATTTCAACCGAGAAGATGGGTACAAACTCAGCAATCACTGGAAGGACGTTGTCAGACAGTTTAAATCATAACTGGCTGGAATGTTCCATTTTAGACCTGGCAGCCCTTTATTGGTGGAAGCCCACAACCAGGACCATCACTGCCCACTAATACCATCACCACTAGCAGTAGACATTTATTGGTGGAAGCGCACAACCAGGACCATCACTGCCCACTACTACCATCACCACTAGCAGTAGCCCTGTATTGGTGGAAGCCCACAACCAGGACCATCACTGCCCACTACTACCATCACCACTAGCAGTAGCCCTTTATTGGTGGAAGCCCACCACCGGGACCATCACTGCCCACTATTACCATCACCACTAGCAGTAGCCCTTTACTGGTGGAAGCTCACCACCAGGACCATCACTACCCACTACTACCATCACCACTAGCAGTAGCCCTTTATTGGTGGAAGCCCACCACCAGAACCATCACAGCCCACTACTACCATCACCACTAGCAATAAACCTTTACTGGTGGAAGCCCACCACCAGCATCATCACTGCCCACTACCACCATCACCACTAGCAGTAGCCCTTTATTGGTGGAAGCGCACAACCAGGACCATCACTGCCCACTACTACCATCACCACTAGCAGTAGCCCTTTATTGGTGGAAGCGCACAACCAGGACCATCACTGCCCACTACTACCATCACCACTAGCAGTTGCCCTTTATTGGTGGAAGCCCACCACCAGGACCATCACTGCCCACTACCACCATCACCACTAGCAGTAGCCCTTTATTGGTGGAAGCTCACCACCGGGACTATCACTGCCCACTACTACCATCACCACTAGCAGTAGCCCTTTATTGGTGGAAGCCCACCACCGGGACCATCACTGCCCACTACTACCATCACCACTAGCAGTAGCCCTTTATTGGTGGAAGCTCACCACCAGGACCATCACTACCCACTACTACCATCACCACTAGCAGTTGCCCTTTATTGGTGGAAGCCCACCACCAGTGCCGTCGTGGCCCTCTACGAGTACCATCACCTCTCGCAGCAACCTCCACCGTCAACAGTGTGAGTGGGTAAAGCGAGGTGCAACGATTACTTGGCAGTCCTTTAATTCGTGGAAACCCACCACCAACGCCGTCATTGCCCTCTATGAGTACCATCACTGACATTAATATTAGCATAGCCCATGCTGATGACACTTGGGCTATGCCCATTTCACACCTTTATAAACAGTTTGCCTTGAGAGGCTAACCCCCTTTTCCTGATTACGACCGCTTGTGTTGCGATCGAAACGTCGTAGTCTTTCGTTATTGTCTTTGAACCTATGTACGTGACTCTACCGAAAGACCAAAAGAATATGAATTCCTTGCAGTCACGAAAGCTTTAAGTCAATATATGCATCGTCTTTTAAACAGCAGGCAGCACAGGTGGTTCATCGGTCAGTCATCTCGGTTGGTGAACCTCTTTAATACTTGGGCCTGTCCCCGTGACCACTTGCCAACAAGCCTTCAACAACGTCACATTTCCTCAAGAGTGCGACCGACTTGGCCCGAGCACTTCCACTTAGTGGCGAATGGCTGCTGTGCAGGCTTCGTCGTCATTGTAACGCGCACGTGCGCGCACACCTTTTTACTCCCCAGGTTTTCCACATCCTTCTCGTATTATGGATTTGCACTCAACATCCGGGGCTTTTCCGTCAACATCTTCCTCATGCAGGTGATCGAGATCGGAGTCATATAACTGCCTATAACCTTGCCGTGTGTAGATCCACAATAGAGGAATTGTTTGGGGGGGGTTAGATCGCGTAAATGTAAATGCGTCGTTAAACCCGCCACCATCTGACACAGCCAGTTAGTCAGGTTTGTCAATTCGAGTACTCGAATTGTAGATGTTGTGGCTTTACGTCTCCAATTCGAGTACTCTAACTGCAGATTTTGTGGGTTTACTCTCCAACACACCGGTGTGCTGCACTAGTAACGAATTGGCACGTTCTGTTTACGTGACAAACCTTACGAATTTGCTGTGTTGGGTGGTGGCGGGTTTAACGACACATTTATATATTTACCCAATCTAACCCCCCAAAAAACCTTTTATGAATAATATTGGTCGCGAAAGCCTGCTACGTGTTAAACCGTGTGCAGATGTTGTCAGCCATGATAAGGTTTGGTGGTGACGGTTCTAGACTTGCACTCCATAGCCATCATTGACTGTCCAACTACCATTATATGAGTACCGCTATAGAACAGTCTGTTGTAGAATGTAGAGTGCCGCTATGTTAACAGTTCGTTGTACTACGCGCGCTGGTTGTGCCCCTCGGCAGGTGATCTATGGTGCCATCGACTACCCGGCCAAGGTAGTGGGGTTGGTGGTGCTCAGCCTCCTGGGACGACGCGCCACGCAGGCCGGCTCCCTTGCGGTGGCCAGCATCGCCAGCTTCTGCCTGCTGGCCATTCCGGCTGGTGAATTCCATCCCTCCCCCCTCCCCTCCACCCATCATCCAGATATCCCAACATGGGTGGTGGCATAATTATTATTGCACAAGTGTTGGTGAGGGAGGGGGGGGGCTAAGAGACTCTGTGGTTGGCAAAGAGGGGAGGGTGGGGGAAATGCATGAAGGGAGAGCAGAGCTGAGAGATCCGGTGCCGGGCTGAAGTGACACCGCTGATGTTTACAGAAAGGAAAAGCGAGCACGTTCTCCATGGCAGAGCTGGAACTGAAGGGATAGGATCAGGCGGCTAAGGCTAAACCATTTGGTTTAAATCCTTGGCTCGGTTTGCAATGGGTGCCTCAGTGGCGAGATGTTAATTACATCGCTTGGTATGAAGGCGGTCGTGGGTTCGAACCCGACCCTGTACGCCTGTATATTTGGAGTTTGCGTGTCTCTCTCCCCGTGGTCGCGTGGATTTTTCTCCAGGTTCTTTGTTTTTTGCCTCCACATATAAACACGCATTTAGAGTATTTGGCTGCAATACATGTCCGCGTTATTTGTGGAAAGGTTGCTTCTGAAAAAGAGTTATGTAGCTCAGTGAGCCTTACTTGGTAGAAGCAAAAATATGTTTAGTTTAATATTTTTTAACTCGCCGCAAGATCACCAAACTCTGGTTGATTAGATCCTTAAAGTATGTTCGTCTCATCAGCAAAACTCGCATTTATCCCAACATATATATTTTGTATTGTTGTAATCAAGTGAATGGCCTTATATGCACAATACAATTAAGATTCATACGGCGTTTGCATGCAACAGCAACTCAATGCGCTGTAGATATTCAGTAGGGTACAATTATGTTGTAGAGAGGCAGCCAGTAGTAGGTAGAGGGAAAAAGGAAGTGCTTGACCCTTCACCTGAACAGGGAGTCAACAGCACGGATGGCAGAAGAGAATGAGTGACCTCCCACCGAGTGATGGTTGACTGACGAGATTGATAGAAAGCCTCGGTTGCTGCAACGAGTGCGTGTTAAAGAGTTTAAATCCACCACTAGGTGGTAGTCTGAACACACACACACGCCTCTGGACGTTCAATCCCTTGGCTCTCCAGTATAAGCCAAGTATAACTTGAGCTGCTTCTCGGTTGTGTACGAGCGCAGATAAGTGGCAGGGTGGTGCAGTGGTCACACTTGTGTGTCACAGAATAAAAACAGGTTCCTGGGTTCGATTCCAAATAAAACCGCTTTTCTGTGTGGAGTGTGTATGTTTCTCCCCCTGTTATGCATGGATTTCCTCCAGTGTAACTCCAATTTCCTCCCATTAGGTGAAAAAAAACATCCCAATGCTGAAAATGTATTTTAAAGTTATTCAGTTGGGATAACTATAGTACTAACATCACCCGTTACTGTGAAAACCTTCTGGGAGTCCATCGCGTCCGAACAGATTCAAGCAATCTTAACTGCTGATACCAGACACTCTCAATACCAGTCCAGCGTTTGCTGTGCTGTGGACCCATTGTCGCTTGTATGCAATGGGAGGGCTTGCTGCACGTTTGCTGTGCGGAGCGAGGGGTTAAATGGGGACGAGGTGGATAATAAAGGGTGGAAGGGGTGAAGGGAAGATGTTTATAATAAATGAGTGTAACTGCGTATTGAAGATGTAAAGTAGTTCCTCGCCTGGTATACAGGAGGTCGTGGGTTCGATCCCTGTGTTTGCATGTTCTCCCCGTGGGCGCGTGGATTTTTCTTTGGGTCCTCCAGCTTTTCTGCCCACATTTATAATTAATCAACACGTGTTTAGGGGATTTGGCTGCTATAAATTTCCACATGATAAGCCAATGCATTTTGAGCTATCATTTGTGGCCAAGTCACTTCTGAAAAAGAGCTGCACCGCTCAATGAGCCTTACATGGTAAAATAAAATAAAAAAAATCTTTATAGATTGCGATTGGCTAAATGTAAATAAAGAGGTTGTTGCTAGGGGGAGATCTATCTCTGTAAGAAACGGGTCCTATTTCAAGGGACAAACTACGCGATGCGCAACACGAATCAATCATCAATCGTCATTGTGGAGAGGATATGAAGATTGTTCTGGTGGAGACCCGGCGGCGATGACATCCGGAGACGCTGCCCTCTGACTCGCGACGTGCGCCCCGTGTCCCCGCAGAGAGCGGCACGGCTCGCACGTGCCTGGCGGTGCTCGGCAAGGGCGCGCTCTCTTGCTCCTTCAACTGCGCCTACCTCTACACGGGAGAGATCTTCCCCACCGTCATCAGGTGACGGAGCCGCTGACATCATCAACGGATGAGCCATGAGGCAGCCGCCACCCTCGTCAGTTTTATCCGAATTGTAACCATCGCCGTTAAGTTGTACGCAGAGCGGCTGGGCAAGAGCTGCCCCTCTGCTCTGTCACTTGAAGGCTCCGATTACCGTGATTTATCCTTCTTGCAGACCGTTCTCTAATACTGCGATATGGGTTTTCTTTACGAGTTAAAATATTTTGCCAGGTTGTCCAATTCCCAGTGAACACTTTACTTACAACGATAGCCCGACTGTAATACAATTGGAAATAAGACTAAACAAGTCTGTTTAAATCCCTCTTGGGCTCTGTAAATAGGAACGCATACGATCTGTGATGCCACATGAAGGATTGGTTAGTTGACAAGGACCCCAAGGGTGACTTGACCCTTCAAAATGTTTTCCATACATGTGAAAGGGGCCATCGATAGTCCGATGTACAGCGATGGCTTTTCATGATGATGGTGACCATGGTGGTGACGCCGCCGACCCCGACAGACAGAGTGGCCTCGGCTTGTGCTCCACAATGGCACGGGTTGGTGGGATGCTGGCGCCGCTGGTGATCATGGCGGGCGAAAGTTTGCCGGCGCTGCCGCTCTCCATGTACGGGAGCGCGTCGCTGGTCGCGGGGTCCCTCGTCTACTTCCTGCCCGAGACGCTCAACCGCCCGCTCCCAGAGACCATCGAGGAGCTGTCAGCGGCGCATGCGAGAGACAGGTACACGTACAGGCGGACTGGGCTAGTGGGACCAGCGCAGGTGCGCAGGTGTGACAGTATGCGTGCTTGCCCGATACAGGTCCAGTCAAGTCTATTTGACTAACCAGGTGAGAAGTCATACCAGGATAGGCTCATTTGCATGTGGTTTAAAGCCTCAAATAACCAAAGAGGCATTGCTCATCAAGCCATGTAGCCAGTGGTGGAGATTCCTCACATCTATTCCGGGGGGCAAATATATCCATAGGACAACCACTGTTGTCTTCACCCACAAAGTGGTAGTAGTTTTTTCAAACACAGAGCGATGATGGGCTGTCAACCCTCAACCAGGATTTGAATTCGCGACCTTCTGATTGAGAGCTGCTCGCTCTAACGCCAAGTCACCAGGCCGGATGCAGGTGCACATGTAAATTCTCAGCACAGGTGTACAGGTACTTGGCTTAGGTGTGCAGGGATGCGCGATTGGTAAAATTGTAGAGTTGCAGTATGGGTGCCCAATATAGGTACGCAGACATACACACTAGGCAAGGGTACACAGGTGTACGGGTAGACATGTTTGGCTTATCATTATTGGAACAGGTACACATAACACAGGTGCACATGTATGTGCACTTACCGCACGTACACATATACACAAGTATAAGATCATACAACTGATGTAGCAAGTTCATACCCACTGCTCCGCATGGGTCTCACCGTTTTAGGGATCATCAGCACTATAATTGCCTTGTAGAGATTAATCCCATTTGCGCACAATGTCAACGAGATCGTTTGGTGGCATTATAATTTCTGAAATGGCACTGTAAGCAGGTGGCTCTGGGAGCAAGTAGTGTCAGGGGTGACTAGATGCGTCGGTGCTCAGAACACTTCAATCAACACTGTTGGGATGCTGGGTTTCATCTAAATCTTTTCCACCCATAATTAAACCGGGTTCTTTATTGTAGCTGGGTTGATGATGTCAGCATTGCCTGCACACTAAATAATCCCATCGTGTTAAATTGGGTGATTCAATTGAGGGTTATAAAATGACAATATTTTAAATGCCATGCTTGGCAAACACGTCTTTGGCAAGGCATGTGAGAAAGTGCAACATCATTTAACTGGGATAATCCCTTGAGATGGAACATCTCCTTCCAAGGGTGTACAATTTAATCACGGGCAGCTGAACAGCAGATTTTTACTCAGGATCTCAACGGTGCCAGCTCATTGTCACCGACACAGCATCAGCCCCTGAGTCACTCGTCCACCGCAGTGTTGACCGTTTTGTGATGCCCCACTCCGTGCTTGCAGGGAAATACCCCTCATGGAGAAGAAGAAATATCACACGAATGGCGGCAATGTGGAGCCTCAGCCGTCATAACGTCGTCCCGCTCTCCTCCCGCCCGGCCAATGCCACCACTTCCAAACCCATCTACGAGCTGGCACCGCCGAGGTCATGCTTCGAGTCCAGGCGGCTGCCTGTGATTTAAACCTGCTGCTCAAGTGTCGTTAGTCCATGGTGTCAGCCCACTGACCAGGGGGCGGAGCCACAGGGGGGGTTGGGGGGGGGCTTAGCCCCCCCTTAAATTTTAGGAAAGTCGGTAATCGGGATAACCGGATATCCGGCTGCTGCAAAATTCTGGCTGCCACCTTGCGCTGCCCTGCAGGCTGCTTGAGCGGCAGCCTTTTGAACTTATCGAATTTTTATTTTTTGATGTAAAGCTTTCGTGACTGCAGGGATTCATATTTTTGGTTCTTTCGGTAAAGTCACGCAGAAGGGAAACAATAAAATAATAAAAATATAAAACAATAAAATTCGCACGACGTTTCGACTGCAACACAAGCAATCATCACCAGGTGTAAAAACCACAGAAAGAAACATTTTCGAAACGTCGTGAGAATTTTATTGTTTTATATTTTTATTATTTTATTGTTTCCCTTCTACGTGACTTTACCGAAAGAACCAATCATACCTATCGAACTTATTAGCCACATCAGCGGCTCCAACCTATTAAGAAACTCCGCGTTCAAATCCAATAAAATTAGTTTTATACATTCGTGGCGCCCATTGGAAAACATACACTGGATATCTCAGAATATTGAAGTCAGCCCCCCCAAAGCCAAAATCCTTGCTCCGCCCCTGCCGCTGACCATTGAACTGCACACACATCCTCATTACCTTACATTGCACTGGCCTGTGGCTGCATCTGCCGCATTCATGTTTTGCTGCCTGCTCCACTTATTTGACTCGATGCTTTAATTGTCCTTCAATCGACAGGGAAGGTCACGGTTGAAGCACTCCTCGATATGTGGAATTGGATTTTTTTTAAGTCGCTATCATTTTGTGATGGTTATGGAATTTCCGTACATGTCTGTTGATTGTTGACGTATGAATATTTGCGTGTTAGTGCATGGAGAAAACCTACGCACACAAGCGGAGGCACTCAAACTCCTCGATAGATAGTCCAGGAAATCTCCTTGCTGTACTACATCCTGCACCACCTCATTGCCCAGTGGTCAGGTGATGTCTCATGCAACACCACATTTCCCCATCCCTGCATGATCCACCAACCCCAAACTCCACCAGCGAGTCAATGAATTGCCATGATTCAATTAAACTGAGTATATTTTTTTCATATTGTAGTGAATGTGGTGTCCATAAGTAACTACGAGTACCACGTGACCCCAATTATAGTCCAGCTCCGGTGCCGCATACGGCTCTTTAAGGACCGCTTCGTAACGTTATTTATTAAGTGACCCACCACCGTCTCATGCAACATCGCTTCTGGTCGCTTCTGAAAGAAACGATATAGTTCAGTGGGCCTTACCTGGTTAAAAAAAACTAAAAGTTAAAAGAGCAACATGACGTTTCCCGTCCCTGCATGGTCCATCAATCCCCGACTCCAGTTACGATCCACCAGGTATGGACACGCATTGTCAGCTCCGCAGCTGGCACCGTACACGAATGGACGAGTCTGCGAACTGGGCTTTTAAAGCCGAATGTCGCAACCTCCAACTTGCAAATCTGCTCTTGGCCTCAATACAGAATTTGCTGTGCTAGCGAGCAAACGATTTATATTAAGTCAATAACGTGGACCATGATTTAGATGTATCATGCCCTGTGGACCCAGAACGTGGCTTGTGGTTTAGATTCACTATGACCCACGGACCATGGCCCATGTCACTGGACAACATGTTGAATGTGTTGGTATTGCGGTGATTAAATTAATTGTCATGATTCATTTCGAGTCTTGTTTGTTTTTAACATTGTGGTGAAATGCAGTGGCCATCAATAGCAACGACAGCCACGTGAACCCATTACAACATATATGAATTGGCCCATACATCATTCGATGTATTGTGAGCTTAAGAAATTGCATGAATCGATGCATCATTACAAACAACTCAGAAGATGCTGGCTTGAACATGTCATCACGTGTGGATTCACTTTCATTGGTCATATAAGTCGGTTCCTCTAAAATGTCGCCACGTTTCATTATATCATGTTTGTGTATTTATGGTTGAACCTCTTTTGCACCGTACATAGCCAACCGCACTAATCCGAGGTGCTTTATGGTCTTTGCCGTCCCGAAATGAGCGTTCTCCATTTGCACGCGTGGGTTGTCGCCGGGCTCTCTGCTTTTCCCGTACCAGAATTAAGACGTTCAAGAAGAGGTCTGGTCAAACAAGCCAAGACAGCTACCTATTTTCTTTTAATGTAATTGTGGGACTCGGCGAGGCGTTCATCTGTAAATAAGAGGACCGTCATTATCGGCTGAACTGGGGAGGTGGCTCTTCCAAACCAGTCCTCTTGACCCACCATGATGCGTGCACCGTCCCATGTCCACCACGTGTCTCCGTGCGAACGTCAATGAGGTCGTTGCTTGCTGAACGTGTCTGAAGAGTGAGAGCGCCGATTTAAATTTCAGATAGGAGTAGTCTTGTGTGCGCGCGCGCGTGTATGTGTGTGTGTGTGCACGCGTGTGGTTAAAATTAAGAGCGTTTGTGTGTGCGGATGTAAGATGCATTTAGCAATCGTCCGGCTTGTGCTTGTATCTGAATGGAAAAGATGGGTCGACGTGACAAGCTGGACTGTCATGGGTTACCAGCACTGTGACATGTGATGCTACTGCGGAGATGTTTCACCGTTGTGCTGCATAGCACCCCGGTGTGTTTTCTGGTTGTCCCGTATGTTTTTCGGCACGGTGTCCGACCTTTCGCTTCACGTGCTCGGTACTGCTACATCAGGAACTGATGAACAATTATCTGAAAAAGCCCCCTGCACGTGGTGCGAAACGTCGGACACATTTTCCAAACAACATGCGTTACAACCTGTACACGAAAGGGATCTAAATGGGGCGAACCATCACTTCCGTAATCATCCCACTTTCACCACGCAGTCACACAGCGGACAGAATAGAACACTGGGTGATGCTTGGGATTGGTGGATCGGCAGGTGGCGAGATGTTAACTACCTCGCCCGGTATACAGGAGGGTGTGGGTTCGATTTTGCATGTCTCTCTCCCCGTTGTGGCGTGGATTTTTCTCCGGGTCCTCCGGGTTTTCCCTCCACATTTAGAATCACCAACACGCGTGTTAGAGTATTTGGCTGCGATACATTTCCACGTGATAAGCCACTTCGTTGAGCTATCATTTGTGATAGCCAGGTCGCTTCTGAAAAAGAGCTGTATAGCTCAGTGGGGCGTTACCTGGTAAAAAATAAAATGGTTTAGTTTACTAGTTTGATAACTGGGTGGAGGGAAGGGGGTGGAGGGGAGAGCCTTTATCGCTGATATTCTGGAATCAGATCCAGTTATCAGCCGCCCGTAAATATACTGAGTTTCTGAAGTGCAGCAAGTTTATGGGCCCAGCCTGGTCACTCATGGCTGTAAAACAATACAAAAAACGCCATCATGTAAAATACTGCATGGGCTTTTCACGTAATCTGAAAAAAAATTCCAGCTGCTATAAATGTCCGCATGATAAGCCACTTCGTTAATCTACCATTTGTGAAAGCCAGGTCGCTTCTGGAAAATATCAACATAGCTCAGTGGGGCCTTACCTGGTAAAATGAAAAATATATATAGTTTATTTGAGTAGTTTCAGTTAGGTGATGAGTGGCCACTTCACACCGTGGTTGTGAGCAGAGGAAGGGGTGGTTGTTCATGGGAGGGGGTGGGGTCCGTCTCTTTCACTCTATTGCGATTGGGATGATGCGAATTAGGAGGAAGCGTTTATCGGCGTGGATTAATCGAGGGGGGTGGGGGGGGGCGAGTTGGTTGGAGTCGGGGCGGGAGTGGTGGCGGTGATGGTGGGGGAAGTAATCGGCTCTGGTAAGGTGTAGGACAGAGGAGAAGCCACGCAGAGCTCGCCAGACCGACCGCCCGTCGCAAATTCGCCGACAGCGCAACAAACAAACACAAAAAATCCGCCACGACTTTCTTTTACCAGCGGGGGAACGACTTCGACCGTCCGCGAACTCGCGCGCGCTCCGTTTCGCCGTTTGCGCGACTCAGTCTCGGCATCAACGTCGTCGTCGCAATCGGCGTCGTTCATTGACGAGGGAGCTGTGGTTGGCCTTCGTCTCCTTTCGGAGGAACTTGACGTGAAATCGAGAGAGAGAGAGGGACGTCGATTAATCGAAAGCGAGACGTGAGAGGGAATCGATAAGGCGGGCAGAGGTGCAGCGCGCTTGTCGATAGACGCGGCGGAGATTGGGAAAGGGAGGATTTTGTTGACGTACAGAGCGTGAAGGGGGGACTGGAGGTTATCGAGTAATAAACACAGAGATACGTCGACGGCAAAGCCTACAGGCACAGAAGTGACATAGTGAGGATTTTACACTCAGTCAGCTCGACAGGGAGACACACAGCTGTGACACAGACACACGCGTGAGACATTTGTAGACATCAAGAAGCACAGTGCGACAGAAAGTGTCAGACAGCGAAGCACACCGACCGTGTTGTGACACACGGGCACCGTGATGCACAGAGAGATAATGACACAGTGACACACACACACACAGTGACACACACACAGTGACACACACAGTGACACAGCGAAACAGTGACATACACACACAGTGACACACACACAGTGACACAGCGAGACAGTGACACACACACAGTGACACACACACAGTGACACAGCGAGACAGTGACACACACACAGTGACACACACACAGTGACACAGCGAGACAGTGACACACACACAGTGACACACACAGTGACACAGCGAGACAGTGACACACAGTGACACACACACAGTGACACACACACAGTCACACAGCGAGGCAGTGACACAGTGACACACACAGTGACACAGCGAGGCAGTGACATAGTAACACACAGTGACACAGCAAAGCAGTGACACAGTGACACACAGTAACACACACAGTGACACAGCGAGACAGTGACACACACACAGTGACACAGCGAGACAGTGACACACACACAGTGACACAGCGAGACAGTGACACACACACAGTGACACAGCGAGGCAGTGACACAGTGACACACACACAGTGACACACACACAGTGACACAGCGAGACAGTGACACACACACAGTGACACAGCAAGGCAGTGACACAGTGACAC